AAATCATACCCCAGTCACACTTCCTAAGAAATTACCAGAGGCCAACGGGTTTTCAGGTCGAAGTGGCCGGAATCCAGGACCAAGGATGAAACCAACGGATGGGTATTGGTTTTCGTATGGTTAGTAGGAAATTTAACCATAATTTAACATCATTTAACCATAAGGAAATTTAAGCTTATTCTGGTAGTACAAGTAGAATGGTTAGTAGGAAATGGAGATTGTAACCAACAAAATATGAGTGCAATGAAACACCAACCATTGTTAACTCAATGGAGATTGTAACTCAACGGGTATATTCCGTGTATGGTTAGTATGGAGATGGTAATTCTAATACAATGGAGTATACACTCTGGTTATGACTAACATAGCCATGGAAAATCCCAACCATAAATGGAGGTTTCTAGCTGGGAAAATCATCTATAACTAGGCCATTTTCCATGGCTATGTTAAATCACCAGAGTATAATTCTATTATACAATGGGAATATCATGCGAATATAATGGATGTACCCAACTTGGGTATTTACCTTCCGGCGTCATCAAATATGGCAATGGAAAATCAACATTTAAATAGAGGTTCTATGTAATAGGAACAGCATATGTATATGTATACATAAATATATACGTATATATATATATATTGCTATGTGTGATTACCAGAAGGTATATGGCGTTGTGTGAAAATCCGGTACCCCTCAAGCCTTGTGACACGGCTTACAGGCAACTTCTAAAAAACGATAGAAAAATAAATTGAACTAAAAAAAGCGAAAACCAATCCAAAAAAAAACAAAACCCAATCCAAACCTCAATTAGAAAAAAGTAAAAAACATGCAAAAAAAACAAACTCCAATCCAAACCTCAATTAGAAAAAAGCAAAAAAAAAGCAAAAAAAAAAAGCAAAACCAAAAGCAAAAAAAAAGCAAAAAAAAAAGCAAACTATTTGTGTTCACTGTTTTTCGTTTTTTTTTCGTTTTTTTTTCGCTCTGTTTTCGTTTTTTTTCCTCTTTTTTTTCGTTTTTTTTTCGTTTTTTTTCCCTTTTTTTTTCGTTTTTTTTTCGCATTTTTTTCGCATTTTTTTCGCTTTTTTCCACGAGTTTCTTACATTTTCGAAGGTCCCGGTCATCAGGTCACCTGAGAAAGAAAAAAAACGAAAAAAAAATGCGAAAACAAAGGCGGAAAAAGAAGCAAAAACAAAGCAAAAAAAAAACAAAAACAAAGCAAAAAAAAAGAAAGTGAAAACAAATAGTGTGTTTTTTTTTGCTTTTGGTTTTGCATTTTTTTTGTTTTTTTCTAATTGGGGTTTGGATTGGGTTTTGCTTTTTTTTTGGATTAGTTTTCGTTTTTTTTATTTGTTTAAAATTCTTTAGAAGTAGGCTGAAGGCATTTCACAACTCAAGCCATTGGTTACTTATCACCGTCCCTCTTAAAATGATGAAACATTGCCATTTGGGGGTACAACATTTTCAGACAAACCCAGCCCCACTTGAAACATCGAAATTCCGTCTCGTAGGGCACACCTCACAAGTGAAATTTCATGTGCTTCCATCATTCCAATACCTGGATCTTCGAAAGGACACAAATAATTGTCCGCTTGCACGATTTCTGCCCTTAGGGCGGATTTCTTGTGAAGGACCTGGAAATGGTCATTTTTTGGTATATACTGTAGATGTTACTGCTTCTTCCCATAAACCATCCAAGAATCTACGAAATACACAATTGAACTTTCTATGTTTCCATATTGATGTCCTATCTGTTCTAAAAAATATGGTCTTGTCATCATTTTCTCATCATGTTTCCTCGTTTTTTTCCAAGTGTTTTCCAATTTTCCTGTGATGATCTCACTTTTCCACCATATTCCCATGATTTTCCTATCATTTTTCCCACTTGTCCATGATTTTCCTATCAAGTTTCCCACTTTTCCCCATGATTTCCCTGGAGTTTCACCCATTCCAAGCCCTTCCGTTGCCCCGTTGCGGCACCGTGGCGAGGCATGTCGGGCGCGGACCTCGCGAATCTGCTGAACGAGGGCGCCATTGTGGCGGCCCGGCAGAACAAGGCGGAGATCGATGCGGACGACATCGCCAACGCGCTGGACTAGACGGGATGGGGAAGATGTCAATGGGAGATCTTCAGGATCCAACAGATGGAGGTACGTTAGTACCATATAAGGCCATATGTTGTGGGGATATCCCCTTAATTACATAGGCCTGAAAAATAGGCCAAACATATTATGGAATCGGTACCTCCAATTTTTCTCGGTTCCTGGCCAGCATGGCCATTGAAGATGGGCATCGGATAGAAAACTTGGGTTATGTTATGGTGATGGTGAGGATGATGAAGATAGGATACTAAGATGGATACTCTATGGGATGAGGTATGGTGATTGTTGATGGAAACTTTATGGAAGTTTTTATCGAAGATGGGATATAAAACTTGGGGTATGTTTTGGTGATGGTGAGAATGATAAATTAATAACCATATACGAATCATTGGGATAAGGATAATGGGAAAAGGAGCGGATAATGGGGAAATCGGGATGGGTGGGAAGGGAGATGGTTACTGTAGGATATATATGTGTATATATGTATATATTTTTAGATATGGTGATTCTTGATGGATTTTTCAAATAGGGAAGATGGGAAGAGCTAAGTTTGTGATGGTTTTATGGGATTCTAATGGGGATGATTTATGGGGAAATCATGATGGCTGGGAAGATGGGGATGGGGAGAGAACGGGATAGAACATTTTATGGGGGGTTAGTGAGATTTCATGGGATTTGTTTATGGGATTTTTTGGGATTCTATGGGATTTTATTGGATGATTTAGTGAGAAAGAACTCATGGGAAGATGGGAAGAAAATGGGGAAGCTGGGGTAGAAAGATGGAAATCCATGGGGTTTCACGGGATTTCTGATGGGAAGTTATGTTTTTTTTCGCACGATGGAAATCCATGGGAGTTTTCGATGGGAAGGGTGACTTCTGGATGGGATAGGTCAAAATAGGACTTATGGGATACAAAACGGGGATGGGAATGGGATGATGTTTCAGGGATGGGAAGAGAATGCTCAAGACTTTGGATTTATAGGGAATACCAGGGTTATGATCACCCAATTTGAAAGTGGCTTAGGGAATGTGTGCATCACTATTTTAGTGATAAGCACATATTTTTTGGGAATGGATCACGATTAGATCGTGCTTGTTGGTGAACAAGCTGGGCTTTTTTTCATGACGGATCCACGGTGCTGGTATATATGCTAACATTTGGGGTATATTGAACATGTATGGTATATGGTATCCAAATGGTAAATGTATGGTATAACATTTGGGGTATATGCATAGGGGTAAATGTTACCATATATAGCAGCACCATGGATCCTATGGGTTATATTTCATGAACCCAAGAATCAAGCCATGCATTCTTGGGAGGGTCTCTCCGACTCATCGTCATGTCAAATTTCTCCCCATCTCCGTCATTGCGGACGGTTATATTCCCATATCCATTTCCGTAAGGTGGTGCCCCCCGTTATGTTTGCTGGTTTTAAATCCCATTTAGTAATGTTTGCTGGTTTTAAATCCCATTTAGTATAGTTATTATACACCAAGGCATAAACCTAGTAAATGGTTATTATAACCAAATACCTATAGTTCAAGTTTCCCCTGGCTATTTTATCTAATGATAAACCATAGGTTATTATAAACCTAGGCAAATAAACCACAACTTCGCTATCTAGGATGGCCCACGAGGTCATATTCCTATTCCCATGGAGCCAGGAGAGAATTGCCATTGGACTGGAGAAAAAGGACGTGGCTTGGTACTTTGCGTGCTGGGAAACTCCACCATATTTTTTTCTGGAACGGGCCATGGCTGAGCCATGGCTACGTTAGTCATAACCAGAGGCTACTATTACTATATATTACTATTGTTAATATGATATATATATATATATATGGATGTGGGTCAAAATGGAAGACCGTTAAGGGGACCACAGATGTGAATGTCTAGTTTAGTATTCACCATCCAATTATTGGGGTACCTAATTTTTTGACCCATACCCAAATGGGAACATTATCTACAAATGTTGGATTTTCAACCAAACCATGTTTGATTACCACAGGGTATCCATCTTTCTAATCAAAATCTGAGTTTCCCAGCCACAAATCATGGTGGCGCCGCGGGAAACTTCAGCCCATTTTCTGGTGCAGATTTAGTAGCAGGCAAAACATTACACCCAAGAAGATTGAACACATAAACTGACCACTAGGTACTTAATACAAGGTGCCCGCCCCAGTTAATTATGTTTCTTGGTTCTCATCCCCCATTAACTACAATAGTATAGTTATAATTACCCACCCCGAGTTGTACTACTTGTACAGCATCTTAGCTTACATAAATCACCTCAATAAAATCCCATGAATTCCCACTAAATGCCATTAAATCCCATGAAAACCCGTAAAGATTCCATGAAATCCCATCAAAATCCCTACAAGAATCGGGCAACGGCCTCGAGGGCTAGGTGTGAGACAGTTGCTGACTATAATGACTGCGGGTTTATGGATGTTTATAGTACCCTCTGGGTATTTAACATAGCCATGGAAAATGGCCCATTTGCCCATTTATAGATGGTTTACCTTATTAAAGATTGTGATTTTCCATGGCTATGTTAAATAACCAGATGGTATATCTTTCAAAAACATCAACAATGACTTATGGTTAGATATCAAACAACAACTCATTGTTGATGCTTAGAACAATAACATACAATAACTCATTGTTGATGTTTATGACGTTGATGGTCCCTAGATCATGATATAGTCAGATTCTTGGATATTGATTTTCTGGTTTAACAACATTTATTCAAATGTATTTAGTATGGTTTGATGTTTGTAGCCAACAAACACAGTTGTTCATAACTTACTCTAAGTTTATGGTTTATGGTAGATATTGGTAAATACTGAAGGCAAAATATGGTAAAATTGGTTATGATAATGTTAGTTAGATAGTACAATGACTGGGAGGTTATCATAACGTGTTGTAGATATGTTTGGTTTACGATAGTTTGCCCATGAATATATATTGTGATACTTTTGACCATATCTAACAATAAATCATATCTAACAATAACTCATGGTTTATGGATCTTTATTCTAGATATATCTAGATTGTTAGATATGTTCTACCATGGTTATGTGAATGTATATATATACACATATAAACATATCTAACATATATCTAACATATATCTAACATATATCTAACATATATCTAACATATATCTAACATATATCTAACATATATAAAATCCAACAAACATAGAGCGGCACGGGACCACCGGCCACCGGTTTTCCCGCAGTTTCCAGGATCCAGCGGCAGCTTGGGTACACAAACATAGAGATGTTGGTGTGAAAAACGTGTTTTCCCGTGTTTTACTTTATTGATTATAATGGTTTGTATGTATATATATATAATATATGTGCAGGGATATCTATCTATATCTATCTATATCTATGAATATACATATATATATATATATGATGTTAGATGGGTTTCTAAACATCTCTAAAAAAGAATGGATAGCTTTCGAAACCAACCGAAACCCATCGCTGATGGCGTCACACGGCTCGCTGTCTCCAAGTCTTGAGACTGTGCTGCAGATGTGCAACGGGCCACCATGCCACGAGTCCCTGACCTTGTTTTCAGGTCCGTGTCGTTCAGGGACCGAAGAGATGTTTTTTGACCCAAGGGACGGCACATGGGCTCTGAAAATAGGCATTTGATACCCCAAAATCCATGGAATTTACCCTCTGGTCAACATGCAAAAAACTATGGGAAATCACCATTTTTGATGGGTAAATCCACTACAAAATCTACAAATGGCCATTTTCAACAGCCATGTTTGTTTACCGGAGGGTATCATCAGTTTTTGCTACGACATTGCCATTTTACGGTACACCCTATTTGATGTGTCGCTGTCACGGAGGACGAGGCGCTCATACTATCCGACTTGGGGGTGTAGTTGGGGTGATATTGGGTATAACATTGTATAACCTTACAACCATAATATAATATAAATATATATTAAACAAAAAAAACTATTAATCACTGAGCACTGCCTTCTACAGGAATATTCTAAACAAAGAAAAATTGAGACAGCCAGGTGGAGCAGAGGGTGTGGACACTGTCTTTGATGATGCGATGGCCCGCTTTGCGCCCTTCGGTCAGTGCCTCCACTGGTCCTTCGCTGGACATCGTGGCTTTGCAGCGAGGTCTCATGGGCGAGTGGATGTGCCAGATGATGCGCTTGAGAGCCTGTGCCTGAGGTTCAATGTATTGGTTATTGAAGAACTTGAGCGGGGCCACTTGGCCCCAAAAAAAGGGGGTTTCCTACAGATATTCTTTGCCAGGAACTGTTTTTTGTTTTTTGGATTTATATTTTCTGAATAAGACTTGGGATATGATAGATCGATATATACTTTTGATTTTGCGTATCGTTTGTGTTCTTTTCATTTTCTGACCAGGCCTGAAAGTAACTTGTACAGAATATAGGAGTAGCCCCAAGAAAGATGGAAACTAAAACCCTTCCAAAGTACAGTGATCAATTTTGTTTTTTCAATTCAATTTTTTTTAAAGGGCCATGCCCTTATAAGCACATGTTTGGCAACGGGCTTCAGAGCAATCCCTTGAGGTGTGATCCGCACTTACGCGCCGCTGCAAAGCAGCTACATCAGAGCATGCCATCGAGAAGGAATTGGCAGGTTCTGTCGCTGTTTCGTCGGAACGTCTTTCAGGCCTGATTGCTACGTATCCAGTTAATTATATCTGGATGAATTATAACGACCTCACTGTGACCTCACAATGGTTAGTAAGGGAAAATATCCCTAATAACGCCGCCTATTTCAAGTTAGTGATCTATTATAATTTGCCTAGATTATATGGGTTACTCAGGCTATCTTAGGTTAACTGGGATACTAACCAGGGTCATGTGGGAAACACATAAACTTATATAGTAAACCTACCATTTGGGGATGGTTTATGGCATTGGATTTACTTTTAAGTGGGATTCATGGTGGATATCCCACTAGATGGGTTCAAAAAAAAGCCCATGTCGATAGTTACCCTCTGTCACCATGCTATTAATGGGTAAATCAACTATTTCTATGGCCATTTTCAATAGCTTTTTGTATGTTTACCAGAGAGCCCCATAGGGCTTTGATGGGCTCAAAGAGAGAGCTTTCCATTCAGAAGACCGTCTCGATGCGAGACAGTGAGCGGATCACAGGGCCTTTTTGGGGTTTCGATAAATGGGGGTTTACTCCTAAATCATCCATTTTAATGAGATTTTCCATTGTAAACAATCCATTTCTGGGCTACCTCCATTCTAGGAAACTTCCATATCCCAATATATCACAGTTGTTTGGAGGCTTGAAATACCCCCACAAGAATCAGCTACGAATCGCGAATTCCGCCAAGACAAAAGTATGTTCTTGCAAACAGTAGCAAACCCAACAGTCAAAAAACAGCTGTGAAAGTGTTCGCTGGTTTTTGTTCCGAAACACCCTGGTAAATGGATCATCATAGGCTTATCTTCCCCCTTAGGGACCAGTAGCAACTTAAAAAGCTCGGCCCTACAGGCCCTATGGTGCGATGTGATGTTTTGTGTCACTTGGACAGACCCGGCTGCGAGCTATCCATTACGAATGGGTGGTGGGACGAAATGGGCAGCACAGGTATACGTGAATCGCTTCGAGCCATTGGGTGTTGAGCCTGCGGACGCATGTCGTTTATGGCTCTATGATGTAAACCAGGCTGCTTGGCAGAGATGGGACTGCCGAACACAATCTTGGACTCTTGCTGAGCCGCCCATGCTCACGGCAAAGCTGAAGTTCGCGGGGATTGGTACTAGGACACCTCCAACCCATGCAGCCTGAGTTTGATTAGTTGGTGATTTTTGGGTTTTCCCAATGGAAATCCACCAGAGATGGGACATCTAAGGGATACTATGGTTACTATTGAATAGTAAACCATCCCCAAACTCACCACAAATGGTTGTATCATGTTGTATCAATAAGCATCCCCAAATGGTGATGGCATTGGGTTGCCAACATTAACCATTTTTGTTGGAGCCCGGAATCAGCCAATCCAAGGCCGTTGAAGCAGTGCACCGCTTGTTCGCGGGATTGCACGATCTTCCGCCAGGCCCTACGGGCCCTGCGCCCTGTACAGGTCCTTCAGGTCCAGCGGAATGCGAAACTGAGGTACAGCCAGTTCGCCGATGGCAGAAAAATGATATCCCTGCTGGCAGATGGGTTACGTTGAATCCTGCAGCGTTTTTGATTTTTATGTTTTGCTGGAAAATGTCTGGCATAAGCAGCATTTTTGTTGGACTATCAAAGATTGACCATGTTTCTTGTGGGAAGTGAAGCTCAAGCCGCAATCCTTCTTAGCCAGAAATAGCTAGCGGTTGGGATCAATTATCAATTGGGTGTATCCGATCCCACATCGTATTTTTAAGGGTGTTTTTAAGCCAAAAAAGCTAGCCACAAATTGCCACTTGTGGCGGGTAACATCATCTGAGTACAATTCAAAACATATGTTGATGATTACATACCATGTTTCTGTTCCCAAACACACACACAGCCCTTGGTGTCCTTAACCACAAATTGTTGCGCAAAAGCAACTCTTGCAAGTGTACCCCCAAGTAGTACCATCCGATAGTCGAACATGGTTTGATGGAAAATCCACCATTTACCCTCTGGTAATTTGTTACATAGCTATTGAAAATGGCCATAGAAATAGTTGATTTTCCCATTAATAGCATGGTGATTTTCCATAGCTATGTAAACGTTTACCAGAGGCTAATTATAGTTTAATCACCATTAAAACACCATTTTCCTATAGTTTTCCTATGGGAAAATCCACCATTTAGTTAATGAGAGTCCCATTATTGGGGGATTTCCCAGCTTAGGTCGTATTTCATGATGACCTGAGGAAAGATATATCAACTCACAAGCCTTGGTGATCTCCCCATTTAGTCTCAAAAGCAGGGATAATGTGTGCCGATGTAAATATTCTACCATATTATACCATATTATACACCAGTGTACCATATATAATATTGTTGAGATACTACATGTATACCAATATCCCTATTTAAAAAAAAAAAAAAAACAATTATACCATATTGTACCCCCTACTGTAGTATCTCAACAATATCTCGACTCACAACTTTCACAGAAATTTGCACATCTTGTTGGCCCAAAAACTGATGAAATTATGAAATTGGTGGATGTATCTACCATAAACACCCATAAACCATAGATGACCTAGTGATTTGCAGCAACTTCGCTATGCTAAACGGGGCACATCACCTTGAGTTTCAGCCTCGCTGAGGCCGTGATGAGCGAAAAGAAGAAGAAGTTGGTGGCCTACCACGAGGCAGGTCATGCCATCCTGGGCGCTCCGGCAGCACCGCGGGCGGTGACAGTCCTTGGTGGAACCAGCCAAGATGGAGAGAAAACATGCTTGAACATAAACATGATGGTAATATGACTGTGATATAATTGGGATTTTACTGGGAGAGAGACATATATATATACATACATACCTAACTACCTACCTACGTACATACGTACATACGTACATACATACATACATACATGCATACGATTCATGTGCCATAGGGATTAGAGGTGGGGGGTGTCCGAACAGATTTGCACAGGGAAAGGATGTGTTCAACCATCAAAATGTGTTTTTTTCCTATAACAAAGTTAGTACCATTTTTCAGGCCATATGTGGCAATATGTGGTGGTATTCCCTTACATAGGCCTTACATAGGCCTTACATATGGTAGGTACCTCCAATTTAGGTTCCTGAAATGGCCATTGAAATTACAGTCCTTAAAAATGAGGATATCTCAGCCATGATGGGATTACTATAGCCCATATATCATGACGTGGCACATATGGTATTTGGGATTGATAAATATCAATCCGAAATTAGATAACAATATATGTTGACTATAGTTTGGGACATGACAATCTTTTAATGTATATATATATACAGTATATACATATAATATTTTACAATACTCCCAAACTACAGTTGACATATTACTTATATAGTACAAACTATCTACAGAATTTATTTATATATATATACATATATTTTATATACATAACAATATTATACACTATAGTTTGTTTCATTGGGCTGCCAGTTTTTCGGAGCACATCGTCAGCTACGTCATTCGGAGCCCAACGTTACGTTGGTCAGCTCAGATATTCCATGATGTCTAAGTCAAGAAATGAGAATATGGGCGTGCAGCACAGATAGACATATGATCTATACCATCGGATCTATAATATCTGTAATGTCATCAGATCTATCATCAGATCTAGTATCCAGGTAATATCTGTAAGTCAGAAATGATTGACATAATAAATGTCATCAGATCTATAATATCAGATCATATATGTCTATTATGTCATCAGATCTAAATATCATCAGATCTATTATCTCTATTTAATACATTGTAATATCAGATATTTTCTATTAGCGCAGATAGAGGTATATCAAGCATCAAGGGCACACGATGTTCGTGCAGTTTGTTCAACAGATCTTGATATAGATCTATATGGATCAGTACCCTCTGGTAATTTGTGACATAGCTATTGAAAATGGCCATAGAAATAGTGGATTTACCCACTAAAAATAGTGATTTCCCATAGTTTTTTATATGTTTACCAAAGGGTATATCTATCTCATATCTGCTCTTACCCATGTCCCAGTTCTGCACCAGTGACCCGGATAAATCCTAAGGAAACATCCGTAGAAATACCATCTAATGCTCACGAATGACATACAAAAAGATCAACACAAATCCTCACAAATCGATCTAAATCCATCTACAATCCAATCTTCTGCAGATTTGTTTGGCACATTTCCCCAGGTGCCTAGAGTACGCAGTTTTGCCAAAAAAAAAGCAGAGATTCCCGAATTTCCATCTAAATTCCATCCAAACTTCGCACAAAGATCCATCAACACATCCAAATCTCACATTTCACCCGGATCTTCCCACCTTCCAGGTCAGACATCCTCAAGGATTCATGGCTTCCACCCCAATCCCTTTAAGGTGCCTTGATGAACGACTACGACGTGGTGGCCAAGATCAGCATCGTCCCCCGCGGCCCCGCGGGCGGCGTGACGATCTTCATGCCCTCCGAGGAACGGCTCAACTCGGGGCTCTACTCCAAGGTGCGGTTCCTCGCGGAGCCAACGGGAGAAGCTGGGGATGATCCATGGCAATTTGATGATTAGATGTACATATATGACAACAATTTATATATATATATATATTACTGGTTTGGATTAATAATGGTTAATAATGGTTTATAATGGATAATGATATATATATATAACAATGTATACATATTGGTAATAGTATATAATGATGGTTAATAATGGTTAATATATATATATATGATCATATGTACATATATGATAATATATGATATATCTAGTTATACATATGTACATAGTGTAATTGTAAATCTATTTATAATGATACAAATATAGATATAAATATTCTATTTAATTATTCAATAATTGCGCATACACTTATATGTATATATATATATATGGGTACGGATATATCATTACATCCCATCAATAGTGGACTAACACAACTTCCTAACGCTTGAGATGGGGATGGCTGCCACCTCAATTGGAAGACAATTTTCAACCAGCTACCCTCTGGTTCTGACTAACATAGCCATGGTATAGATGGCCCATTTATAGATGGTTTACCTATTAAAAATGGTGTTTTTTCCATGGCTATGTTAAATAACCAGAGGCTACCTTTACCCGATTTTGTGGCTTGCGGATCCTCAATTTGTATAAGGAACAACCCCTTTACCTTGAAACAGATGGTAAGAAACCCTCAGGTTTGCACAACAAAACGGCTTCATCAACTGTCCATTGGCTCTGCCAGAGGGTACCGCAGGATGGCTACAGGTATAGATTCTCGATTAGCTGATAACCCAATATGGAAAACCACCCATAGAAATAGATGATTTCCCATCAAAACCTCCATTTATAGGGGATTTTCCCTTGCCATGTTTGATGACACGGGAGGGTATGTCAAAGATGCAGATTACTACACCTCACCGACTCAGCGAATTCGAGCACCAATCGAGGGTCCAGGTTTGACAAATACTATCGACCAGTACATTGTTCGAATATAGATACCGCAAGCAATGTGGTATAGCAATACCTTGGTATATCCATCTTCTGAAAAAAAAACTATTTTGCATGTTTGGTACATCCATGTTCTACATTCTATTAGATGATATACATTCATATTTGTTATAGCTATTTGGTATATCCCAAAGTATCCCAAAGTCTCCAGCGACGCAGGAATTCTTGGAGAATCGCATGTGTGTGGCCCTTGGCGGCCGCATTGCGGCGCCTAATCTGCGATATCTGGGGGTCGGAGAAAAGATCTGATGATATCTGGGGGCTTACAGTTTTTTTTGGGCATGGTTCAACGATGTTCATTGTGTTTTTTGCGGAGGGAAAGTTGAGGTATGTTGGGGTAGGGGCTGGAACCACATAGAATCCCCAAAAAGAGAAAAGTTATTTCTCACAACTTTATTGGGAGTGGAGTTCACTTTTCTATCTTTTGGGGGGGTTACTATGATTTTAAAAAAAAAAAATAATCTGGTGATATGACATGTTGGTGATCTATTTTCAACTGTAGAAACATCGGGATGCTCCCTCAATGACGTTTATACCTGCCAAGTTGGAGGATATTTTAGGTGGAAAAGTCATCATGGATTGAGGTTCCATTGTTGAGCAATGTAAAATGGTAGCAATTTAGATGAGTTTACATGTTTTTTCATCATTTATCTGGTTGGTGGAATCAAACATTTGTGTTTTTTTTCCATTTCATATATGGGATGTCATCCTTCCCATTGACGAACTCATGTTTTTCAACATGGTTAAAGCCCACCAACCAGTTATGCAATGTACAGCAATTACCCAACCTGAAATCATAGCAATGGAAGATCCTTTATGGATCAGTTTCCCAGCCAGAAAAACACAGCTCCATTTGGATATAGATGTTCCATTGCCAGGTTTTGATTACCCGACAGTTACCCTCTGGTAAACGTTTACATAGCGAACTGGAAAGATTCACCATTTATAATAGGTACATCAACTATAAATGGTTCATATTCAATAGCTATGTAACAAATTACCAGAGGGGTACTTAGCAATTGCATTAAATAATTATATATATATATATATATATGTCAGGGTGTTTTTTCTATTACCACGCAAGTTACCAATGGTATATTATGATGTACAATTACCAGGTTGTAAAAATATATTATGATAGTTACCATTGAACATCTTTATATATGATAGTTACCATTACCAAACAACTACCAGGGTCTTAATATGTCTTCACCAGCGTATGTTTGGTGGCCTCAAAAGTGACTCCCATGTGTCGATATAGATCTCTCAAAGATGGGATCTGTAGATATCAAGCATGTTAAGCAATACAAATCCATATCTGGTTGGTGGTTTGGAACATGTTTTTTTGACTTTCCATTCAGTTGGGAATGTCATCATCCCAAATGACGAACTCATATTTTTCAGGGGGGTTGAAACCACCAACCAGATATGGATTAAATATTTAATATTAAATATCAACCTCTCTCAGCCTGTATCTTAGAGCAACAGGGATATAATAGATCTAGATCTGCATATTAAACGCTCTCTAGATTGGTTGTATCGTGGTTGTATTCCAGTCTTGCAGAAACACTGGCTGAAAGATCGCGGTGTACATCACCGGGGTAACCACCATTGAATGGCCAATAGGTAAATAAGTAAATGATGAGAAATTCAAAAGGTACACCCAATTTTCCCAAACGGATATCATTGCCAGCTTTAACAAGTGTGCTATCGCTGGTATATAATCTGCTAAGCCTTTTGGTCCAACTGTTGGTTCATGAATGTTCCCAACAGTTGTCGTTGGCATGAATGTTAACATTTGGTTAATGAATGTTACTTGTTGGCAACATTCCTTAGTTTATGTTCATTTGTTAATTTTGAATGAATCTGGTTGGTGGTTGGAACATCAATTTTAAGACTTTCCATTCAGTTGGGAATTTCATAATCCTAAGTGACGAAGTCATATTTTTCAGAGGGGTAGGTTGAAACCACCAACCAGATGGTCATTAATAGTGATTACCTTCTGGTAATTTAACATAGCTATAGAAAATGGCCATAGAAATAGTTGATTTACATATGAAACATGGTGATTTTCCCATAGTACATCCAGGAAATCATCCATAATCTATCCAGTATGAGGTTGATCATCCCTGAAATGGCGGTGAAAACCACACGTTCAGGTGCCGTGCTTTTAAAAGTGGCTGAATTCTATCGTGACTATGGTTATGATTCGTCTGGTTCATGCGGTTTATAACCAACAAACATCTTGTTGGTGGTTTGGAATATGTTTTATTTTTCTATATATTGGCAATCATAATCCCAACTGACTAATATTTTTCAGAGGGGTAGGTCAACCACCAACCAGACAGAACTGGGCACCAACAAACAGAACCAACTGGTGTCATTTTCCCCACGTGGATCCACATGAGTTGGTGAAATAGCTCATTTTTTTGGTTGGTATATGTAGGATCCCACTAAGTTGGTGAAATACATCCCTATATAGTGCATATATATAAATATACATAGTTATATGATCTTAGATGTTTAAGCCAACATATTTTTATATCATGTTCATATATGATAGAAAACATATAGATCATATAATATGCCCTATCTATGATATTCATGTGTTTTCTATCATCGGTATAGGAAGAGATCATCAACGGCCGCGACAACGTCACCACGGGCGCTTCTAACGACTTCCAGCAGTGCACTCAGGCAGGGATGGTGATGCGCTGACATGTCTTGGGTTTTTTATTTATTGGATAGGAAATGATGGGAAAATACCCCCTGGTAAACTAACATAGCTATGGAAAATATCTATTTTTAATGGGTAAATCCACTATAAATGGCTAACTGGTTGGTGGTTTGGAACATGATTTTTATGTTTCCCCAATAGTTGGGAATAGTATTCCCAACTGACGAACTCATATTTTTCAGAGGGGTTGAAACCACCAACCAGATTGAAAATAGCAGTTATTCTTATATTTTCTAGATAGGTCTTAGTTAGTACTTCTTACCCTCTGGCAAATTAACAGCCATTGTTTAGTTGAAACTAATCTTGCAACCCCTATCTGCCGGGGTCTATGTTAATTTACCAGAGGCTAATATATAAATATATATAATAGCTCATATTCACTGGAAATATGATGAACTAGATTAATCATAGTATCTACTTTGGATATGTTACCTTGATTTACGGTTTGTCGATTATGTTGTATTTTCCCAATGGGAAAATCCACCAGAATTGTGGAATCGAACAAGGGAATATGGTTTATTTCTTTTGGAGCCCCGAATCAGCAAATCCAAGTAATCCAGAAGCACTTGAAGCAATCCCTGTAGGTTTATGGCGGTTATCACAGTTTTCATTGAATCAGGGATAGAACAAACGAACGGAATAAGATAGCTGAATGGTGACAGAAGCAAAGTATGGGCATTCCTGAAAATTGGGGACTATTTTGGATTTCAGACCCAATTTCAAGAAAAATAAACACACATGGCACATTCCAGAAGGTTCAATCTTTCACTTGGCATCTACTCTCTCTGCAACTGCGGGTCAATATTTGTGCGAAGCATCCTTGGCTGGGTTTGTTGGCTCCCATTTGTTTTGGGTTATATGATGGGTCAAGCTATCTATTGTTATTATCATTATTATTATTTATTAATCAAGTTACCTATTATCTATTGTTATTTATTATTATTACTATTATTATTATTACCATATGTTTGGGAGCATCACCATCGACATTCCCAGCTATGACTTAGGGTCTTTCATGTGGCTCCCGTGGTGCCCCTGGGTGCCAGGGTGCCATCACCGGGGCCAGGTGGCCAAGCAGATGGTGATGACTTTGGGCATGTCCCCAGAGGTGGGTCAACGCCTGCTGGGAGGACAGCAGCAGGGGGGACCCTTCATGGGTGCCTTGGTCAAGCTACGGACAAGGCTTCGGGATACTGGGCTTGGGTCAAAGGTGGATTGTGATCGAGATATTATAGTGGGATATAGCCAAGAATATCGGTATTTCATGGATTTTTGAAAGGATGGTTCAATAGGGGATGCGACATTTTTCCTCAATTTTCCAAACCCAATTTTGACCCATCTCTGTGTTCTTCATGGGGAAAACTGCCAACTTGTTGAAGGATTGGGTGGATCAAAGATTCTCCGTATAGAATATGTATAGAATATGTATACCTTCGAGTAAAACGAAGCTAAGTATGTAAAATGACCATGTTGAAGTTCAGTAGATTCAGGAGGGATCATAGGCAATTTTCCATACTTATCATATGTTAGTTTGGAGGGTATCTATGATATTTTTGCAGCATACATTCTTCGGGATGTCCTCCAGCTTTCCCAAGGGTTGATGATACGCTGCGAAACACCGGCGTAGCTTCTGGTAAACATACAAAAAACGATGGAAAATCGCCATTTTTAATGGGAAAATCAACTATTTCTATGGCAATTGTCAATAGCTATGTTAAATTACCAGAGGGTATATCCCAATGTTACAATTGTGATTATATCCCAATATATTTATATATAATCGGATATTGGTATATAATCAATATCTCATATGTCACGGATTTCTCAGTCTATGGATTGTGATAATCCATGATATATATATATATTTGATAGTACAACTAGAAAGCCTATCATATAATGATTAACCAACAGGGTTTTAGCAGCTGCTCATCTCACATTTTCCAAGTGAGTTGGAACCACCAAGCAGTGGATTATCTGTTCATATCCTCCTTTTGGGTGAATATCTTTACCATGTGCTGGTTCAACCATCTCCGAAACCAGCAGCTATTGAAACCACCTTCTTCCACTTTGTGAAGTGTTTGAAGGGCTACAGGGAAGCTCCTGGTTTCGGGAATCCAGCAAGCCCCAATCCAAGATGCAAACAGATTTGGATATCTTGAAGTGGAGAAAACCATCATCGAACTACGAAATTTGTTCCATCCTGGACATACTGTGGATGGGCCAGCGAAATCCTGCACCACCTTATTGGATGGTTGAAAGCCAAACTTAAGATTGGTTTACAAACCCCATTAACTATAGATATATCACATTATATCACCCATAGTTATTGGAGTTATAGCCTTATAAATAATGAGATAAAACACCGGACCGTTTTCAACTGGACATCTCTGTGCTCCGGGTCGATTTTTTTTCCATCCAAGATTTCTTCAAAGGCCCCGCAGTTTCTGAGGGACGACAAAAAATCATGACTACCCAACCTGGTTATGACTAACAGTTCGCCATGGTATAGATGGCCCATAGACATAGATGGTTTACCGAACTTAGAAATGGTGATTTTCCATGGCTATGTTAGTCATAACCAGATGGTACTATAAATTTACTATGTTTCATTATTTGCAGGATCAACATGTTCCTCAGAATGATTTAGAAAGTAAATGATGAAACATCTGCCCAAATTACTGCGACCCCAGCCGAGGTGACGAGGTTAGTTAGAGAGAATTAACGAGGTCAGTAGCGAGGTTGCTTATTGAGAATTAAGGAGTATGGGCAGTTTTCGGACATGTAGATGGCACGGACCCATGGAATAAAACTTTTGGAGAGCTGGAAAGTTTATTTTGATGATTCAAGCAGGTGGTTGAGTTAAATTTGTATAGATCGAGGCGGCTGTGTAGTGGAAGTAAATAGATTCCAAATCCACCAAAAAAAACTTTTCAGGCTGCCAAAAGTTTGTTTCATGTCCATCCGGTGCCTCACAGACAGCGCGCCAGGGCTTGTAGCAGACAAAACTTTTCAGTGCTGGAATTTGCCAGACACCCTCACTTCAGTACTGGGGCTCAAAGACTCGCACGCGCAAAGTTCCAGGGCCATGCCGCTCCGAGTTCTTCTCCATCCTATAGATATACATATATATGTATATATATATATAAATATACATCCATACATACATACCTACAGCCTGAAATTTATAACGAGGCGAGGGGTTATTTTCGAAACCAGATTTAACGAGGCGAGGTGCTATTTTCTAAACCACATGTAACGAGGCGAGGTGCTAAATTCGCGTAACGATGATCAGACACGAGGTAGACGAGGTAAGAAATAAAGTAATTTGCACAGAAACATAGTAAATTGTGCTAGTTTTTGAATCATAGCAACATTTACTATTGTTCATCATTTACTATGAAACCATCTGGAAATCACTAAATCCATGGTTTTTAGTCATTACTAAAACCTTGGTTCACTAATTCTGGGTTGTAAGTAATCATAAGTAATCACTAAATCACTCAAACCATCCATGGTTTTTAATCATCCAGCCATGGATGGTGCTTTTTTTTTCTCAAGAGGGTCACCGCAAGTCACCCAGGCCGTGACTTTATGGGACAGGGCGCGCCACCCATTTCGCAGCAGCTGAAGCAGTTGGTGGATGTTGAGGCGTGGCAACTGGGGGACTTCAGAAATCCCTACGCCCAATTTTGAATGAAGCATGTATGGCAAGTTATAGAGTTACTATTACTGAAAGCTGTATTACTTAAGTATGATACATACATACATATATATATAATGTCTATACAGTATTGCAGAACAATGTGTGTTTGCCTTGATGTTTTGGGCTTCCTTTCCCATTGCTCAATAGATCGTACCAGAAAATTATCTTTGCACCTGCATCCATGGATTTTCGAAGCATGGCAACAATTCGCATGGTTGGATTAAAAACCATGATGTACCAGACTATGCCGTGTAGTTTCTGGTACACGTTTACAAAAAACGATGGAAAATCACCATGTTTCATGGGAAATGTCACTATAAATCACAATTTTCAATAGCTATGTAACAAATTACCAGAGGGTCGTTTCTGAAACTACAAGCCAATGAGGTCAACAAAATTTCCCAATCTGACCCTGGCTTAACTCTGGGATGTACCCTGCACCAAACAGATACTTTCCCAAACAGGAAATCACGGGTCCAGTTGTCCATGTGTAGAAAATCCATGATAATCAATATGATATATATATATATATATAATCCATGATAATCATTGTGGTTAGTGGCTATATATTGGTTATAATATATATATATATAATTGGTTAGATTACTGGAGGCTGTTGAAAATCAATCGGATCTTTTTGTAAAGTGTACACTGCAAGTTGGGCATCTTCCAAGGTGGGGCCTAGATAGGCAAGTTGGCTTGAAAAACTACCCTCTGGGAATGACTAACAGTTTGCTATGGAAAATAGCCATTTAGTTCGTTCATTTACCCATTAGAAATGGTGATTTTCAATCGTTTTTTGTATGCTTACCAGAGGGTATATGAGCAAGGGTCAAAAGACGCTATGAAAGGCTTCAATTACGATCCGCCATCACTACTCAAAATATGTGATTTACTGTGTGTAGCGATAGGGGGCCTTATGTAGCGATACCTCTTTTTAGACTTTGTTTATGATTGAACCTTCCTGTTGTGCGCATGACTTTCCAATCTTTTGATGTCAGAGTGCGACACTGGAGCAATCGCAGTGGGCTGGTCTTCCTGGGTAGTTGCAAGATGGCCTGTCGTCAAGTATATATGAGATAGTTACATTAAACAATGTTGATATATTGTGGTATGTTGATCTATAAGGTATGCAAGAAACTAATTCATAACGCATCATGAACTTGATGATGGTGATGATGCTGATGATGATGGTGATGGTGATGATGTTGATTCAGATAGTGACCGTGCTGAGATATGTTGAAAAAGCATCCTTGTGCGGTCACGGACGCTTCTCCAAAGCCACTGTCCAGGAGTAGAATTGCAACATGGAGCTTGTCAGAATTTCGTGTCACTTGAAACATACCCCTGAGATCACACATTTTCTGGTCCCCGTAGCGATGCCCGAAGCGATACCCCTCGATACCCAGAGCGATACCTGAAATCCATGAAATTAGGGAGCACCCCACCTGGTCACTTGAAACTATACAACTTGTGCTATAGGTGGAAAAATATGGGAAGTATGAACAAGGGTACCCTCAAGTTCTTAATGGGTTAGTTCTTAAAGGGTTCATTTGGTCAGGGTTTTGCCGATTCATTTTGGCGTGGTATTAGGTTGCAAAGGAGGCGGGGTGAAGAAAAAAAGGCGCCGGAAACAAGGCAGCACAGGCAAGACAAGCCAAGACAAGCCAACACAAGCCAAGGGCAGCCTCCGAGGTCAGATGACCTGCAGTGAGTCCGGCTGGTGTCTAGCTGAAGCTGTCGACGTCAGCCTTGGTGATCACGTAAAAGTTTGAATTTCCCTGGAGATACCATCGCAAGAGGAATAAGAATCCGATTCCTCATCTGGATCCTCCTCTTCTAGCAGCGATTCTGCCTAGTTGATGAAAAGGGTGCTGGGACTGTGTGTAGCGATAGGGGGCCTTATGAAGCGATGCCATGACCTCACCACATGAATTGAGTTTTGACCGTCGCACATATAGACTTAATTGCCTATGTATGGTAGATATATCTGTAGTTAGACGGATTCACGCACCACCTATATAATATTTGGGGGGGGGCGCTGCATGGTGCGTACCCTCAAAATCAAAACAACTTGTGTTGCAGCTGGTGGGTCAACCCTGCACTCAGCCGTGTCTGAGTAAATCTGGGCGAAGGATACCTATACTATACAACAGTTTAATTAATACAACATTACCAGTTGCAAGTTATAGGTAAATGATACAACTATACCTTTATAATCCTATATAAGATTACAACTATGATAATACAACAAGTTGTAAGTCTAGGTAAGTTAGTATAACTATCATAATCGTAATGTTTGTATATGTATAAGTAATGATGAAGTAATGCTTTGTATAAGGATACCTATAAGACCATGTTTGATTAGTATAGTACAACTACAGTACAACTTACTTTTTTGAGCTTTTTTGGACTTATCGATCTGACCAGCTAAAGCATTTGTTCTTTTTGTTTCCCGCCTGTGAAAGTTGCTGAATGATATCATGTTTAATATAACATGTTGATTAGACATAGTTAATGGGTTGATATCATGCTATAATTGATATGATATTTAATATCATAACATAGTTTAAATATCTTTGGTGGTATATGGGTTGATATCGAATAAACTAATCTTTAATGAAAGCTAGTTCATGGGTAGATATCATGTTTAATTAACAATCAGTTCAACAGGATAACTCCCCCACACCGCAAGATGAGCAGATCCAGTACTCCGTGGCGGCATTAGAGAGGGCTACTTGATATTTTGGCTACTGTATATATGTACTATGTATATATATATATAGCTACTTCAGGGTGAGTAAACCACATGGAATCATCATTTGGATGGTTACCCTCTGGTTTTTTAACATAGCCATGCGAAATGGCCCATAGAAATAGATGGTTTACCTCGGTTTACCTATTAAAAATATGGTGACTTTCGATATAAATCACCATGTTTTCCCATGGTTTTCCCAACATTTTCCCATGAAAAATGGTGGATCTATCCATGGCAAACTCTGTAGATCATTTTCCCAGGGGAAAAGCCCATGGGAAAACTCCTCCACATCTCTACCCCAGGGTAAGTCCCACTAAAAACCCCTGAGAAAATTCCCACAAAAGATCCCATGAAACCCTAAAAACTCCCATGAAATCCCATGAAATCCCACCACTTTTAACGTTTCGGGAACGCAGGAAACGAACGGATGTCGTCCTCAAGTCGCCGCCAGGTGAAGCGCATCGTGGATGAGCAGTACCAGCGCGGCACGCAGTTGCCGCTGGGATTTTAAAATCTGGGAATCTTTGGGGATTATATACCCAGATGATATATTAACAGATGATACTTGGGAATGGTATTTTAACAATCCCCTATGAACAGATGATATATTAACAGATTGTATATTATAACCTATTATTAACTATCCTGTTTGGGAATTGGGTATAATTAATATAATATGGGGTTATAATTTAACATTTAATATTTAATGATATTTCCTATTATTAATGATTATTATATACTTGGGAACAGTTCATTAATATACCCAGATGATATATTAACAGAGAATTAATATATACCCTATATTATTCACCCAATGATATATAAGTACTTTTATTTTATAAATAGTTTAATAGTGATGAATACTTATAATGTATAGTTCATTCACTCAAGGATCCCAATTATATAAAATCCCAATTCTAAGTACTTCAATAAACATTATAAAATTGGGATATTCATTCACCAAAAAATCATGGGGATTCCGAAGATTCCGGCTTCCCATGACCAGTGGCACCAGTGGCTTCGATCTACCCATGGTCCCTTAATTTTCACCAAGCGGTATAATCAATGTAAGGTGATCCTCCCTCCAGTTATGTTTCTCGGTAAATTATAACGACCTCACTGTTCTCCCTCACTGGAATCATGGTTAGTAAGGGAAATCATCCCCATATGGCCTTAATTCAGGTTAGTGAATTATTATAATTTACCCAGATGTTTGTTGGTTTAAAAAAACATGAAGTAGTTCTATATCTACTACCAACCATAATTAATTCACCAATATCGGCATATATGTCTGCCCCAACTTAGCATAACTTCGGAACTGGGGCACAAAGACCGTGGTTTCAATCTTCGTTGGGTGGGAACGCTGCTGGTTTCGAAAACTGCCGGCAGGTTGAGGGATAACATGTTCCTCTTGGACGAGCTGGCGAAGATGCTGATGGACCAGGTGACCGTTGGTGAAACTTTCGGTACTTGGTGAATTAACCATGGCATCCATGGATGTTTGACCACATAAATGGTGGATTAAATTTGTTGGGCAACTTGAGCCTAAGTTATTGAGGTCATTGAAGTTATTTGCAACAAATAACTAGTAGCTAATAGTTGATAGTTATTCTGGTTGGCGGTTGGAACATGAATTTTATGACTTTCCATTGAGTTGGGAATTTCATAATCCCAACTGACAAACTCATATTTTTCAGATGGGTAGGTATACCACCAACCAGTATTATCATCATTATTATGTGACCATGTGATATGTTAACTATGGTCTGATCAAACATCCATAAACCATAGACTGGTCATTACTGTAACAATTACCATATTGTTGATGTTGGATGTCTATGGTTTATGGATGACTGGTTATTGGATAGATCAACTATGGTCAATGGTTAATCGGAGTTATGGGACATATGAATTATGGTCAATACAATAAACTCTGGATGTTGACTAACTCTGATATCCCATAATTCATAATTAGAGTTGTAATAACCAGTCATAATTAATTCTGGATGTTGATATGACTAGCCTATACTGCAATTTACTTACTCAACATAACTGGGGAGCCTCCCCTGGTCCCATCCCCAACTCCTGGCAGGGTCTACGTGACTAGAATGACTAGAAGCTGAGTTTATTGAGTTTATGATAGATGCTTCATATTTCTCCAACATTTTGACTGATTTTGACTGTGTTGATGATAGTCCCCATCCCGCTTTTTCTTGCTGAAATTCATTGACATTCCACTAATCCCACTCTTTAAATTCCACATCCCACTCATTCCCACATTCCCACTCTTTTTTTTTCATTTGTTTTCACCAGCTACGCGCCATTCTCCCATGTTTTTTCGCCGTTCCATTTCATCCCAAGCACTCGACTCACCTAATCCGGTGATATACCCCGTTTTCGCTGAGTGTATCCATAAAGATGATCCCTAAATATATTGATACACTCAGATCATATTAAAAATATATTGATCATATTAAATACAAGTTAATATAACATTTTTTGCTGGACAGTTCTATCCCCATTCCCATGACGGATCCATGGTGCTGCTATATATGGTAACATGGATCCCACCAATATACCCCCAATGCTAGCATATATACCAGCACCATGGATCCGTCATGGGATTAGATACCAAGTTTGGTTGGTTTCTCCTCCCATTTTCTGTTGATCTCGAAAGTCGGAGGTGCCATGATTGCCGTGATACCATCGATACCATCGGCAGGAGAAGGTCAGTGGTGAAGAGCTCATGAAGTTGATCAACAAGGTGCCCAGTGATGCCCAGTGCACACAGTGGCGCTAGGTGGTACCTCATAGTGACCATGAAACCATGGGGATATCACTAAGAAAAAAAGGCGGTATTTTTTCGGTGATTTAACATAGAGTCTCGTCCAACTATGTAGGTGCACTAGGATTTATGGTCCATAAGAGATTTTTTGATATACCGATATACCTATTTTCAGATACGTGTATAAAGCAACTTATAAGTGGGGGGGGGCACAGGAAGGTCACTTACGCTACATTGTCAAGTTACATCAGGGTTTGATCATCAAGCAATTCTCATACCAGGTGGTGCCGAATAGTTTGCTATGTTGGTGCAAATAACTTCAATAACTTGGGTTTATGGTAGATATATCAGAAATATCTATAGTTACTATGGTTTCTAATCCAACCAATATCTATAGTTACTATGGTTTATAATCCAACCAAATTTTACCGGGGGGGGGGCGCACCACCTTGTACGGATTGTTTGGACCCAATCATGTTTGGATTCCCATGGTCAACAGGTTTGACCACAAAAATGGTGGATTTGTTGGGCAACTTGAGCCTAGTTATTGAGGTCATTGAAGTTATTTGCAACAAATAACTAGTAGCTAATAGTTGATAGTTATTCTGGTTGGTTGGGTTGGAACATGTTTTATTTTTCCATTCAGTTGGGAATGATAATCCCAACTGACTTTCATATTTTTCAGAGGGTTGAAACCACCAACCAGTGTTTGTTGGGCAACTTAACCCATTGTTTTGCAACAAACTAAGTTTACGATAAAGTTGGAATCTTTGGGGAAAATGAACAGGATCTTAGCGTGAGCTAGCCTCGGAAACCATCTGGCCACATTGGGGGCTTTCCATAAATGATCCCCAATAGATCCCAATAGATAGTTGGTTTACAATGGAAAATCCTATTCAAAGGGATGATTTAGGGGTACCCCCATGACTTTGGACTTAGGAAACCTCATAACTTTGTTGTTTGGCAAAGGGTGTCATGGTACCGACACGTCGACACTTCGATGAAGGTCCATTTAGTCTGATTTACCGGACATGTGGATTTTCCAGTTCGCTATGTTTAATCATTCAGAGGGTGTAATATACTATATATATATATATATACATCTATTAGTGGGCGTTATTTATTATATAATGGATCTATTAGTGGGTAATATATGAACATATAATAACATACTATAGGTATATATATATGTGCATTTCTCACTATCCAAGAGTTGCATCATGCCACTTTAATGAGCTAAATATTATAACATGACAAAAGTGATACTATAATGGTATAAGTGTGAGGAATTTGAGTTATATATTGTCAACCCGCATTGTATCACTATGCCACTATAGTGTCAGTTATAACATTATATAAACTGAAAACATGATGATATATGATTATACATTATAGCCATTTTAATATAACTGACATGTAAATAATAGTAAAATATATATAGTATGTTTGGTGTAATTACAATACAGCATTACCATAAATATATGCAAATCAACGATTTACCTACTAACCATGTTGATGTTCAATAGCTACCGTTTTTTTTCCGTAGGATATATTAACTGTTCCTATTAAATCACGATTAAATCACAATTAAATCCCGCTAAAATCTATTAAATCACTATAAATCACCATCAAATCATCACCAAATCCCATTAACTTCTACTAAATCACCATTAAATCACCATGAAATCACCATCTCTACTGCATTCCCACTTTTCAGGCAGCAGCTGAGGGAAAGCTGGTCATGGGCAACTCGCGCATGGCGGTGGCCGCCTACACCGGACAGGTGGTCGCCAAGAAGACCAAGTGCCCTGGAGTTCACCGAGTTCTCCCTGGAAAATCAGGGACTGGTTGGTGGTTTCAACCCAACAGGACTGGTTGGGAAAATGGTGATTTATATGGAAAATCAACACCATTTTTTCATGGGTAAATCAATTATCTTGTTGGTGGTGACTGGAACTATGGTTTTCTGTTTTTTTTTCCGATTTTTTCCCATGGAAACGGATTTTGTCCATGGTTTTTCCGTGGATACCATAGGTTTCACTATGATATTTTTTTTTGCGACAAATGGTGATTTCACTGGTGATTTACCATTGATGGATTTGACCAAAGGAACATGAGGGATTTGCTTCCGTGGTGTTTTCGAAGAAAAGGGCTGAATTTTGCCATGAAGAACATGAAGAATGGTTTATTGACGATGAAAAATGGTGCTGTTGCCACGAAAAGGCGTAAAAATACCATCAATCATGGTGAATTTACCACGAAACATGGTGATTCTGTCATGAAAAACATGTGGTTTTACCCAGACACATGCTGAATTTACCAAGAAAAAATGGTTTAACAAAAAATGGATCTTAATCAGCTGAGATATGTGGTCACACCCGCCATGGTCAAAATAATGTGCTAAACCAATGAATGGGCAATTAAGCAGGGAAGATGCGGACTGAAACAGGAAAATGGTGAATTGATCATCGAAACAAGGGATTTTTTACGATTTTAACATCAAACATCGTGAGTTTACCGGATTTTTTGATGGGATTTTACCATCAAATAGACGGATTGGGATTTAACCAATTAATGTGTATTACTGGCTGGTGGTTTGGAACATCAATTTTATTCCATTCAGTTGGAAATAATACTCCCAACTGACGAACTCCATCAGGTAGGTATACCACCAACCAGAGATGTATTTTGAGTGGTAAACCCAACAAAACATGTGAGCAAATTCTTGATGTATAGTGCTTTAGAAACGCTAGAATTTCTGGATTTGATGTGAGATTTCAGCAACTTATATGGTCGGGATTTCACTAACCCAACCATTTGTGGGGATACACTGGGGTAGGTGGTTTAAGCAACAAACATAGGCATTTTAGGTCTAGAAAAAAAACGACTGGATGGGTCATCGGTCTAGTACAAACTCAAACTCATCTCTTGTTGCTATTGAAAAACTAATCATAGCTATTGAAACTAACATAGCTATTGAAAATGGCCATAGAAATAGTGGATTTTCCCATGAACAATGGTGGATCTTTCCATAGTTTTTTGTATGTTTACCAGAGGGTATCAATTGCAAATGCCCGAACTGTTCATGAAGATTTAGTTCGCGAAAATCATCGACCTGAATTGGGAATTGTCCAGCAAACCATGTGACTGATTACCAGAGGGTATAAATGGGTATTTGGTGGTTTGGAACCATAGGATTGGGACACCTACAGGATGGTTTTCCCCAGTAATGTATGTTGGTTTATTAACCCCGTTGACCATAGTTATATCTACCATAAACAATCTGCTTGGTGGTTTGGAACATCATTTTTATGACTTTCCATTCAATTGGGAATTTCATAACCCCAACTGACAAAGTCATATTTTTCAGAGGGGTAGGGCTCAACCACCAACCAGGGTATGTCACGATATATACGAACGCAGCAAAAAAAAAACTGTTGTTGCAGGGTATCCAAGATTGGCAATGCTTTCACCATCAGAAAAAAGGGGATTTTACCAACAAAATTTGGATGAAACAACCGAACATGTGCAATTTTACCAACCGACCCAAAAACACCCTGCAAAAAAACACTATTTCCTGGTTGGTGGTTTGGAACATCAATTTTATTTTCCCCAATAGTTGGGAGGATGATCCAATCTGACTGATGTTTCTCGAAGGGCTTGAAACCACCAATTAGTTTTGGTGTACACGATACATACGAAACATACAGAAATCGTGGATTTTGTCAACAAAGATTGTGCTCTTGCCATCCATAATAGTAGGAACATTACATTATTTTCACCATACAACAATTTGGTTTTGAGCAGCAAACATGATGACATTGCCAAGACAATTTGCATCTCACCCATGAATATTGTAATGGGAATGCGTTTTGAACATCATATACCCTCTGGTAAACTAACATAACCATGGAAAATCACCATTTTTAATGGGTAAATCAACTATAAATGGCCATTTTCAATAGCAAACTGTTAGTTTACCAGAGGGTAAAGAGGAAACTGTGGGGTGGGTCGGGCATAGGTCACAAAATGGGACATGTTGCCATGTTGTTTTTCGACAACACTTTTTTGTCCCTTCAAAATGGTGATTTTTTCCGGGAATGCCGCCGTGTTGACCCATAGCCTTATGATAAAACATGTGGGTGTGAATTGGTCGGAAAACGTAGGAAATTGGGGTTTTATGATTATGTAAATATTGTTTTTTCATTTGGGTATCAGGGATTTTTGACATGTGTCATGAGATACTAATAAGCGATATAATAGATGGCACTTTGTTGGAGATGGTTCAAACATATGGAGTACCCTAAGACGCATAACCATATTAATGTGCATGCCACTTCTATCCATGTCTTAGGTGCATCCATCAACATGACATGTTTACTGACTATATCCGAAATTTGTCAGTAAATGAAATGCATATCAATAATTTCATGAAAATGCAATGTTCTGTTCATTTACTGACTATTGCAAACATTTCATATCAATAGTCATATCAATAAGTGATTCATGAAAATGAAATGTTCTGTTTTTTGAATCACACCCATGCAGCAATGCATCTCCCTTGAACCAACAAGCTTGGCTTTATTCAACCCAACCTCAATTTTGTTCAAGCAACCCCACTTTTCATTTTCAGTGCAGAAACAAGACAAATCCAAATGTTGAAGGTTTTTCTTCCTGAATAAATCAGAAATGCACACCTCCAACTGGGATTTCAGATTAACAAACCCCTCATTCTTATGCATTAAACCCTCAATGTGCAGATTTCATCAGACTTTCCCATGGTTTTCCTATTGGTTTTCCCACGCTTTTCCTATGACTTCCCCTATCAATCCATCGTTTTCCTAAATTTTCCCATGGTTTTCCTATGTTTTTCCCTATCAATCCGTGGTTTTCCCATCGGCTTTTCCCTAGAAATCCCCTAAAAAAATCCACGTTGAAAACCCATCCTCCAGGTGCGTCCACCCGGACAAACCCATGATGTTCGCCTGCGCGGACTGCCCCCGCCGCGGCTTCTGCGGGTCCACGGCAAAACCACCCAGCGATCGCCTAAGCCGCGACGCGAAGCGGTCGGCCATTGCCAGGCGATTTGGGAGCGATGTATGGTACTAAAATGGTATTTACCATGGTGGATAAATGGAGAAACTATGACCAATTGTAATTGTATAATGATGGTTAATGATGATTAATGAAATATCATTGGATATCATGAAATATTCCATTAATGTCAACCCTGGATTAATAAACCTCGTATAAACCCCGTTTACGGCTGTGACTAATTGGGAGGGTACCATAAAAAAGTATCAGATGAAATGACTATTGGAGGAGTACCCCCCTAATTAATAAACCATAGTTTATCAATCCGGGGTTGACATTAGTGGATTTTGATAACCCATAAACCATGACCAACTATAGTTAATGAACAATCAATGGAGAAACTAGGATCAACTATAGTTCAATGAACTATGATCAACTATGAATGGAAAAGGATATTCATAGGATTTTGATAAGCCATAGGATTGCGAAAGCTACAGGATGGTTTTGCCCAGTGATGTGGGGAGGTGTTTTTTCACCACCAAGCAGTATTTACATGTTTTTACCATAGTGGATAAATGGAGAAACTATGATCAACTATGACCAACTATAGTTCATTGAACTAGCCTCTGGTAAACTAACATAACTATGGAAAATCACCTTTTTAATGGGAAAATCAACTATAAATGGCCATTTTCAGTAGCTATGTTAAATTACCAGAGGGTATGATCAACTATGGTTTAATGGAAAGCTCATGGTTAACTTACTTACCAAAGAAAGGATGGGGCCCCCAAGGTAGCTAAGTTGGTTTATACAATGTGGTGCCCCCAAACGTTATGTTTATTGCTTTATAAACCCCATCAATTAACTATAGATATATCTACCATAAACCATAGTTATTGGAGTTATGAACTTAGCTATCTTGGGGGCCTCACATTGTAACCCCATCTAAATATAGTTATTTGCGTATCATACACTATTGTTATTATAGTCAGCAACCAACTTAGCTAACTATGGGGCCCCATCCTGTACCATAGTGGAGAAATTGAGAAACTATGACCAATTGTAATTGTATATCTATTTTGATAAGCCATAGGATTGCGAAACCTACAGGATGCTTTTCCCCAGTGATGTTTCTTAGTTTATTAACCCTATTGACCATCTGGTTGCTGGTTTGGAACATGAATGTTATTTTCCGTATATTGGGAATTTCATAATCCCAACTGACTTTCATATTTTTCGGAGGTGTTGAAACCACCAACCAGTATTTACCATAGTGGATAAACGGAGAAACTATGATCAACTATGACCAACTATAGTTAAATGAACTATTATCAACTATGGTTAATGGAAAGGTCATGGTTAACTTAGTTACCCTCTGGCAATTTAAGAGTTTGCTATTGAAAATGGCACATTTATAGTTGATTTACCAATTAAAGATATTTAAAGATTGTGATTTTCCATTTGTTTGCAAGAGGATATCAGATAGGACATGATGGGAACATACTTGAAAATTACCAGTTCGGAATCTTTTCTCTTATTAGAGAATTAGAAATGGTATCCTCCAGTATTTTACTACTAATCCTATGGTATTTATTACTATTGGAATGGTATCAATGGTATTTACTACTATTGGAATGGTATTGGAACGGTATAACAATAGTTATGGTATAACAATAGTAAGTATTATTGGTACTACTTGTTGATTATTTATTGGTACTACTAAGGTATTTATCAGATAAGAAATTATGGGAAAATACATGAAAATACAAGTTGTATTTATTTTCTGGATAGGTATTATTAGATAGTTAAAAATTGTAGAATCTTCCAACCCCTATTTGCCAGGGTCTGTACTAATTTATTGGAGGGTAGATAGGAAATGATTGGAAAATACATGAAATTAATTGTTCATATTCTAGATAGGTCTTAGATAGTTCGAAATTGTATTGATGGCATAAGATTTAGGATATTTTCTATTTTGTAGTGGTTTATGTTTCTTGCGGAACATTTTGTGGTTACAGAAAGGATTTTCTATATATATATATGTGATGGTAGACCATGAATTGTGAAAATTATGAATTGTCTACGAAATTATTAATCGCGCGTTATCTGTCAAATCCATATCCATTTGATGAATCCTATGTTGATCCGTAGGTACATGGTGTGAACTATCTAAAGAAATAGTTTACTACGGAGATAGTTCATAGGGATATCATTTATAAGGTGTCTGTTGAAAGGGGGATCATAATCACCGAAATTTATTGGTTGATATGGGATGAGATTTGTCGCAAAATTCGTGGGAAGGGCCGTAAAATCACTGGTTAATCATCAGTATCTCTATTCAATCGCCGTTTTGGGGGGTTTACCCCATTTTCAGACAAAGCCCATTATCCAAGAAAATTGTATATAGTGGATGATACCCAATTTTTCCAAGCTACTGATTCAATTCTTACCTATAAATAATGGGGTTGAGCTGGGTTTTGTGGGTCGTCAGCACACATGCGGTGAAAACCTGGCAATATCAGTTTTAATGGCCGTGGTGGATTTTATTCACCAAGGATAAAAGGGGATTGCAAGTAACGAACAGGAGCTGGTGGGATAGTTGAGTAATTAGTTCAGATATACCCCAAACGGGAATCAAATGTGGCTAGCTCGAAAATCCCCGCACGAAAAATTGCCATTTGAATCGGATAATAGTAATATATAATGATGATAATTTTAATAACAATAATGATATAATACTGATGTAACAATAAGCCTCTCTCCCTATTACTAAAACACTCCCCCACCCCCCAAATGGTAAACACGGTGATATATTGTTTTTATTAGGGGGTATTTGTATTAGGGTGCCCCTTATATTCCAATGAAAACCACGCCCCCCCCCCAAAAAAAAACACAAATTTGATTAAATCCCGTTTAAAAATCTATATAAAAAATAGTGCCAAAAACTGGATTTCGAGGCTTTCCCCTAATGTCCAATGAAAACCTCAATAATAGAAACAAACAAAATGATTCCAAATTTGATTAAATCCCTTATTATAATCTATATGAAATATTGCCAAAAACTGGAATTCAAAGCTTTCCCCTAATATTCCAATGAAAACCCTAATAATGAAAATAAAAAACCTCCAGGTGGCAATCTATTTTTATTAATAGGGGGTTTAACCCATTGTTTCACCATCCTGTTCTCCTATTGATTCTCAATTATCACAATTAAGAATCCAATTGTGCCCAACCAAAAAAAAACGGAAGTGCCACACCAATCCTTCTTTTATTTGGTGGAGTTTTAGTAAATAATAAGCCCAAAGAATATCCCCAACAGCTAGGAAAAAAGTCACCAAATGTTTGTCGCAATCATGTTTGAGAGCTGGCTGAGGTAAGCCTTTGATTGTCTATCCTGTCAATTCGGCAATTCAGGAAGTTATTTGCAGCTCTCTTTTTCTCAGTTTTCCAATGCGCGCGTTTGAACACACAGCAGTGGCCCCACACATTTACACTCCACACTTTACACTCCACACTCCACATTCTACACTACATTCCACACTTTACACTCTACACTTTGCACTTTACACTCTACACCTTACACTCTACTCTCCTTACTTTGCACTCCACCATCTTCCGTATTCCACAGTCTACAGTGCACTGGTAGGGTCACAGGGGAAGAATGTAGACTGTTCAAAAAACTTGTTTCACAAAAGTGTTCTACGTGATTGCATTCGGGTTCGTGGGCTGCATCTTGTTTGATTTTTTCTTGGCGAGCTACCTATCTTATGTAACGACATGCACAACTACTGTACTGTAGCGTCTGTGGCTATGCTGATCTCCCTTGTCCCATTTCGCCGCCCAATGAAACACACATGCATGCATGCATGCATGCATGCACTGGTCAGGTGCCATCTTTCACGATGAGCCCTTCATCGCGGACGCCGGCCAGGAGCAGCATCGAGCCAAGCGCCGACGCTGCAGACGCAAGCATGAGCCAAGCGCCACCTCCACACTGCAGCAGTCGCTTATGCTTGTATAAGTGACCGGGGTCAGTCATGCTTGCCGCAGGACAATCAAGAGCGGCTGCTTCTGCCCGGGTACTTCGCCATCCCGGTGGCCGCTCTTGATTCGTCGCGTCTGGCGCGGGAGATGGAAGTCACGCTCTACACGGTGGATTGGGGAATGCGAGGGCCGACATCATAAAGTTTAGATTAATTTGGCCACTTGACCGACCAGCTCCTCTGCATTTCCCCGCATGGCATCGTGTCTGTAGGAAACAAACCCGCGACCCTCTTCCGCTGGAACGAGAGCGTGGACTTGCCGCGGTGCTTGGAGGCGGTCAGTGGGCGCGAGGATGGTAGTGTCATCTACTCCTCAAAGCCCCTGGCCTGCAGCATCTCGGCCACGGAGGAGTTATTCGGTTCTGCACGCAATGGCCACCATGCACCATGATGATTGTCTTCCCGTGATCGCGACAATTAACGCTCTGCGGCCTTTGAAACTTTGCCAGGTGCTCGAGAACGCGGGGAGTTTGCAGACGGCGTATGCCCGGTTCCGGCTGCTCTGCACTCCCTCTGCGACCTACCAGCTCCCCATGGAGGCTTGCAGCTTTGTCATGTAAAGCAGTGGTGTAACATGCAAATCAGGAGCATCGCATCCTACAGAATAAACGATGCTTAGCATCGCATGAACATATATGACTTGAGCACGATCCCCCCCTCTTAAGATTCCCACAGGCCGAAGTCCACGTCGTTGACGACACCTTCAACTCGAAGGGCGAAAACGTCACGGATGCACAGGCCTCCATCGGCTATGCCCTGGCCGAGGCACCTGCGCTGCGCACAATTTTTCTTTCATGTCATAGATGCGTTTGCAAGATGCTCAGGCGCAAAAGCGTCCTTCAATAACAAATGTATGTAAATATGCCATATGAAATGATGTCTGTCCCTGTCAGGCTTTGGGTCTCCTCGACAAAGCCCTCGTCGACCGGCAGCCCGAGATGGGGAGGGTCTGCTATTCCGTGTGCCAGTTCAGATGTCTCCTCATAGAGACGGCACCGGGATGCGCGTCCTCGGAAAGGGCCTTTTGGTCGTGGAGGAGGCCAGTCAACTTCAACCGTTTTTTTTTCTTGCGTGGCGAGCTACCTATCTTGTGCAAAGACATGCGCAACTACTTTACAGCTGTCATGTCGCAAATTTGGCACTGCTGATGGTTTTACCTTTGGGGGTTTTGGTGTGGGGGTGGAGTTAGGGTGTACTAATGTTTCTCATCATGTCGCAAATTTCGATGGTTTGATCTTTTACGGTTTTGGGGTGTGGCAAGGGTGTAGCAATGTTTCTCATCATATTGGTTGTACCTTTTATTAGTATTTTGGAGTCGGGGGGTGTCAATGTTTCATAAAGTTTCTCATCATCTCGTAAACTTGACACAGCATGTCTTTCCCTATTAGGGTTTCGGGGTGGTCTGTGTGCGATAACGTCCTTTGGCTCTTGGCACAGGGACTAAATGCTAGGCTGTGAGATCTTCTTGCACCGCGCACCGACATGATGCTAGGCGATCAGATCTCTTTTAATTAGTGGTAATATATGAATGACAAGTTATATGCAGAAGCTTCTAATGCAGCGCGATAATGTGCCTATGAGTTTCACTGTTGTTTACAAGTAGCTCACAGCAGCAAACTGAATCAATTCTGTTGATAGAATTAAGCAGCAACCACGCTCTTAAGAACCCTGCGTAGCAAAAAGCATCCTCATGATCCTCAAATGTGCCATCACAGTTGGGAAATATTTACCACGGCCACATTTGCAATCTATTGCAACCTTTCACATATGTGTTGTCATGTGTCTTCCCTCGTGAAGAATCATGCGCTCATACTACATGTTTCTTGCATGCGTCCAGCCTGGTAGGCAAAGAAGATATCAGGGAGTCCAACATGATGACGAAGAAGATGATGATGATAACGGTGATGATGATGAATATGATGATGATGATGATGATGATGATGATGATGGTGATGATGATGATGATGATAGTGATGGTAATCCAGTAATCGTGGTGATGATGGTGGTGATGATGATGTATGCATGTTGTTGCTGTTGATGGTGATGATCATGATGCTCATGACCATGATGATAATGATGATCATGCTGATTATGATGATGAAAAAGAAAAAAGACGCAAAATAAAAATAAGAAGAGTGCGAAGACGAAGAAGAAAAAGAAGAAGAAGAAAAGAATAATATGATGATGAAATTGGTGATGATGATGATGGTGATGAGTGATGACGATGATGCTGACGGTGATGCTGATGCTGATGCTGGTGGTGATGATGATGATGATGACGATGATAATGATGGTGATGATGATGATGGTGATGCTGCTGATCATGATGATGAAGAGAAGATGGTGATGATCATGATGATGATGATGATAATGATGATGGTACGCATGTTGTTGTGGATGGTGATGATGATCATGATGCTCAGGATCATGATGACCGTGAGCACTATTTTGATGAAAAAGAACAGCGTCACAAGCGACGAGCAAAACAGCGTCACAAGCGACGAGATGAACAGTGTCACAAGCGAATGCCTCACCCTTGGGAACCCTTGCTTGGTAACCTTGCTTGCAAACCTGTTCCTGAAAACCTGTTTAGAGATCTGTTCTTGGGAACCTTGCTTGCGAACATGTTCTTGGCAACCTTGCTTGGAAACCTGTTCTTGAAACCCTTGCTTGGCAACCTTGCTTGGTAACCTTGCTTGGGACTATGTGCTTGGGACCTGTTCCTGAAAACCTTGCTTCGAGATCTTTTCTTGGGAACCTTGCTTGCGAACCTGTTCTTGGCAACCTTGCTTGTAAACCTGTTCTTGGCAACCTTGCTTGGAAACCTGTTCTTGAAACCCTTGCTTGGCAACCTTGCTTGGGAACCTTGCTTGGAAACCTTTTCTTGGGAACCTTGCTTGGGAACCTGTTTCCTGGGAACGCTGGGAACCTGTTCCCGGGAACTTGGGAACTTTGGGAATCCGGATTTTGGCTGCTCCGACCTGCTCCGAGACCTTTACTATGGCTGAAGACCCCAAGCTTACGCTGCTTGGGAATAATTTTCATAATGAATAACAATAACAATAATGTTCAAAAAATATATATATTTACACATATAAAAATACATTTATAGTATATAATAACTACATATAACTGTATTGTATATGACTGGGTAATTTTCCATTGCCATGTTTGATTGCCATGTTGGGTATGTGATGACCAAACATAGCTGGGGGGCACCACCTTGTAGGACAGGCCAGGGGGCAGATGGCGTCCGTCTCCCGGATGATAGCGTGGTCCGGTCAGGTACGGTTTGGCCTCTGATGTGGAACCTGAGTCCACTGGGGAGCAGGTGATGCAGAAGGTGGAGGACTGGCTGATATGAACATCCCCCATAAAAGAGGTTGAGTTCGCTGGGAAAATCATCAAACTACATGGTGGACTTTTCATTGCTATGTTTAACTGGTTGACTACTGGAGGGGACCTAAGATTCTGAAAACCAGAAATTAAACAGGAAATCCCACGGTAGGTTTTACAACTGGATGTTTTTCGGGCATGTTGCTGGTGGTTTTACAGCTGGAATGTGTTTTTTCCCCACACCTGCATGGCAAAAGAGCCAGTGTATAAAGACCCAGCAGGAATCAGACCTGAAGTCGGGAAATGCTCACTGTTCAACTGAGCTAACTAGTTAGGAAGTAGGTTATAAATTACAAAAATATCCCAATGAAATAATCCATAAAAACTAACTAGTTAACTAACTCCATGGCCCATCTAAGAAGGGTTGTGAGCGTTTCCAAGCGCAACAAAGGCATCATTGCAGGTGATTCACCATCCAGTTGGTTGACCCAAAGAAATCCCAGATTTCAGCGACCCTCCCGTAATCAAACGTGGAAGATCCCCTATAAATGAAAGTTTTAATGGAAATTTTTGATTTTCTATAGCTATGTGTCATTACCAGAGCGGGTTTATATCCATTAGATTATCCATATGCATAATGTTCAATTGTATAAATATGTCATTTATGTTCATTATATCACCATTATATCCAATATAATCATTATCCATTATATTTATCCCCATTATATTCTAACATTTGTAGTTTTTTAGGTCTTAATTTTTGATCCATAGCCTGGTTCATTACCCCCAAACACACCATGAACCCCCATTGTATCCCCAATTAATTTTATATATATATATATATATTCATTACATATTCGTATGTATACTTATAGTAAAAATACCCATATAATAATGTATGATACTTATATATTCATTTTATACTGTATAATACTTCTAGCAATACCCATATATTCATATCCATTGTTTACTATACACCACAATATTTATATACATATATGTATATATTCCATCACTATTGTTAGTATACTGATTTATAACACATTACCCCATATCAACTTTCTAGGAGATTATATCCAGTGATGTATAGTATATATTCATTATATTACATTATATATATATTCACTATTCCATTTAACATCTAAACTAAAATAGGTTATGCCTGATATTAATTCTGGATATAAAATGGAATAGTTAATATAAAACTTAATGCTTGATATATTAAAGTATATATTCATTATATTACATTTGATGCCTGCTATTGTTTTTCCATTACATCCCTTAAATTCTCCAGCTTTCCAGGAGATGGCAAAGGACATGTCTGTCCCAAGTTCCGTCGTGAAGTCGGTGGCTGCGCATCTTGGCAGATGTCTGTGAACTCTGAACGAAGGGGGTAGGGTTTGTTTAACAAGTGATTTAATGGGATTTTTTTGGATATAATGGGGTTTTTTATGAGATATAAGAGGATTTTATGCGATTTAATGAGACATAATGGGATTTTATGGGAATTTAATGCGATTTAATGCGATACAATGAGATTTAATGAAATATAATGGGATTTTATGCGATTTAATGCGATTTAATGAGATTTAATGATGTATAATAGGATTTTATGAATAATTTAATGCGATTTAATGAGACATAATGGGTTTTTATGGGAATTTAATGCGATTTAATGCGATACAATGAGATTTAATGAAATATAATGGGATTTTATGCGATTTAATGAGATTTAATGATGTATAATAGGATTTTATGGAAATTTATGGGGATTTACTGGTGATAACTTTTATATATATATATAAGATAGAACGGGATTTTGACTGGCATTCACTTATCTTCAATCCTATCCTATCTTCTTAAAATCCTATTTAATCCTAGATACTCCTCTATAATCCCATTATAAATCCTAGCAAATCTTATATGCATATTTATATATATATATATATATATGATAACTATATATATATATGTATGTATGTATGTATATATATATATATATATACATACATACTCCTATTCAATTCCAGTACAAATCTACAATTTCCCATGAAATCCCGAGGAAAACCCACCGCCATGGCCCAGGTCCACCCTGGTGGCCCTCTGCGCCTCCGCCGCGCCGCTGCCCGCGGCGGCCGACGATTTGCCGCCGCCGCAGATGCAGCCCTTTGGGGCGCCACAGATGCAGCAGCCGGGAGCACCGGCACCGCGGCGAGGGGTTGGGGGGTTAGGGAGGGGTTGGGGGTTGGAAATATTAGAAATGGATGAGATTTCTATGGAAATTTTGATGGGACGCCTGAGATTTCTGTGGGATTTCTATGGAATTTAGATTTCGAGATGGGATTGAGATTGGATTTTCTATGGGATTTGAATTCAATTTATATGGTAATTAGAGACTGATGATTTATATGGTTTGGAGTTGGTAAACATGACTGGGGAACCGTTGGGGTTATTTTTAGGTGGTAGCTTGTAACATTTATTGCAGTTGGTTTCTATTTAAATGTACCCGCTAAATAACGACCACTCCAACTATTTAAGAAGTGGTTACGTCCAAAAAATATGGAGATAAAATAGGCACACAGTTCTGTATAATCAATTACAAACGGTCAGAAAACAGATTTCATAGGTTCTTGATTGACGATTTAAGAATCAAAATGTGTTGATAAATTGGATAAACCTCAATGATCAAGTGTTTTGGATGCGATGAAGGGGATGATGGGATATCCATGGTTTTAAGATCGAAAACATGTTAGTGTTTTTTCATTGGGGAGAGTTGGGGGATGAATTAGGACAGGAGATTTTGATAGCAATAAGATACACTATTATACCATAGTAATGATATTGAACATATCACGCAACATGATCCTTCCATAAACATATTGTCAAAGGTGGTGCCTCCAAGTTATACGTTGGTTTATAAACGCAATTCACTATGAAAAAACATAACCATCATAAATCTCAGTGAACCTACTTATAAACCAACTTGGCTAACGCTCTGGGGCACAATTGTGTATCTAATTTAGACTACTTTGAATGACAGGATTGACCCTGTCTTGAGGTGATCTAGAAACCTCTGCCGATTCGCTGGTGCCAATGTGTCGAAAAAAATAGATTCCTCTAGGATCTCTGCAGGATTTGTAGTTAGATGGATTTATCGGAAAATAGAGTACATACCCCAACATCGTTTACCCTACGGTTTTCAAACTTGGCAATTCCCATGAAAACTTCCATTTGTGGTGGATTTTCCATTGTCATGTTCGATGACCAGAGGGAAAAACATATTTTTCCCATTGAAACTTGCCATTTCTTATAGGTACAGGGTGCCCCCCCCCCCAGGGCCCCAGGATGTTTGTTGGTTTATCACCCTTATTAACATCCATCAACTAGTTCTTTCTGTATCTACCATGAACCCAACAGTCACTGGAGATATGGGCATCAACTTAAGTTGGTAAATCCCATGAACATCATCACTTCACCGTTTTACCTAACTAATTCCTATGAGTTTGGTGATTTTCCCATCTATGAACCCATTCAACGCTCCATTGATATGGCATCTTCATGCATTTTCCCATGATTTTCCCATGATTTTGCCAGCTTTAAAACTGAATCGTGGCCATTTCCCATGATTTCGCCATGATTTCCCCATGATTTTCCCAGTTTTCCATGATTTTCTCATGATTTTCCCATGGCTCTTGGCCAAGGCCCGCATCAGCGGACGCGTCACCTACTCCCGACTGTTGGAATTCGTGGATGAAGGGTCTGTGTGGCCTGGAGAAATGGAGGAGATGGAAAACCCATTTGATGATGGAAATATATGGGCTAATTATTGGCTAATTATAGTATATAGTATAACTATTATTACCCACTATTATATCAGTATTAATATAGTACAATAGTACAATACCTTGTTGGTGGTTTGGAACCATGGAATTTTTTTGACCTTCCATTCAGAAAAGGGAATTTCATCATCCATAAGAATCCCAACCAGCTATAGATCCCATTGAATCACTGGTTATTGGGAATTTCCATATATTGGGAATAATCATCCCAACTGACTAATATTTTTTCAGAGGGGTACGGCTCAATCACGAATTTGATGTGTCCATTCAGTTGGGAATTTCATCATCCCTGACGATTCGTCAGTCACATTTTTCAGAGGGCTAGGGTAGGTATACCAAACCACCAACTAGATACAGCCCCAGATGAGGACAGCGTGGCAAAACTTCGGAATTCACCAGCAATGGAGAAATGGAAAGTTGAGCACCAAAAATTGGGATTTAGCCTCTGGTAATGACTGTTACATAGCTATGGAAGCCATGGCCCATTTTCCATTTAGTTCGTTGATTTAGCTATTTAACATCGCGATTTTCCATAGCAAACTGTTTGTTTACCAGAGGGTAAATGGAAACAACACATAACTAGCAACAGATTAATTGTTTGTGGACTATCAAAGATGGACTCTGAATAATCATGGGAATATGTGATAGGAATAAATATAGATAGATAGATAGATAGATAGACGATGGTTGGCTGATAATGTTTCTTAGTTCAGGGATTTCATCGGGTTTTAAGTATCAAACAATTTGGGAATAGAAGTGGGCAAGGCTTTGCAATCTTGCCTTTGCTAATGGCTAAGGTGGGATCCACAATAGTTGATCCAGGTTTGGGAAATTATGAAAAAATCTAGGGAACATCCCAAATCAACCAAATGGTAATAATAAGTTCCCACATACTGGTAATAGTATATAATAATGGTTAATAATGGCTTATTTCATGGATAATAATAATGGATATTACATAATATGATATGATCTGGTTGGTGGTTTGGAACATCAATTTTATGACTTTCCATATATTGGGAATAGTAACCCCAACTGACTTTCATATTTTTCAGAGGGGTAGGGCTCAACCACCAACCAGCAAATGAATAGAAAGTAAAGATTGAAAATCCACACGGTTTGGTGTTGAAGACAGACTCAGGTAGACTGGGAGATCCAATTGGATGGGTACTTGACAAGTACTTCAATCTTTTGCAAAAAATGGATTCACGATTGGCCACCGATCCCATGATGAATCAGCCCAAGTAGCATACACAATCATAATCCAGACATTATGATTGATAATTGGATATTATTGTGAATGCGGCATTACATCCCATATGCCAGTGGACTATGATCTGGTTATATCTGGTTATTACTCACAAAAAATCACTGGAAATTATATTTGGTTATATCTGGTTATATCTGGTTATCACTGGAATGCAGACGTCTCAATGGGGATGTCGACCACCATTTGGTATGAGGAGGGCAACCTGATTCGATGAGAAGTGGTGACCAACTGAGTTGGCTCGGTCGGTTTATAACTACCATTTCACTGATAGGTTTGTGGTAGATATACCAAACTAGTTCGTGGGGTGGACATAAACCAAAAACATAGGGTTTGAAGGCCACCTTCTATATCATCCCATTTTTTAATTATAGTTGGTTATGTACTATACCACCGTTGATATCCATTCAATACCAACATTTCTGAATGAAATTGACTCATGAATTATTGGCTCTTAATATATAGCACTCCTGGATGATGTTTTCTCCATCATGTCCAAGTTTTTTTACCTCTGGATTGGCCGGCCGCAATGGGGTACAGTCCTTGTATTCTCTGGTAAACTAACATAGCTATTGAAAATAACCGTTTATAGTTGATTTATCCATTAAACATGATTATTTTCTATAGTTTTTAGTATGTTTACCAGAGGGTATCCATCATTCCAGGTTCAAAAAACATTTGAACTTCTCTGGTCGTCCAACGTTGCTGGCGAAATCCTCGAAAACTCCCAAGTTGGTGAGATCATCCCATGACCCTCCGGTAATTTGTTACAGACATAGCTATTGAAGCCATGGCCCATTGAGAAATCGTTGATTTACCGAACTTAAAGATGGTGATTTTCCATAATTAGCTATGTTAAATTACAGGATGGGTATATTGTATTGTGATTTATTACTCCATTGTATTCCCATTATTGTTGGTGATCATCCACATTTTGTTGTTTCAATGCCATTAGACTATAACGTTCTCAAGATATTCCCATTGAAGTCATTTAGATATTGTAGATTCATATAGATTCCCTAGTTATGATGTATTTCCATATCTCCAGTTGGTTATAAAACTTCACTTAGATGGGCCATGGAGTTAGTTAAGTAGTTAGTTTTTATGGCTTATTTCATTGGGATATGTTTGTAATTTATAACCCACTTACTTACCCTCTGGTTATTTAACATAGCCATTGTATAGATGGCCCATAGAAATAAATGGCTTACCTATTAATAGCATGGTGGATCCTTCCATGGCAAATTGTTAGTCATAACCAGATGGTATTTCTACCATAAATCATAGGATTCAGCTTCAGCCACTTATAAACCATTAATATAACCCACATTAAGTATAGATAACTCATATTTTATGGAGATAATAAATGGCCTATCTAAGCAGTCCATTCCGTCCCAGATATCTTTCCGGTGTTTCGAATCACAGGAAGCGCGTGGACTTCTATGATCTCGGCAAGACGGCCGTGGCCTTGGTGAACGTGGCCGGACGGGAACAGCAACTGGTCTGCGACCTTCCAGGCCCGGCTCAGGTGAAAAGGGTGGGAAATCCTTGGAGAATACATGGTGAATGATGGTGAAATGTGCGGACCCCCTTTCTTATGTTTGATAAACTTAAATCACTATATACTTGTAGTTATAATTTTATAAGGTGTAAGTTATAGGTTATAAGTATATAAACCAAAGTTATTAGTTATAAACCAACTTAGCGATCTAGGGAGGCCCGACCTTGTAGGTGTTTGGATTGGTATAAAACCATGGAAAAAGCTAATGGATTTGTAGGTAAAAACGCATGGAATTTCATGATTTGCATCTAATTCATGTTGCACTTTCACGGATTTGCACAAGGTTGTGTCCCATTTCCTTGGCTAAGTTGGTGAACATAAAGTTGCCGATCGGGGTTCATAAACAAAACGGTTTATGGTAGATATGTCGCACCACTATTTCGGGGCATTACCTCGTAAGGGATATATATGATGTACTTGATGATTTATCCTCTGGTTATTTAACAGCTATGGAAGCCATTGCCCATTTATAGATGATAAAATTGATGATTTACCTATTTAAAATGATGATTTCCCAGTTCTCTACGTTAGTCATAACCAGAGGGTATATTATATATAGTTACATATTTGCCCCAACTATATTGATCATCTTATATCATCCATAGTTAATCAGTGGTTAATAAGTGGTTATCTGATTCATTGATGTGACTATTATATTGACATATATTAATAGTCAATAATCACTTAATGGTCATTGATAGTGATTAGCCTCTGGTAAACTAACAAAAAGCTATAGAAAATGGCCATAGAAATAGTTGATTTACCCATCAAAAATAGTGGATCTTTCCATATAAATCACAATTTTCCCATGGTTTTCCCATGGTTTTCCCATTGTTTTCCCATGGTTTTCCCATTGTTTTCCCATGGTTTTCCTATGAAACATGGTGATTTTCCATCGTTTTTTGGTGTAAACGAGTCCAAGGAAGCCACGGATGATGATGATTTTACTCCATCTTCTGGATTTTTGGGCTGGGGGTTTCCCAGCCATGTTACCCGGCCCGGTAAACGTTTACAAAAAAACATGGAAAATCACAATTTTTTATGGGAAAATGATGGGAAAACCATGGGAAAATGGTGATTTATATGGAAAATCTTAATTTTTTATGGGAAAATCATAGGAAAATGGTGATTTATGGGAAAATGATGGGAAAACCATGGGAAAATGGTGAATGAAAAGGAAAATCTTCATTTTTTATGGGAAAATCATAGGAAAATCATGGGAAAATCATGGGAAAATGGTGATTTATATGGAAAGAGATCCACCATTTTTTTTGGGAAAATGATGGGAAAACCATGGGAAAATGGTGATTTATATGGAAAATCTTCATTTTTTATGGGAAAATCATGGGAAAATCATGGGAAAATGGTGATTTATATGGAAAATCACAATTTTTTATGGGAAAATGATGGGAAAACCATGGGAAAATGGTGATTTATATGGAAAATTTCCATTTTTTATGGGAAAATCATAGGAAAATGGTGATTTATGGGAAAACGATGGGAAAACCATGGGAAAATGGTGAATGAAAAGGAAAATCTTCATTTTTTATGGGAAAATCATGGGAAAATCATGGGAAAATGGTGATTTATATGGAAAGAGATCCACCATTTTTTTGGGGGAAAATGATGGGAAAACCATGGGAAAATGGTGATTTATATGGAAAATCTTCATTTTTTATGGGAAAATCATTGGAAAATCATGGGAAAATGGTGATTTATATGGAAAGATCCACCATTTTGTTTGGTGGTAAATCCACTATTTCGACTGGGCCATGCTCAATAGCGAACTGTTAGTTTACCAGAGGGTAGACTACAGGAGGCGGGGCGCACCAAAATTTCTCCGCCAAAGCACCTCATCTCCATGGTTGGTCTTACACCCCCATTGTTCGGAAACTCACCAAATATGTTGGACGGTAGAACAATTCCATGCTTGGGGGTGCAGTTGGGGTCAAAATTTAGATACACCCACCGTGACGACCTTCACAATTTGGGACATACCTCCCTATATAGCTCGGTTCTATGTTTGCAAAGTGCGTTCCCATTTTTTCGCCGTTACATTGCCCTGTTGCCCAGTGGACTTTGTTGTGAATTTCCACCAGAAACCTGTCCTGGGGACCGCACGCGTCATTGCCACAGATATTCCCACATATTCCAGCATGTTGGACCCCATTATATGAAAGCTTCCCATATTGTCATTGGTGAACTTGGTGAACGGTTAAATCATTTAAATCCTTCCCACATTAAGAAACCTAATGAATCTCTTCAACATTAATTAATGTCATTGAACATCAGAAACATCCAGAAATCATGGTGATGCAACGGGGATGCAACGGGGATGGGATGATGGGATTGTGTGCTGGGAATGCAGTTGATGTGGACATATTACAGCCAGTTACGGCCATGAAAATTACCATCTGGTTATGACTAACAGTTCGCCATGGAAAGATCCACCATGCTATTAATAGGTAACCCATCTATTTCTATGGGCCATAGCTTCCATGGCTATGTTAAAAAACCAGAGGGTAGTTATAACTGGTTACATCTGGTTATTTCAATATTACAAATTATTCTGATTCTCCGATCTAACGAAAATACCTACCTGGGGATGCAGTTGAGGTTACACATGCGTACAACTGTGGTTATAAACCCTCAGAAGTTGAAATAAGCCCTATAACTACGGTTCTACACTTATAACTAGAACTGCACTTCCAAGGGATATGGGACCCCACACGGTGATCTTGGAATTAGATAGTCTATGGCTATGGTGGATTTAATGATTTAACCAACAATAACAATAGGATACATTAGTGGGTATCCAAGGGGTATTTTTCGTCAAATTCCCCTTCCAGGAGTTGACTTTTCATAGATCTTCCTTGTAAATGTGTGATAATTATCCATTCTGCCTAACATTATCTATATATATATATATGTTCACTTCGCATGATCTATCTGATACTAGATCTATTATCTAGTTTCTATTATTAGATCTATTATCATTTCGATCTGATATTAGATCTATTATCTATCACACATTTATACCTTTATTTATGCGACGTGAAGGAACGAAACGAGCGACGACTTCCACCAGGAGCCACCACCGGACTGATCGAGAAGTTGACGGCCAAGAACATCTCCATTGAGGTACACCAACCCGACAAGCCGACCCTTGGCTGCCTTGAAATAGCAATTTGTGTGGACCAAAAACGGGTAATTTATGGTGGAAATAGATAGACATAGTGTGATTTTGGTGATATAAAATCTCATTCTTGTGATTTATTAGGTGATTTATGGTGGATATAGATGAGATCTGTTTTTTTTTTGATTTATATTGATATTCATCTATAAAATTGGTGGATTTCTGGTGGAAATAGATGGAAATAGTGTGATTTTATGGGGTTATATAAAATCTCATTCAATATAAATCCCATTGTATCGCGATGTGTTGGAGATGGCCATGGCGAGTTTGATGTGGAAATTTATTTGAAGAAAATCTGAGGTGAAATGTCAAAAGAAAATCAATGACGTCTCAACACAATGATGAGTTTAATGGTGAGTTGTAGAAATAGTAGGGAGAACGTATTTGAAGAAACATTTGGGAAAACACTGGGTGAGTTTGGACATCTTTTGGAAACTTGGTCGGTTTGTTGTCCCATCAATCCGCTTTGAAACAGCGAAACAGCCCCAGCTTGTGATAGATTTTTTCCGACGGATCGGCCTATTAAGGAACCCCTTTCTGGGCGTCCTGGGTGACATCGCCTTCCCTTTGCCACCAGTCCTTCCAGTCCTTCCAGTCCTGGCCGGGGAATGCGGCATAGCGCAGCATAGCGAATGGATAAAGAATGTGTTAAAGCGGGAAAACCTGGGACGAGGATCCAAGATATCTCGAGATTTTTCTTTGGCTTTCTGTCCAAAAGAAGGAAGACCATTTTGATGCGATGTATCATCGTGCATCCGGATCCAAGATTCAACTATTAAACTGATTCAAACTGGGGGAAACCAAAGCATGTTCTTTTGCAAATTTCTGGATTGAATCAGAAACAATGGCTAAATCCTGGAACCAGAGGAAGAGGTACCCATTGTTTCCTTTAGTGGGAATGTATACGAACCAACTCAAAAAAATGCAGGGTATTTAAGAATGGCGATGAATCATCCCAAGTCTACCATCACCCGAAATGGGTAGTAGTTGATTTACACTCCGACCAATGCGTCCTGTCGAGAATGACCAGTACGTGTTTTTGTGTCTGGAATTAGCATTGATTCTTCAACAGAATAAACATTATTGCACACGTTCGGTACATATTCATGGAGTATATGTATATATATATATATATACGTATGTATGGTTGAGGATACTTATGATATCAGTTCGACAAAATTATCCTTACTATACATCTATTCATGGATTATAGCTTCCCAAAAAGAACACATGAAAGTAAGATCCTACTCACATAGTGCCAAGTGACTTTTCAATTAAGTCATAATATCATGATAAATCAATTGTCATTATATCCCATTGTTGTTGGTTGTATCCCAGTACAGTACATCCCCATAAAATCAGCATAAAATATCCTTAAATCACTAATCCCCATGAAATCACCATTACATAAAATCACTACCTGGTTTATTTTGGGGTTCTGAAAACTGTCGTATGAATCGCATACTTGGCGCAGTTCCAGTGAATTACGTCGGTCTATTTCACCATGGATCATAGTTATAGGTGACATTTTCCAACTTATCAATGGGAATTTCAGGAACCTAAAATGGAGGTACCCACCATATATAAGGCCTATATAAGGGCTATGTAAGGGCTATGTAAGGGGATATCCCCCTAAAATATGGCCTTATATGGTACAGTACCTCCATTTTAGGATCCTGGAGTTCCCATTGATATGGTGGTTATCATCATAATTATACCCGTAAACTTCACCTGTGATTCATCCCCATGATTGGTCCATTAGAACCCTTCTGAAAAAAAAATCCAATTGTTCATCGAATAATCCTCAAACATACCCTTTGGGAAACTAACATAGCTATGGAAAATCACCATTTTTAATGGGAAAACTCACTATAAATGGCCATGTTCAATAGCTATGTTCATTACCAGAGGGTACTCTATACAAACCTAGAATCAGCAAGTTAGTCCAACCAAATCCCATTAATATTCCATTAAATCACTATAAAATCCCATTTAACCACTATAAATCCATCATTTAATCACTATAAATCCCATTAAATCAGCCCATGGTCCTGCCCCGTTGGTCGTTCCCTCGAGGCTCGTCATCGGGGGCTTGCTGTTCCTTCGCTCCCGTGGCGGTGGCGGCGGCGGAATCCCGGGCTTCGGCGACTCGGAACGACTCGGAACGACGCGGAAACTCGGGGTGGAGGTCATGTCCGGTAAAATTTGGAGGTATATAACTATTGGCTAATTATTATTATTACCCTCTGGTTTTGCTGGTTTTGTTGGTTTTAATATTATCCAATAGTAATCCCAATAATAATCCCACTATTGGCTAATTATGATTGTTATTGGGATTATTATTGGGATTATTATTGGATAATATTAAAACCAACAAAATTATTGGGATTATTATTGGGATTAAAAATGGTTAATAATGGATAATAATGATATAACTATTGGCTAATTATTGTTATTATTGGGATTATTATTGGAATTATTATTGGAATTATTTTTGGATAATATTATTGGATAATTATTATAAAGGATGGGGCCTCCCAGTGATGTTTGTTGGTTTATAAACCCCATGAATACCATAGTTATCTAGTTCGTTATATCTACCATAAACCATAGTTAAGCCTAATTATTATTGGCTAATTATTATTATTACCCTCTGGTAAATTAACTCGTTGACCCTGAAAATAAGCAATTTATAGTCGAAACTAGTCTTCCCACCCCTTACTGCCAGGGTCTATGTTAATTTACCAGAGGGTATTATTGGCTATATAATTATGATTGGGATTATACTATAACAAAATTATTGGGATTATTACTGGGATTAATAATAGTTAATAATGGAGTATAATGGATAAAAATAATGGTTAATGATGGATAATAATAATGGATATAATTTTATTGGCTAATTATAGATACAGTATAAAACCAACAAAACTAGATGATGGTTGGCTGGTTCATGGATTAAATTGGGCTAATGGTTAACGGTGAAATGGCTGGTTCAAAATTATTGGGATTATTATTGGCTAATTATAGTATATAGTATCACTATTATTACCCATTATTACATCAGTATTAATATAGTACAATAGTACAATACTGGTTGGTGGTTTGGAACCATGGAATTTTATGAATTTCCATTCAGTTGGGAATAATCGTCCCAACTGACGAACTCATATTTTTCAGAGGGGTTGAAAGCACCAACCAGAAATTATTGGGATTACTATTGGCTTAATACTGTGATAATACTGGGATAAGGTATATGATGGCCTATTATGGGATGATACTGGATACTTAGTGGTTCATCCAACGGATCATAAGTGGTAAAGTTCACCCCAGCATTTTGAGTGGACTAAACCCTACTGATCCCATAAAAGGAACCAGGGTTATAACCCACTTACTAAGTAGAATGAGCCACCAAGTATAAAGCCAACAAAATTATAGAGTAGAAATTATAGCATGTATAATCTATATAATTAATGATTATTTTATATAACTACTCTTCAGTACTTGCTGGTACGTGGGTCATTACCTGAGGGTTGGCTGCTAAACGCTTGTTGGGTGCTTAAATTACCCCTGATACATTGGAATAGCACAATAATCTACGAACTGGAAATGGCCCATAGCTAGCCAAGTGGCCCCCGAGAGTTAGCTAAGTTTGTTATCAGTAAGTTGGCAAGGGTTTAATCTATAATGGAGTTTCAAAACTAACAAACATAACTGGGGGGGCACCACCTTGTTTCTGTTGGTAAATATAACTAGATTTGCAACATGATTTATAGAAGATAATATCCAAGTACTTGAGCAGTGTTCAAAACTCCTGTTGCTTGATGATAAGGGGGTTATACTACCATATACTACCCAAGATAGATCTGGCGCCTTGTCATTGCTAGTCATAGTCCATGAAGTGAGAATGCCTATTTTCAGCAACCGGTTATGACTAACATAGCCATGGTATAGATGGCCCATTTAGTTCGATGGTTAACCTATCAATAGCATGGTGGATCTTTCCATGGCTATGTTAGTCATAACCAGAGGGTATCAGCAACCAAGATCATGGCGTGACATTTCGGTTTGCACCGCTACCCAGGCAATCAGGGCAAGGCCAAGATCATGATTCAGCCAGAGACAGGCGTGGCGAGGGTTGATACCCTGTCAGGCCCAATGGAAGAGACGTTGATCTTTTTTGGGTGATCAGATTCTGTCGAATATTTGCGTGCAAGTTTTTAGGGCTGGTTAGGAACTGTTGTTTTTGGACGAAGATACAGAAACAAAAGAATGGTTGAAACATCAGTGATACCTTTGCCAAAGTGATACCTTTGCCAAAGTGATACTCATCCAATAAGTGATGCGAACTAGTGGGTCAACCTTTGTTCGATACGAACGTTCGTAACATCAATGGTAACATCAATGGTAAACAGGGTCATATTACTATTGACCATTAATGATTAATAACCATTGATGTTACCATGACCTAATCCATTGATTACCATCTGGTTATTTAACATAGTCATGGAAAATCACAATTTTTAATAGGTAAACCCAGGTAAACCATCTATTTCTATGGGCCATCTATACCTTCCATGGCGAACTGTTAGTCATAACCATTGATTAACTCATTAAGATCAATGGATACCTGATGCGAACTAGTGGGTCAACCTTAATCAGCCTCGCTATTGGTAACGCCATGTCCGATTACCATGTCGCCAATCGCTTGAATCATGGGTTGCACCAGGGCACCAGAGGCGATTTTTCAGTTGCCGAAAAGAAAAAAACGCTGTCTTCGATGGTTTGTTCAATATATGTTTACTGTTTAGATACAGGATGGGCCCTCCAGTCGATAGCGTTCAGTTGGTTTATAAATGGCTGAATTCTATGGTTTATGGTAGATATAACTATAGATAACTATGGCTAATGGGGCCCCATCCTGTATCATTGAAAAATGTGATTTATTGGATTTTCATGGGATTTAGTGGTGATCTCAGGGTAAATATAAAAAATGGGGGTACCCCCCAGATCATCCATTTATAGCTAGGCTTTTGCATATTATAAACATTTATAAACCATCTAGCTTTTGGGGTACCCCCATGACGATGGAAATCCTGAAATGGACAAAGTCACATCTCACACCTAATGTCAACCCCCGGATTTTGCTAAACCATGGTTTATTAAATGCATTTTATAGTGTATAATACTTCTGGTAATACCCATATGTTCATATCCATTGTTCACTATACACCACATAATCCGTTGGTTTGAGTTTCCCAACAAGCACTGGATGTTGATTAAAAAATGTAGAAGTCTATGCAAAGGATACCTTTAATTGGGGGGAAATTAACGGTTTGCTATTGAAAATGACCATTTATAGTGGATTTTCCCATTAATCATGGTGGATCTTTCCATAGTTATGTAAACGTTTACCAGAGGGTAATTGGGGGGAAATTAACAAACCAAAAAAATGTTGAATAGGATGTAGGGTAATTTTACCCAAGGTAATGGGAATAGAATGTTGACAAACCAAGATCATTTACTGAAATGTAATGGGAATAGACACCAATAGATCCTGGTTAGTGGTTTGGAACATTTTTTATTTTCCCATATATTGAGAATAATCATCCCAACTGGCGAACTCATATTTTTCAGAGGGGTAAGGCTCAACCACCAACCAGGATCTTTGGATGGAGGATTTATCGTTCATGACCTTGACTGTGACTGTGACTGTTGTTCATGGTCCCACTATGGTCCAAACATATGATTGGTGAAAAAATGCCCATGTTCATTGGCTTTGTCTGAGGGCTACCCCCAAATTTGATAAGTGACAACCGCATGTTCATGCATTTTCCGCATTAAAATTGCTGTTTTGGGGGTATATCCCTGCTGTTTTCAGACCCAGTTGATATCCCACGAGTTCCCTATCCCCATGCAGACTTGCCCGCTATATCACCATTTTCCCATTGTTTTCATGGTCAGAATCACAATGAAAAATGGCTGCATAGTTTTTAGACACCCAAATATCGTAGTAAGTTGGTTAATGATGGTTGATGGTTAGTAATGGGTGATCATGCGTTTCCATCGTCATGGGGGTACCCCAACAAATCGCTGGATGGTTAATGGAAAATCATGGTGATAGTGGCTATCACAAACATGAAACAAATCACCATGGTGACGACCCTCCAAAAACCATCTCAAAAACATGGTAAAAATCATAGAAATTATGTGGGACGAATGAATTAAGATGACACACAACATTTTATGGCGACTTAAAAGGGTTTAGATACAGGATGGGGCCCCCAGTCGATAGCGTTCAGTTGCCTTATAGGTGGTTGAATTCTATGCTTTATGATAGATAGAACAAAGTAGTTAATGGGGGTACCGGGTTTTGTTATCGTTTATAAACCAGCGTTCACATCACTGGGGGGGCTCCATCCTGTAGTAAACCCATCGTTTTCAAGGCGTGAAGTTCGAGAACGTGGCGGGCATCGACGAGGCGAAGGAAGAGCTCATGGAGATCGTCGATTTCTTGAAGGCCGCAGGGCGCCGCAGGGCGCCGCAGGGCGCCGCAGGGTGTGGGGATCCCCCCGAGACCTGGATGGTGCATGGAAACTCCTTTGGAAATATGGGTGATGACTAGGGTTACCCAATTTTTGTTCGAAAACTTCCATGATGTGTTAATCCCAAAATGTGAAATATGGACCATGAAAAGCTCCATGATATGATGGACTTAATACTTATTATACATTCAGAAATCCATCATGGATATTCATAGATTTTTTTCATGGATGATACATGGGGGTACCCCGCATTTTTTTTAACCTCCATGATGTCATGATGTGTTTGAGGTTTTAAGCAAGAAAAATATTGTAAAATAACGTATAATAGGGATTACATCTATATAAATGGTGAAAATGGTGGTAAAATGGGGATGAAATCCATAATTATCCGAGTATATCCAATTTGTTTGTTCCACTAAAGCCAATTATACCATTTGAGCATTTTTCTTTTTTAGGGGACAAGAAACGATATGACTATTAGATGGTTAGTCTGGTTAATGTATGGCTAATGAAATACATTATGGGATATATGATATATACCTACATCTTCAACCTGGGTTTGTTTAGTCGGTGATTTTGTTTTTTCCTCATGCGTGTTTTGCATCTTTAAAATCAAGCTCTTGTATTTGTTTCAAAAGGTAACAATGTGAAGCCCCCCAGTTATAAGTTGGTTTATAAGCCCCAGTAACTATATAGTTCGTTATTTTGGTACCATAAACCACAGTTATTGGAGTTATTGGCACCACCTGAACGCTATCGAACGGAGGCCTCACATTGAAATCATCACAGGTCATCCATTCCTATGGGCCATGTTCCATAGGGAACTGTCAAATAACCAGGGGACTCATCCAAAACAACGAAAGGCCATGACGAAAGTTATAACTCATCACAGATAGGAAGTCCCAAAAAGATAGAAACGTGTTTCCAGGATGATGATGTTTCCGCATGTCTTCCAAGTTTAAATAAAATGTTCTATACTCTTCAATCTTTTTTTGGGGGCGCTATGCTAGAATTTTAGATATATTCATATATCTACTATATACCTATCACAACAGATATATGATATATCTACCACAGTAGATATCTACGGACCATAACTAACTAATAAGAATCATTTGGTATACGATATATCTATCAAGGTAGAGGAGGTTAAATGTAGGTTTCCAATTATATATGTATATTATATGTACCCTCTGGTGAGTTAACCTAGCTATGGAAACTCCCCATGTTTAATAGGTATATAAACCATCTATAAATGGACCATTTTCCATGGCTATGTTGAATAACCAGATGGTATATATCATGATGTTCGATATAATGTTGGAGACCTGAGATGTATCTACCACAGCGAAAACTTATCGTTGGATTGATAGTTTAAGACACATGAACTAGTCTATCACAATGTCACTTATTCATCTTAGATATCCCCAAACCACAAAACAAACATCATCATGCCACATATATCCCCATAGATAGATAACCTAGATTCTGGTATCATTATTCCATCTACATCTACATCTACATCATCATCATCATCATCATCATCATCATCATCAAACCATTGCATTTGCTTGGTGGCTCATTCCACTTAGGAGGCTACGATCCGTGGGTAGTTCGCCACCATGTACATTGGAATCCATGATTCATCATCATTAGTCATCACAAACTATCACTAAGGATCATTAACTATCATTGCTTGGTGGTTCATTCCAGTTAGTAAGTAGGTTATAACCCCAGTTTTCTGAGTGGATAAAGCCTACTTTTCCCACGAACAAAACCAGGGATGAGCCACTTCTACTGAGGATTCCTGGGATGAGTCGCCACGTAATAATGATAGTTCTTGTAGGTGTAATAATGATGATAATACCTATTAATACCCTATCATCATTATCATAGTTCTACACCTATCAATGATAGTTATGTAGTTCTACATCATTAGGTGTAATAATGATAATAGCAGCTAGTAATAATGATAGTTCTACACCTATTAATAGTACATAAAACATAAATGTACATAGCTGAGGATAATGTACTATGGATAATACTATTCTTACCTAATGGATCATTAACCATCATTAATTATCATTAACTATCATTAATTAACCAGCATTAACTATCATTAATCATTACTTGGATATCATTCATCATCATTAACCATTATTAACCTATCAATAGTCCATCTTTAACTACATGATAATCCATAATTATCATCATTAATCATCATAAACCATCTTTAGCTACATGATAATCTATTAACCTATCATTAATCATCATAAACCTATCATTAACCATATTTAGCTACATGATTAACCATTAGCTAATGATGATTAACCTATCATTAACCATGATAATCTATCATTAATACTGGATAATAATGCTAATCCATCATTAACCTATCATTAACCTATCATTAATCATCATCATTAACCATCATTAACCTATCATTAGTCCATCATTAACTACATGATAACCTATCAGTAACCCATTGTTTCTCCAAGTCATTCCTGAAATCATCGCATCGAAGCGTAGGCCCCGGAACGCTTCGTCAAGGTGGGCGCCAAGATTCCTCGGGGCGTTCTGTTGACCGGACCTCCAGGTGTGGCCCCTGGTGGCCCCTGGTGGCCCCGGGAAGAAAAACCCATGGAAAAACCCACCCATGAAATGATGGAAAATCACATTTTTTGTATGGGAAAACCATGGAAAAACCCATAAAAAATGGGGAGATCACTGGTTGTTTTTTGAATTGTAGAGGATTTTAATGGATTTTGCTGTTTGTTTCCATGTTTTTTGGTTTCTGAATTTTAATGAACTTTTTACTGGATGTTCATGAATTTTACTGGATGTTCATGAATTTTATTACATGTCATTGAATTTTACTGGATGGTCATGGAGTTTAATGAATTTTACGTATAAACTCAGTATAGACTTATAAACCATCCAACATTAGGATTTTAGCAAGACTTAGCATAATAGAATCATGCAAAAGGATGATTCAGCCATTGGAATTGGGGGGATTTAAAGTGATTTAATATAACTTAACCATGAAGAACTGTGATTCAACCATCAACACATGGAAAAGATACTGTAGCTGATGAATGATGATCGGATGCTATCTGAAACACAAGCGCCATCATCCCATGCTGAGGTAATGACGTTCTACTAAGATAACCATACTAAAAGAACATGTGTGTCTCAAAAATAGTCAGGCTGTTTGAAACGGACACTAGTTTTTTTTTTCTAGGACATCCACTTAAGTAAAAAACATGTTTCTTTTAAAGCAAGTGTAAGTAAGCTCCTCTCGGTCCGAAATGCCCAGGTAGCTAAGGCAGAGCCCCGGTCCCAACTCCGGGGGCCATGTCGTACTTTCTGTGCTGTGCTGGCAGGTTGGGGCGAGGGTGAGTGGGGGGCGCGACCCCCACTCTGACCTGAAAATGCAACATCCAACAACAGCAAGTGGCAACCTTCGCGCTGGGCCCGCACGGAAAAGAGCAGTTCTAAGAGCACTACGGCATTTCTATCTTTGGGGATGGGTGAGGTACCATGGACAACTGATACAGCAAGAGTCACACTTGGCTGCCTTTTTTCCAAAGGAATCTGTGGCTGCGGTGAAAGCGATCCTAGGTACTGGTAGAAAGTGGTGGTATCAACAAGATCCTCTCCTCCCTTTTAGGCGCAATGATGGGCAAGTGCACTTACCTCAACGCAGTTCAGCCACGCCAGCAGCTTGCACACAGGGTCTCACACTGAGAATGCTGACGTACAACTGTAGGACTCTGGGCTATACTCAGGCTAGACTGGTTGAAATTGCTGAGGATTTGCATGTTCGTGGCATTCATGTTGCGGCTTTGCAATGCACTTGTTGGAAACAGGACCAGGTCCGGCATGAGTGGATAGTGAAAGGGAGACATGGGCAACAGCTTTTTCATTGTATTTCTTGGAGGCGTGATCCAAGCAATGTACAGACTGGAGTGCTTCTGCTGCTTAGCTGCGCTGTTTTTGACAAGGCGCACATCATCTGGAGACTAGATCCTGGCCACAGCGCTGAAGGTCGCTTTGGCGGAGTGAGGGTTGTTGATCGGAAAAGTCGCCAGCCACATGATCACACCTTCATCACTGCTTATGCCCCGCAAGAAACCGCGGCTGATGAGGAGAAACAAGTTTTTTTCACTCAACTGCAGCAAACACTTCATGGACTACCTGCACGAACACGAGTATGGCTACTCGGTGATTTCAACGCACACATCGGGCACGATCTCTGTTCTCCTTCAGTCGGCACCTTTGAGCCTGAAGCAAGCAATGACAATGGCTTTAACATTGCTCACCTGTGCGCTGCCACCGGCCTTGCCTTGGCCAACACTTTTCACAACGCGGGTTCAACCTGGTGGTCGCCAGACGGCAATACTTCGCACAGACTGGATTACATTGCCATACCTATTGCTTTTCGGCGTCGTGTTGCCCATTGCCGAGTCAACAAGAATTTTGGACAACGATGGCAAACTGCAGCTGTTCGAGATCATTGGCCCTTGGAAGTGCATGTGCGCCTCCCTCAACAGTGGCCTGCCAAGAGGCAAAACAGCAATACCATCTCTTGGAATGCGCATGCGCTTGGTCGAGCTTCAAGGGATCCTCTAGTTGCTGCACCCTTCCTTGCTGAAGCCCAACAGACCGTGGCAGCGCTGCTCCAAGAACCATGGTGCAATTTGCAGAATCTGTGGACAAAGTGCGCTAAAAACCTGATGACTGTATCTCAAAAACATTTTGGGCGACCAAGGGCGCAACACAACCCTAAACTCCTTCCTGGAACTTTTGCGCTGCTTGAATGTCGCAGGGCGACCATGCACATTTTTTTGGAAGAGGTTGGCATGCTTCAGCAGATGCCGCTAGCTTCACAGCAGCTCTGGCGGATGCGCTTAGTACTCCGAGCTCTTCAGCTCAATGGCAGAATCGAAAAAGCACGCAGGGCAATCAAAACCGACGTCAAAGCCTGGAACCAAAACCTGGTTCGCGAATTGGACGCTGCTCTGGACACCAAGGACCACAAGACTGCTTGGAGTGTGAGCCGCCGACTAGCCGGCAGACTCTACAAACAGCCGCGCCAACCACCCATGCACAAGCAAATTTGCAAAAGGGCTTGGCTAGAACACTTCAGCACGGTCCAGCTGGCCACCGAATCTGCAGAGGCAAGGGCAGTCCCAGGGACTTTAGGCAACCGTTCTCTCCCTGGTCCTCTTCAGCCAATGTTTACCGGAGAAGAAGGATGTAGAGCACTGGCCCAAGCTGCGCAAAAGATGCTTCGTGGGAAAGCAACGCCTCCTGGCACATTGCCGGTGGAAGTATGGTCGCTACTACTCCAAGGCCAAAGTGATGTACACCCCGGGCTTCTGCTGATGCCGGTTTTTGAACTGATGCAGAGTGCTGGGACGAACTTTGAAGAGTGGTGCGCCGGCCATGGATGCCCAATCCCCAAACCTGGCGGAGATGCGTCGCCCAATGGCCATCGGGTAATCAGTTTGCTTGACCCGATCGGAAAGGTGTTCTACAAAGCTGCCTTGAATCTGCAAGCTGACCCACCGCTGCCTCATCAATATGGTTATTCGGCACAGAGATCACGCCGTGACGCCATCCTGCAACTGACAGTTCTTCTGGAACGTTTGCAACAAGAGCGTGTGTGCACCAGTGCCAACTTGTATGACCTGACGAAGGCCTTTGACATGTTAAGCAGTCAAAGCGTGGTTGCAAACTTGAGCAATGATCTTGCCTTGCACCCAACTCTGAAGGCTCTACTCATAGACATGCAGGGAAGGCTGCAAGTCAAGATGCCAATTACAGGCCAAGCGCCGCTCACAGTGAACCTTGGCACTGGGGTTTTGCAAGGTGGTGGCACAGGCCCTCGACTATTTCGCAGAGTCTATGATGATGCCATCCAAGATTGGCAGACACAAACCTGGTCTGATTCAAGGTTGACTTGTGTAGCTTATGAAGGTCAGGAACTTGACCTTTCAGTTGCTGCTTATGCTGATGACTTGGTGAGAGTAGAAGCTGGCAGAGACATTCGCAGAGCAGAGCGCCTGACAGTGGACCACACAGACTCTCTGAAAGAAGTGCTGCAAAGACACCGCTTGGAGTTAAATCTGCGAAAGAGCGAATCCCTTGTAGCAGTGCGAGGGCGTGGCGCCTACAGCGCGGCTGAACGCGTATTTGCTGGTGACTGGGCGGGCCCGCCTCTCAAACAATCTGTGAAATACTTGGGTGCCCACATACAAGCTCAACTTTCCATGAAATTGGAAATAACCAAACGCATTGCTGCAGCGAGGAACAGTTTTTCTTTGTTTTCACGTTTTTTCCGAAATTCGCGTGTACCACAAAGGCAGAAAATACAAGTTTTCCATGCTGTAGTGAACGAAGCCTTTCTTTCAGCTCTCGAAGTCAGAGCCTTGAGCGAAAGTGACATACAGAGGCTTGAGTCTGCAAGGGGGCTGCTTCTGCGCAGAATTTTTGGACGCAATGGATTTGGTGGTGTTCGTGGTGTAGGTGGGCACCGCTCTGTGCCTCTCTCATTGCTTCGAAGACTAGCTGGCTTAGCTGAAGTACGAGAAGAATTGCGGACCCGACGGCTCCAATGGCTTCGTGCTTCACTTGCTGCAGAGGCTGGTGGGGAAGTACGCTTGGATCTTGCTGCTCTGTTTGGAAAAATGGAGTGTCAAGCTGATCCTCCTGTGAATGCACATGGACAACTGACAGCTGCTGCGCCTTCATTCCTGCGTCTTCTGGCAGCTGATCTACGAGCTGTGGTGCCTGACTGGAACGGTTTTGTGCTGGGATGGAAAGATGTTTTTCTGGCTTTTCCAAAGTCTAAGTTGCGAAGCCGATTGCCGCTGCAAGAAAACCAGCGACTTGAACCACCTCAAGCTCAACCCATGAGAAGCTTGAGTGCTCTTCCTCCAAGAGGATCTCCGTTGGAAATTGCTGCTTCGCTTTGCATCCTAACTGATGGAACTTGCCCTGAGACGCTTGACTCGCTTTCAGCAGAAGACTGGATCAGCGGGGTCTACTGTGGACAATGTGCGGCTGGCCCGTGGCATGGGAAAAAGTCGTTCTTCCAACACATTGTCCGGAAGCATGCAGTGAGAAACGTGCTGAATAGCAAGACATGTCCACTGTGCACAAGAGCTTTCACTGAAGTTTCAGCATGTCGAAGACATGTCAAGAATCAGTCCTGCGGAACAATTGTGAACAACCATGGAGCAGCCGGTGCCATAGCTGGTTTGCAGCACAGGGCTCGAGCAATCTCTGAATCAGCTTCGCGCCTTGCTCACCCTAATGGCAGGGCTAGCTTTCATGGCGCCGCTTCAAGCTGTCGCGGCCAGCTCTCCGCAAGGAGCCAGGCCGAAGCGCCCTCGGTCCGAGGGAATCAGCGCCAGTGGCAGCATGGATCAGCAAGTGAAGCAGCTGACTGCTCAAATGCAAGTGCTCATGAAGGTTGTCAGCCAGCACGACAGAGACCTTCGCGAGCTAGAAGCATGGAGCTGCCACACATTTTTGCTCAGCAAAGAGAGCGCCTTGGCCAAGCTACTGCTGGAAGCAATGCAAACCTGGAAGTCACAGGTGCCGGAAGCAGGTCCTCACCCTCTCGGAGCTCCGAGATGGACAGTGGCAGGCACAGTGGCGCAAGCTCTTCTGCAGGACACCGCCTGTGCCGACAAACTTGGCAAGTTTCGAGTCTTCCACGAGAATTTGAAAGAACTGCCAGACATGGAGAAATCTGTGCAGCTGGCAATGGCCAAAGAAACCAGGGATCACAAAGTCTTGTTGAAGATTCGCCCGCAACTGATCAGCCAAGATGAATGGAATGAAGCATTTGCCGTCCTCAGTGAAAATGTGCGGCAAAATGGAGGGGAAGCCAAGACAAGTGCAGCTCCACCAAGCCCACTGATTCGCCAATTAAATGTCAAATAGGCAGTGCAAATACGGGGTCTTTCCCCCGTGCCAAGCCCCCGCAACTGACGGGGTTGCAAGTGTGCTCTGTGGCGCTTAATTTTCCATTTTATTTGATTTTCGCCCTACCTTATCCTTAGGCCAAAGATCTCAATTTGAGACCATCCTTTTTTTGCGTTAGCAATTGGCTTCGCTGGATGGTTCACACACCACACGAATGTGTGCGCAACTTAAGTTGTGCGGAGCCCCGGCCCGAGTTTCACTTGGAGAGAGTGGACTCATGCGGACAGTCAACAGTCAACAGTCAACAACAGCAAGTGTAAGTTTCTGGACATCATGCATTTTTTGAGACAAACCCATTTCCGCAGACGTCAGCAGATACAACTAAAAGTTGTCATCAGATGTGGCAGAAGATTTTTGGTTGGATGGCCGAGCTGCCAGAATGCAGGCGGCTTGGTGCGTGGGGCGGTTATTCAGCCTGAGCGGCAGCCTTACTGCTTCCAGAAGCAAGTGGGGGAGATCTTGCAGGCAGCAGTAGGGGTATCGCGCCAGCAGTTGAGCCAGGCAGTTTTGCAGGGGCAACTTGAGGTGTGGAGCTTGTGCGCCGGCGTTGATGTCACACACATAGTGTGCAACGCATTGCTAGATGCAGCTCGGTATTTTCTTTGTCAACTTATACTGTACACTGGCACAATTGTTTGACATGGAGAATGTGTCCAGACAAGCTCTAGCTGTGGCAGGCCAAATCGGGTTCGAAATTTCAGCCGTCGGTTCCGACAGTGGAGAGGAAGCCGAACGCATCGGTATATGCAAGGTGAAGCCACGTGGTTTAAGTCCATGAATTAAGCTTGCATCATCCACCGAAGATAAACTACTTGGAATCCATGAATTCAGCTTTCATCATAGTCCATGAATGACATAGTTCAGTAGCTCCAGGAATTGAGTGATCATCAATTAACCTCGATTTCAATAGATCATACATTAGTTTTTTCCATGAATCACAGTCTATCATGGATTTAAACCACTTGGATTTAATTATCCAAAATATACATGATAAACATATTTTTCAGTAAAATAACAGTAGTTAAAAATTCACATCATCACAGTAGTTTTATCACAGTAGTTTCAAATTCACATCATCCATGATAAACATCCATTTTCACATCATTAAAATCTATAAACATCAACATCATGATAAACATACATTATCCATGACAAACATTGATAAACATTTTTTTAGTAAAATCACAGTAGTTTTATTATAAACATTATCCAAGATAAACATTGATAAACAATTTAAGTTGATAAACATTGATGTGATAAACATGATAAACATCCATTATCACAGTACTTAAAAATTCACATCATCCTTTTGATAAACCTCAGCTGTGAATCTACTGAACTGACTATGTCTGGTGTGGCCTTGGAGATCGGCACAGATCTGCGGCTGATTACGCTTCTCGGCCTGGTAAACGTTAACCAAAAGCGACATTGAAGCCATGGAAAAATGTCGAAATGTTTGAATTAGCGAAAAATGGTGTTGATTTTCCATATAAATCACAATTTTCCAATGGTTTTCCCATGGTTTTCCTATGGCTTTCCCATAGAAAAATGTTGATTTTCCATTGTTTTTTGTATGTTTACCGGAGGGTAAAACACGTGTCGGTTTCATTTTGGCTGAGAAATCTCCATCACCAGCTTTGATGAAATGAATCATGTCCCAAACAAATGTGAGCGATCTACCTATCTCGCAATGATTGGGGAATGGTCAGATACTTACTGGTGCTTAGTAGGGAATGACAGAATGATCCATAATCACTAGTAATAATCATCCCAGCAACCCCCAGCAACCCATCCATTCCCTACGTAAAACGCACCAGTAAGAATCTCTTGCAGCAATCAGCGCCAGATATGTTGTTCTTCTTGTGGCCTGAGAGGGTGCTTGATCCTACGACTTTTGAAGTTTTGTTTGACCATTTGACCCTGAAATTTCCAGACGCACCACCCAAAAAGTGGGATCTAACATTGAACCAACACGACATGGTTTATTCAACAAGAAAGAGTGTGATTTAACCAACAAAGATTCTTGGATTTGACTGCCCGCTTCCCACATATATCATATTCTGGACACTTTCTAGCACACACCACTTATTTCTGTTTTCAAAACCCCAGTTGCTTTGTGAGTTTTGAGTTTTTTGTGCCATCCCCAAGTTCCAATTTTGTCGTGATTTCAGTTTTGTGCCCTCCAAAGGGCCATCAATAAGGGCTAATGATGATTAAACAATGGATGGAATGGGGTACCAAATTTTCAGAGAAACCCTTTTTGAGTTTGGATTGGAAGCTCTGATTCTCCATGGGGGAAGTCATAAACAACAACTATTTATGGGAAATCCCACACTAGATGGAGTTTTACAGTTCAAAAATCAATGGAGGTTTACTAACTGTGATTGCCGTTGATATCCCATGATTTCCCATTTAAAATCCCCTATTAAATCCTATTAAATCCCATTAAATCCCCATGAAATATCATGAAATCCCATTAAATCCCATTAAATCCCTGCTTAAATCCCATTCAATCCCATATTTTTTTTTCCATGGCATCTTCTGGTTCTTTTTTTAACGGTCCTTCGCCGTCTCGCCAGGTACGGGAAAGACCTTGATGGCCAAGGCCTTGGCGGGCGAGTCCGGTGTGCCGTTGCTTGGCGAATATCATGCCCCGTTGGTAACCACAATAGTGGGTTATATAATATATATTATCCATAGTATATATATATAGTTATTGTTATAATATTTATATAGTATTTATACTATAGTATAGTGGTAACCCACTATTATACTATACATATACCCACTATTATCGTGGTATACATAGTATATAGTATATAGTATGGTTATGGTAGAGAATATATCGAGCTAGTTAATGGGTTTTATTTGAACCATAATATTGGATATTATTGGGTAATCATAATATGTATATAGTATATAGTATAACTATTATTACCCAGTATTATATATATATAGTTATAACATATTACTATACAGTGATATTAATAGGACTATTAAGATGTAATAACGCTTCATAGAGAGTAACATATATCACTATTATGTAAAAAAAAAAACTTATTGATGGATAACATCGGATACAATAGTATCATGTCAATGGTATACCATGGTTAATGTTATTATTATACATAGTAGTTGGAAATAATACTATTAATAGTGATAAACTATTGAGATATAGTATAACTATTGTATATGTGGTAATATAGTATAATGTAGGATGTTAAGGATAAATATGTATATATCGGATAATATCCTATATATAGAGGTAATAATGCGTCTAATGATACTTGGTTACTACTGATGGATACCATAGTATTGTGTATAGCATACTATGGTATACCATGGCTCATGTTAACAATCCCCAATGGTATACCACTTGTAATTATAGCTGAATAACATTTATTTTAATGTTGTGTTTACCAAGATTGTTGACTACAAATAGTAATATAAACCATATAGTGACCTAATTATTTAACCTCAACTATATTTACCTGGAGTTAATTATCACCGAACCATTTCTACCCATCTTATTGTTTCTAAGTAAGCCACTTTATAAATCTCAACTATATATATATATATGGAATCTCCCGTCGTTGCCCCAGCTTCGTCTCTGGCTGCCAAGGTTTATCCAGTCTTCTGCCTCGGAGTTCATCGAGCTGTTTGTGGGTGCCTGGGATAAGACGAGAGTGGAAATAACCTGGAGTGCAATGCCACACCCCTATCCATGTGGGGCCCCATACTTAGCTAAGTTGGTGTTATGGGCTAGGCTTTATAGAAGATATATCTAGAGTTGATGGGGTTTATAAACCAACATATGATGGTTTATTGGTTTAAAAGGTGAGAAATCAGATGCTGCCAATATTCTATATATTCTATACCCTCATATGGCCTCCCAAAATGAATAGATCTAACACTAAACTAATCATTGAACTATTCTTAATGATGGGAACTATTCATTATTTTTCCCATATGGCTGCCAATATTCTATACCACCATATGTGTTTCTCGGGGGTTTTGGATTCTTTATCGGAAAAACGCCACGGTGATTTCATCGAGATGAAAGACACAGGGCCGTGGGGCCCCCAAACCTTATGTAAACGTTGGTTTATAAAGCCCATTAACATCCATGAAAACTAGAAAATTTTCTATATCTACCATAAACCATAGTGAAATTGAAGTTAATTATAAACGCACCAACTGAACGCGATTCCGAACTGGGGCATCACATCAAGTACCACCGCAGATTAAGTGGAACTGCACAAGATCAAACAGGTTATACTTTTAGGATCATCCAGCCTTTTTCGTAGTCGTGTCAGAACATTCAGGAACGCCCCTTAAAACCAGAAATACCATCAAGACCTATTAATTAAACTAACATAGCTACGGAAAATAAGCCTTTTTTGTGGGTAAATCAACTGTAACTGGGCCATGTTCGATGCTAAACCTCTTTAACAAATCCCTGAGGCTAGTGACTTGGTTCTAGTCAGGGGATTCGATCAACTTCTGCATGGCAGTAAGTGCTTACTAAGATGTAACAACTATATTCTACCCCACTTATATATATATAGAGATATATAGAGATGGATTATATCCTGAGTTATTCTTTGGCAGATGTCACTTTTTGTGGTATCATTTTTTAATATTATGGAACATATCGCAATTTAACCTCTAGTAAAACTGTCTGTCACTAAATATATATATATATGCCTCTAGGATTTTTATGGTTTCCTTTATCATATATATGACTATGGGCGGTTATACAGTAAAAATAGATGCACCTCCAAGAGCCATTCAACACATCAAAGATGGAAGGTCCTGGCATAATGTCAGAAAAAACGGATGAAAAACATTCAAAAGAATAACTTTTAAAAAAATCAATAAATAAAACCATTCTAGAAGTAGACTAAGTAGACTAAGTGACTAAGTAGACCTCTGGAACTAAAATCTTTTCATCTTTCCATATCTTTCTTTGTTTGGAGCTCCCCCTCATCCGATCCGATCCGAGGTGTTGGTGCCTCCAGGGTCCGTGATATCTTCAAGCAGGCCAAGGAGAGGCAGGTGGATCATCGATGGTATGGAAAATCACCATTGTTTAATGGGAAAACCATGGGAAAACCATGGGAAAATTGTCATTTTGTATGAAAAGATCCACCATTTTTCGTGGGTAAATCCACTATTTCGACTGGGCCATTTTCAATAGCTTTTTGTTAGTTTACCAGAGGGTAGTGGTGAATGTTAATGGGTGGTGAATGGTGAAATGGCTGACGAACTCATATTTTTTCAGAGGGGTATACCACCAATCAGATGGTTAAAGGTGGATAATCGATGGTTAATGGTTAATTGTGAATGCCATAGGCATGACTAATGGTTAATGGATGTTAATGGGTTAATGGTTAATGGTGAAGAATGTTTAATCATGGTGGATAATCGATGGTTAATTGTTTTAATGGCTGGTTCATGGATTTAAATAGGGCTAATGGTTAATGGTGATATGGCTGGTTGGTGGTTTCGAACATGAATTTTATGACTTTCCGTTCAGTTGGGAATTTCCCAATCCCAACTGACGAACTCATATTTTTCAGAGGGGTTGAAACCACCAACCAGATGGTTCGTGGTGGATAATGGATGGTTAATGGTTCATGGTTAATGATGGTTAATGCCATAGGCATGACCGATGGTTAATGGATGTTAATGGGTTAATGTTTAATGGTGAAGAATGGTTAATCATGGTTGATTAGTGATTTCACTGACCCAACGAATAGCTGATGCTCAGATTTTAGTTCCCCAGGATTAGTCATTATCGCATAGTGAATGAAAATAGCTAATGAACAAGTACATATTTAGTTCCTATGACCTAGATAGTTCAATATTCCATAATGTGGGTAAAACATTGTCAAAAACCACCCATGACTGGGAATGGTTTCAATCCCACCTATAAAAATGGTGATTTGGAGGATGGTTGTTTTACCCACATTGCTCCAAATGGTTCATTTGGGAACTAAATCCTTAAAGAATCCTTAAAAAATATGGCTTGATATTTCATACATGGAGCATATGTAGGTCAACATCCCAACCTCTTTGGTTCATTTGGGAACAACATCTTTGAACAAGAATCCAGGCTTTGTAGGTTGCATCACGTCGCGTGTTCAATGTACTCTGGCAAGATGTATCACCCATCATCAGAGAGCCATTGGAAACTCTGGCAAAGTGACGCCGCTGAAAGGTTGTTTGGGGAATGTTTTTAGGTGGGAAAGGGTTTACAATATGTGTATATATATAATTATATATATATATATTAAAGCGCTACGCCCTCTGCCCCCAACCCCTGGAGGTTCATGTCTGTGTGAAAAACTGGGTGCACCAACGGATGCTGGTGCAGGTGTGCAATCTGTTTTGCGTCGCTTGCCTTTTTGTGCTTTATTATGGCAACAAACCCTCTAAAATGTATCTAATCAAAGGAAGTTTAGAAGTCAAACTTCCGACAAGAGGGACATATTAGAAAAGCAGAGGCGGGAAGAGTCAGAGAAGAGCAGAGAAGAAGCAAGAAGATCAGAGAAGAGTCAGAAGAAGAAGCAAGAAGAAGCAAGAAGAAGCAAGTCAAGAAGAAGGTCAGAAGGAAGAAGATGCAGGTGCGCGAAAGGGTAAAAAAGTCGCGAAGCACTGTGTGTTTCCAATGATCTGTGGCTCCAGAGGGTCGAAAAGTAGGCTCGCTACACAACACTAGACTACACTTACACGGCACTACACTGCACTCAATGACACTACACTACACCACGCTCCACTACAACTACAGCCACAACTACAACTACAACGACACTACATTACTCTACATTACACTACACGACACTACACTAATGACACTACACGACGCGACACAACTCTAGTACAGCACGCAACAGCACAGCGCACGACAGTACGCGACATGACCGCGCATTACACTCATTACACCACACCGCAGCTACAACTAATTACACTACAGTACAACCACAACTCCACCACAGTACAACTATAGATACAGCTGCACCACACGACACTACATCAAGCAGTTGTGGGTGAGGTGACCACTGCAACCGTTGCAACCATTCAAACCGCGTGGCAGCGAAGGACGGAACGGGCCTCGGGGCAACAGCCTGTAGTGCCCTAACATCGCTTTCTGCACCGACAAGAAACTAGCTGTCTTTTTCTTTTGGCCGCCGCCAAGCTTCGAAACGCACGGCTGCCAAATCTTGCTTCTTGCCCCTTGCTGTCCTTGCTGCGGTAATTTCTCCTTTGACGTGCTCCCCTTGCTGCAAGCGGGGTCAGCGGATATTGATATGTATATATATATATATGATATGTATGGGCATATACAATAATATTCCATTCTAGTGGCACGTTCTTACATTTTTCCAAATAAAGTACAATCTGACAGTATTGGTATGATCCTTCCATGTCGATGGGTTGTCCCACTAAAGCATCTCTACTTACAAACCGTTGACAGTGACTGCCATATTGCTTGAAGCGGGAAAGACCAGTGGATCACTACTCGTTCAATTTGAGCCTGTGTCGTGGCCATGTTGCACTGTGGAGCTGGTGGAAGCTGGTGTTTGATGCCCTTGCGGGTGACAGCGAAGAGCAACTATTCCGACTGCTAGAATTCACTTTAATCTGCACGGTGCAGCTTCGTGTTGTTTCTTCAGAGGTCACAACTATAACTAGGCAGCACTCCTGGGCGGCTCCCTCCCATTTAATGCCCGTGGTTCATTTTGACTACATAGCCATTTGTAGATGGTTGTTCACACATTAATCCCATTACATTCCCATTACGATCCCATTAACATCCTATTAATTATTAAGACCACTTTTAAACACTAGTTCTACTGCGTGACTCGGCAGTTTGGCTACAAAATTATTGCATGGCACTAGGTGTGGGAATTCACCAAGTTCAGTTCTTGTTAATTAAGCACATTTCCCCATATCATATTCATATTTGTTCACATCCATTCCCCTATCTTTCCGTCTTAACATGGATTCAAAAAAATATGCCATACAGTATATTTATATAAACATCCTGTCTATGCCCATTCATCACCAAGTGTCCCAGGTCAATAAATCAATAGGTTTCCATATTTTTGGAGTTCCAGTGAACGTACTATAGATGGTTGCTAGGTCCCGCACCGGGTTTGATTGGATGTTGTAAAGAGTTGGGAATGTTCCCCATGTTGATTGGAGATACAGTTATGGCCCGAAATAACAGTTGTAACCAACTGTAAATAATATGGAATACTCCATAGCATTGTTTATTCCATAGTTCCATTTTACAGTTATAACTATAATTCACAAATAACCCCATTTATGGAATGTATAATCCCATTGAAATAACTTAACTTATAACATAATAAATGGCCAAACAACTGCAACTGTGAGATAAAAGATCCTGGGAGACCAATTTTTGGGATTATCTATCCATGAGGAGAACCAACCCGGGGAATAAGTCTAGGAGAAAGCTCCCTGCATCGTCTTCATCGATGAGATTGACGCCATCGGCCGGCAGCGAGGCGCCGGCATGGGCGGCGGCAACGATGAGCGCGAGCAGACCTTGAATCAGATGCTGGGCATGGGAAATGCCATGGTGAAATGCTGGGAATCTTATGATTTCATGGTGATTTTAGATGATTTTATAGGACATGATTATTTTTGTATGGGATTTCATGGGATTCTTACTTGGCTTATTTGGCTTACTTGGCTTACTGCGGCCATGGCCCGAATTAATAAGTTATGGATGATTCTGGATGTCAGGAAATCACCCCATTTATGGAATGATAACCCCATGTACGATTGAAAATTAAACTGGTAAAGGGCTTTAACGGAGGTGGATCATAACATGTTATAACTTAACTAATCCAACTGGGGTATGTCCTACAAGTCATGTTGGGTTATGATAAGTTATAATATGGTGGTTAGCCACTTACCACCTTGAGCTTTGTTAAGGGGTTAAACATCTAACATCAGTGACATTGGGATAAACAGCAGTTTGACGAACAGACATGGGACATGTTTAACCAACATATAACTGCGGTATACCCTACAAAGAACTTGATCATATATAACACTGGTTGGTGGTTTGGAACATCAATTTTTTTCCAGATATTGGGAATGTCATCATCCCAATTGACGAACTCATATTTTTTCAGAGGGGTAGGTATACCACCAACCAGAAAATGTTATTAACCATCATTAACCATATATTAACCATTATTAACAGTATATTAACCATTAGGGTAGGTATACCACCAACCAGTGTTATAATATGGTCATTTGCTACTTCTGGGCTTGGTGATACGGGGTAGAATCGCATGGAGAAATCGGAGAATGAACCAACATGGCTATATGATCAGGACAACATTTTGAGATAGAAACAATAGCATCATGGTTAAGCACGAAACACACATTTTTTTTTAACAGGCTTTATATAGCCGAAAACAAGAAAACGACGGAAAACGCTGGGAGAGCGTTCATGATATTTTCTCAGCGCCGCTTGGAAATTCCCTGTTTTTTTAATGGTCGTTTCAGGGATTTTTTTCATCGGACTTCATGGTGTATTTTCCAGCAAGCCATGCGACTCTTTAACCCGGAGGGTGATATGATTGAACAGTTGGAGATACAAAGACAATGGGAGATATGGACGGGAGATTTGATGGTGGGATAATTAGTTATATCACACTCGATAATAGCCTCCGGTAAACGTTTGCATAGCCATGGAAAGATCCACCATTTTTCATGGGTAAATCCACTATTTCGACTGGGCCATTTTCAATAGCGAACTGTTAGTTGACCAGAGGGTATATCACACTACGATCTTCGGGTGTGTCTAAGATGGGGCCCCAAACAACCATGTTTACAATGATGGGAAACCATCAAGTTTATGGGAAACCCACTTGTCTTCGACCATTTGTCGTCTTTTCGGATGGGGTTCAACCTCTGATTTTCCATAGGGGATGTACATCCATAAACAACAGCTATCTATGGGAAATCCACAACTGAATGGAGGTTCATAGCTGCAAAAATCATTGAACCAAATGGGATTGCTGTTGATATTCCATCAATCACAATCCCTATTAAATCTCATGAAATTCGGCTAAATCTCATTACCCTCTGGTAAACATACAAAAAACTATGGAAAGATCCACCATTTTTAAAATGGCAATGTTCAATAGTTTTTTGTATGTTTACCAGAGGGTAATTCCTATGAAATCTCATGGAAATCCCGTGAAATGCCGCTAAATCCCATCAGTTTTCGCCAAGGATCTTGACCGAGATGGACGGTTTCGAAGGCAATAGCGGGGTGATCGTGGTGGCCGCCACCAATCGTGGCTGAACAGAACGTGGAACTTGGGATATTTCTTGAACATGGGTTTTAATGGGTTTTAATGGTTTTCTCCAGTGATGCTTCTTGGCTTATTAACCACCAATCAGATAATGGGTTTTAATGGGATCTATATACTAGAATCTATTTGTTTATGTATCTACTTATCTGGTAAACTAACATAGCTATGGAAAATCTTTATTTTTAAGGGGTAAATCCACTATAAATGGCTAACTGGTTGGTGGTTTGGAACATTTAAATTTAATTTGTCCATATATTGGGAATAATAATCCCAACTGACTCATATTTTTTCAGAGGGGTTGAAACCACCAACCAGATAATGGGTTTTAATGGGATCCATAATTCCTATAATCTATTTATTTATTTACTTATTTATCTATCTATCTACTTATCTATGGGTCTATGGGTGTTCCATTATAACAGTTTGCTATTGAAAATTACCCATTTATAGATTATTTACCTATTAAAGATGGTGATGTTCAATGGCTATGTTAAATTACCAGAGGGTAACCCAGTATATGGATCTGTCTGAAAATCTGATATGGTATGATTACCTCAAGGTTTGCTATTTTGGGAGCAAACATTACGATTAAGCAATGGGTTTAGGGGCACCCTATTTTCAAACAAATTCATATATATATATATATTTATATTTATTGAACAGGTTCTATAAGTTATCTACAGATTATCTTCAAGCAAGAGGATTCTTGTTCAACCAAATCAAGTTTAGTGAATCTATATTGGTATAATAGGATTCTATAAATGGGGATCTATAATGTGTTCAACCATAGATATATTTCTTGACTAGGTTTTAATGGGAATTTACTAGGATTCAACCATCATGTTTATCTATTCAATACCTAATCAACCATAATTTATACCCTCTGGTAAGCAAACATAGCTATTGAAAATGACCATTTATAGTGGATTTACCCACTAGAAATGGTGATTTTCCATAGTTATGTTAGTTTACCAGAGGGTAATCGTCGTATAGCTAACCAATCAACCATCATATAATAACATCTAATAGTAATACTGTGGATGGAAGAAATCCTGCACCAGTTGGTAACGATTGGGAGGATAACGGGTTTTTGCCCATCTACCAGCTGGTGCAGGAATTCGCCACTATCCATATCAAAATGGGATACAATGGTGGTAATGGTAGATAGCATTCACACGTGCTAGCATAAAACAATCCATTTTCTGTTTGCTATCGTGCTGTACAATGATTAATCATCTAGAATGGGACTTTGCTATGATTATCACACTTGCTCCCTGGCCCCAGATACGTTTGGGGAGAATTGGCTAATTTTTTTTGCAGGTGACAGCACCCCTTTTGTCCCAGAATTCTGAAGTGCCCATGATGTACCTAAAATAGATAAGTTGGAGCAACTCTGTCATTAACCATGATAAGGAATGCAGATACAGAGGCCATGTCCATCGGCCCATTTTAGGAATTCTTAAGACCTTTTTTGTCAGTGGCTCACACGATCTGGGGCTGCTTGGGATGACGTTTACGGATGTAACTATGGTAGTAACCTCCAACGGTTGGGATATAAATGGATTTAACCACCATGATTATGGTTCTGTACTCACCAAAATTAAGTGGAACATGTCAGTTTGAGTTGAGACCTTTTTCCGGTCGCTTGATTAGATTGAATTCCCTGTTTTGTTTCTCAGTAGTGTGATTCACAACCCCAACTAATGACTAAACCACCTACCCACCTATCCTTTTATCTAAGCTAGCAACAGCAAATCCCCTCCAGTCATAGATGATTTTCCTATATAGTTTCCATCAAAAGTATGTGTTTCCAGTTGTCATCCTCAATTACTACCATTCTCGGACCTAATTAATGGTTCATCCCAGACTGGGACCATCGTTGCAAGGACGGCTTATGTATGGATATGCCTTTGTCAACCATCATTGGAATGTAGCCATTCAACACTCTGCCTGGTATTTGGGCGCAGATTCTGTCTATATGCCCCCACTATTCATTAGTCAAATCAGGTGACATCATTACGTCCTTTTTTGCCGGGGATATGAAAAAAACACGCATGTGTGGATCATATTTGGTTGGTGGTTTCAAACATTACCCTCTGGTAAACTATCATAACTATGGAAAATCACAATTTTTAATGGGAAAACTCACTATAAATGGCCATTTTCAATAGCTATGTTAGTTTACCAGAGGGTACTTTTATTTTCCATTTCATATGGATTGTCATCCTTCCCATTGACGAACTCATATTTTTCATAGGGGTTGAAACCACCAACCAGATATTCTTGTTCCCAGAATTTATTTGGGCATGTGTTGAAACTTAAACAACTTATTGTTTGGTAGGTTAAAAGTTGGATTACCCATCACAAATTTATTTCTCCAGTGATGAAATAATGATGCTTTCCTGGGTTTGTTTGATTGTGACCAGCTGGAGATTCCCATGATATTCTTATGATATTCATTGCTATTCTTATTATTGTTATATGATGTTACATATATATATATATTCTTATTACTGTATATTATTGTTTTATTCCCATTAAATTCTTTTCCCATTATGATTCACATGATATTTTCAGGCTAACTCCATTATATTTCCATTCTTCTGCTGGGAAAAACCACCGCCAAAAGAAACCGTCATGGCTACCCTCTGGTAATTTAACATAGCTCTGGAAAATGACCATTTACCTGTATAGTTGATTTACCGATGGAAAATGGTGATTTTATCTTTCTATAGCTGTGTTAGTTTACCGGAGGGTATATTATTTATATATATATATATATATCCAACTATAATTATTATATCATCTTATATCCCATTTATACATAGGGTATATAATCTGGTTGGTGGTTTGGAACATGTTTCCATTCAGTTTGGCATTTCATCATCCCAGCTGACGAACTCATATTTTTCAGAGGGGTAGGTATACCACCAACCAGTTTGGAATCTAGAATGAATACCCCTAAAATTGGTGAGTTGGGTTAGGTCAATGAACCACCCATTAACTAGTTCGATATATCTACCATAAACTATAGTTATTGAAGTTATTTAAACCAACTGAACGCGATTCCGAACTGGGGCACCACATTGTAGGGTCTATAATCAATCACCAACTAGAATGGATATGTATATATTATATATATATATATTCCCCAACTATAATGATTTATATCATTTTATATCCCATTTATATATAGGGTATTTTAAATAAATCACCATTTTTTCATAGGTCAATGAAGCAGCCTACCTCTCGCCGTCCAAGGTTCCGACATCTTGGACAGTGCCCTGCTGCGCCCGGGGCGTTTCGATCGCCGCGTCGCAGTTTCGCTGCCGGATGTCAAGGGACGGGAACAGATCCTGCAGGTGCACGTGAAGAAGCTCGGAGAAAGCTGGAGACCATGGGAAAACCCTTGGAAAACCATGGGAAAACCATGGGAAAACCATGATTTATATGGAAAATCACCGGAGACTCTCTGGTTTCATAGCTAAATTCATGTAAATTCACCATGTTTAAGTCCGGTAAATCAACTTTTTCTATGGGATGTCATCCAACTAACACTATGATATCCTGGTTGGTGGTTTGGAACATGGCTTTTATTTTCCCCAGTTCAGTTGGGATGATGATCCAATCTGACGAACTCATATTTTTCAGGGGGGTAGGTATACCACCAATTAGCTCTGGTTTAATAGGTAAATTCACCATGCTTAAGTCCGGTAAATCAACTATTTCTATGGACCATGTTCAATAGCTATGTTTAATTACCAGAGCTGGATAGAGTTGGCTGGATGTAGGATGAATATGGATGAATGTCATCCCACTATTAATCTATCATAATTTATCATAATCTATCAGAATCTATCATCCAGTAGTTAGCCACTGATTAACCACGGATTAACATGATTACCCTCTCGTAAACATACAGTTTGCTATGGAAAAATCACCATCTTTAAGTCCCGTAAATCAACTATTCTATGGGCCATTTTCAATAGCTATGTTAAATTACCAGAGAGTAGTGTGGCTGGATGTAATGGGAAATTTTGCAATAGCAATAATGTAATGGGAACATGATGTCAATGTATTGTAGCTGATTTATCCCATGATCTATAACATCTATATATGTATAGCTGGATGTTGGATGAATGTTATTTTAAAAAAACAACACATTTTTTGTTTTTTTACTAGTTTTATGCATATGTTTATCTCATTGCACTAGTTCACCCTCGTAAAAAAGGTGGATTTTGCCCCCCTACTTCTCCCAGTGCTGTGCGTGGGATGAGCTGTCTGACGTGGTCCAGGTCGTCATGGGGCTGTTACTGCTCGCTGGATGGTACTGTAACTATTTCATGGTTACTATCCGGATCTAAAATGGATATCTGGGGGTACCCCCAGTTTAAGAAACCTCTTTTTGTATATATATATATATATATATATTATAGATATAATGTGATGGATGTTCTTGTATTTGATATCCCATGTGAAGAAGTCGACAAATGGAGGTGGTGGTGGTGGTGATGATATCTTTCTATTAGATGTTGTATAAATGATGGTTAGTTGATTAGCTATACAATGACTTTTTGTTTTTTGAAATTGTGGTTGATTAGGAATTTAGTAGACAATAATTTAAAGTACTGCAATGTAATATAATACAATATAATGTATTATAATATAATATAATATAATATAATATGATACGATACTATCCTTTGGTAATCTATTGGAGATATAACAGTTTTAGTCAATAACTACATATAGTAACACATATTACTACCAGATTGTTAATAACTACAAATGATTTTCACCAAGCAAAAATCATAGAATATGGTATGTAATTATATGAAATAACAGGCTGATGGTAGCTGTTTATACGCCTACCATCATATTTCCCCATTGATACTTACCATTTATCATGAAATATGTTCACCATATAATAAATCTGCACATGGGGACATATCATAGTATATTCAGATGATACTATTGCAATTGCCATAGGTAGCCTTAAAGTATTGCCATGTCATGATTTTAGTCATGATGATATCGCCATATGTGCAATGGAAAAAAGTTGGATTGTATACCCATACGGGAGATTGTCATCAATTCATTTTCATAGGGGTTTATATGTATATATAAATATATATATATATACCTATGGTGTCAGGATTGGCATGGGATGAATGACCACAAAAACATACCATACTTTGACAAAAATACACATATGGATTACCATTTGGTTATTCAACATAGCCATGGAAAATGGCCCATTTATAGATGGTTTACCTATTAAAATTGGTGATTTTCCATGGCTATGTTAGTCATAACCAGATAGAAAATGGCCCATAGAAATAGATGGTTTACCGAACTTAAGAATGGTGGCTCTTTCCATGGCTATGTTAGTCATAACCAGATGGTAATGGGCATACAGCATACACCCATTGATTGTGGCAGCATTTGTTCACCATTAAAATCGGGACAGTATTTTTCAACACCATGGGATGTTGGGGTACATACAATCTCTACATTGCATAAACAAAAGAATAACTTGTGACAAGAAAAATAACTATAGGATATTAAAGTATATAAATCTATAGATATTTGTTAGATAGACCAACAATATCTATATATTTTTTGTATCAAACTATAGACTCAGGTAATTATTTGACCCAGGTCAGGATGACCATTTCAGAACCCAGAGGCAACGTGGTCCTGCTGGAGTTTGCAATGTGATGCCCCAGTTCGGAATCGCGTTCAGTTGGTTTAAATAACTTCAATAACATCAATAACTCTGATTTATGGTAGATATATATATATATATATCAATATATCAATTTATTCCCAATCGTCTGGAAAAATAAAAAATGTTCCAAACCACCAACCAGATGGTTTATGGTAGATATATCGAACTAGTTAATGGGTTTATAAACCAATTTATAACTAGGGGGGCTCACATTGTAAGATTTGTATGTAGATAGAGTGTGCGCATATTTCCCATGTATACTGTATACTATACTTTTTATATCTAAAAAAACTAGCACATATGCACGACAAATGAACACATGTATTTGATTGAACACGCACATGCCGGATGACCGACACCTAAACAAATGGTGGGTGTTTACCCCAGTTTGGTTAGGTTTCATGGGTGATGAGGGTCATAATAATATAATGGTATAAAACATATCCAAATATGTATCCCCAATCTTGTAGGATAGTTAGTATTCCACAAATCAGAATTTCATTATTCTTAGATCTCATGTTTCTCTATGTGTTTGTGGTTTAATCCCGTTTAATCCCTCATAGAATTGGATGATGGGAAAATGTTAACTGGAACCCCTGATCAATTTGATGGGAATTAAACCCATGGGTTTCCGGTGAAGATTTTCCTAAGAAAACCAATCCATTGAATCCCACGGTTTTCTCCCGTCATTCCATTGGAATGTCAGGATCCTAAAATGGAGGTACGTTAGTACCATATTTCTGGCCATATTTTGTGGTGATATTCCCTGAAACATAGGCCTGAAAAATAGGCCTTATATATGGTAGGTACCTCCAATCAATCGGTTCCTGTTGCATGGCCATTGCAATTACAGTGCTTAAAATGAGGATATCTCAGCAATGATGGGATTACTATTTCCCAAGAAAACCAATCCATTGAATCCCACAGTTTTCTCCCGTCATTCAATTGGAATGTCAGGATCCTAAAATGGATTGAATGGGAATTTCATGATTCTTAAATCTCATAATCTCATGTTTCTCCATGTGTTTTGTTGTTTAATCCCAGGGTTTTCTCCCGTCATGAAAAACGCGTAGGAACTCTGAGGAACAAGAAGCTGGCGGAGGGCATTACCCTGACGGACATCGCCAAGCGCACCGCCGGCTTCAGCGGCGCCGATCTGGAGAATTTGATGAACGAAAGCGCCATTTTGACGGCGCGCAGGAACAAGAAGGCGTGGCGGCTGTGCTTAGTTAATTAGCATGGTTGGTCTCCCAGGAGAACTTATCTCATAGTTCATTATTAATGGTTAAAAAATGGTTAATTATGGTTTAATCCAATGGTTTTTCTGGTGGTTAATTATGGTCATTTCTGGGAAATTGTAATGATAAAATAGTGATTATGATCCCCCATTTACATAATTAGCTACAGCCCCATTCTACTTAGATGGGTGGGATTAGCGAAGTAGTTAGTAAGTGGGTTATAAATGAACCAAACATATCCCAATTATAAGCCATAAAAACTAACTACTTCGCTAACTCCATGGCCCATCTAAGTGGTGTGCGAGTCGTGGCGGGCGAGTTGTGGTCTGGTTGAAGTTGGGTTGGTTGGGTTGGGTTCCGGTTTTTATGTGGGTAAGTTTTCATGAAATGTGTGATGGGATATTGCAAAAAATAATAATCTAATACTAATATTTAACCTGGGTTTGCTGAGTCGCTGATTCTATATGTTCCTAATGGGAAAATGTTCCAGGAATGGGCGAAGAAGGGTTTACTTTTTGTTTGAAGCCCCTTGAGAAAATCCAAGTTTGGAAAATTATAGCTAAGTTGGTGCCAATAACTCCTTTTCCTATGGTTTATGGTATTTATAACTATAGTTACTGGAGCTTATATATAAACCAACAAACATCACTGGATTGTGATGAATCGTGGAGTGGTGATTATGACGATGACAACACTTGCCACAAGTGGGATGGGAGGTGTAGGCGACATGATGGCAGTTTGTCAATAAAAGATGGGGAGTTAAGTATGATTTTTTAGTTGATGATGTGTATATATATATACACTGTATATATATATATATAAGTTGTGTATATATATATGAAAAAATAGATGTTACCAACAAAAATTAGAGGATGACCTGTATTTATATGTTGAGTGGGGGTAGCCACAAATTTGCAAATTACACAGGGTTTTTCTCATGTGATGGTCCTGGAAAACAAAAACCAACGGGGCTGGGATTTGAATGTCCTGGAGGTATGTTGGTTTAAATTCACGAAGATTTCACCTCTTGGATGATATGTATATATATATATAAGTTGTATATATATATATATATGCGTATATATATATATATATACGTATATTACCTATGGTTTCAGAAAGGGATTTTGATAACCCATAGGATTGCGAAACCTACAGGATGGTTTTCCCCAGAGATGTTTCTTGGTTATTCACCCCATTGACCATAGTTATATTTACTGGTTGGTGGTTTGGAACATGTTTTTTATGTTTCCATATATTGGGAATGGTAATCCCAACTGACTAATATTTTTCAGAGGGGTTGAAACCGTCAACCAGTTTACCATAAACCATGGTTCAGCCACTTATATCTCGACTGAACGCTATCTTGGGAGCCCTGTATGAACCAACCACAATTTATGTGGGCTGCTTCAGGCCATCACCATGGACGAGATCAACGATGAAACTCGGTGCCAGATTGCTATGGGCTCTAGTTTAATATGAGTTTGTATAAGCCATGGGAGTAAACATGGTAATGAATGGAATGAACATCTAATATTAATATTTAAGAGATTTAGTGAATAAGTTGATATATCAGCCATGGATTCCGGTTTTTGTTTCATTTAAATCACTCCAGCCAATGGTAAATTTACATTTCTCAAAATGTAGAAGTTTCATGATGGTTCTGCTGCTCATTAATGCTAGTTGCCCAGAGGGTACGCCACTGTAGCATGGATAGATTGGATGTTTCTCATGTTGTTCTTGGACATTTCTCGAGCTGTTTCACAAAACTCCTGAATACCATCATTCTTAGTTGTTGAAATCTGGAAGCTTCACAGGGGTTGTCTCAAAATCAGGCACTCCATCATAGGGTCAAAACCGATTGCTGTATTATCATATTTGGGAGCATAACCATCCATTAACCAGCTGTTTTAGGTTTTCCGTTGGGAACCAGCTAGGGTTTTGACATATAACCATATGTTCACCATTGTAATGGTTTTGTTACATCTGGGGTGAATCGCCTATTGAGGCTATTTGATGCCAACCACAAGTGGCAAATTCCGGCAACATCTAAGTGTAACTCTGGAGTTTGAATTTTGCGTTATAAATATTCCCATTTAAAACATCATTGTGCATCATTTTGAAACATACATTTTTCGTCACAAAAAAAAACATGCTTCATCCACCTAGATAGAGATATCTATCTACCATAAAGCCTTAACTTACCCGCTGGTAATTTAACATAGCTATTGAAAATCACCATTTATAGTGGATTTTCCCATTAAAAATTGTGATTTTCAATAGCTATGTAAACGTTTACCAGAGGCTAATTATGGATTAATCACCATTAAATCACCATTTTCCTATGGTTTTCCTATGGTTTTCCAATGGGAATCCATTAATATCTGCGGCGAAGTGACGGCACCGGCCGAGGCGACGGACCGAGTGATTGCCGGCCTGGAGGGAAGGGCCTTGCAGGACAACGCCTCGAAGAAGTTGATCGCCTACCACGAGGTGAGGAAAGGGTTCATGGGGAGAACATCCCGAAGTCGATTTCGGAGGTTTGTGTCAGAAGATTTTGATGGGAATATATATATATATATATCATATATATATATATATATATATCACAGCATATTTATATATATATCACATACATACATACATACATACATACATACATACATACATACATACATACATACATACATACATACATACATACATACATACATACATACATACATACATACATACATACATACATACATACATACATACATATACATACATACATACATACATACATACATACATACATACATACATACATACATACATACATACATACATACATACATACATACACACATACACACATACAGACATACATACATACATACATACATACATACATACATACATAGGCATAGGCATTGGCATTGGCATTGGCATTGGCATTGGCATAGGCATACATACATACATACATACATACATACATACATATATATATATATACAGAAACAAAGATTATATATATATATGTATAGACGAATAACGAATGTATGATTATTTTCTGGAACCTGATTTTCTCAACCGTTGTGGATGGAATGGAGGTGTTCCCAGAAATTTCAGATCCAGATGTTGCAGCATGGAGGCACCTCCTACAAGGTGGTGCCCCCCAGTGATGTTTTTGGCACCAACTGAGCTCGGAAAAACGGTGGGCACCACCTGGTAGGATCTTCAAGGTGGTGGTGCCCCCAATGGAATCGCGGATTGTTGGTGATGGGATTTCATGCGGATTGCAGATTGAATATGGAATATGTGTAAGGCATTTTTGGATGTTTCCTTTATAGTGTTTTTTGGTGACTGCAGATTATAACGTTTGGGTTTACGGTAGATATAGAAAGAACTCGTTGATGGGGTTGATAAGCCAACAAACACATCCGGGGGCACCACCTTTTAGGTTTGTACACTTAATGGGCAAGTCCCAAGTTTGGTTGAAGGCTTATGGAAACTGGTCAACACCAGCAGCTGTTGAATCTTCCCCAATTGGTAAATCTCTCAGATTCTTCAGTTATAACTGGACATTGCCCCATTTTTTCAAACAAAAAACAAGTGATACAACTGGACCCTATACTTACCCTACTTACAAAAAGGGTGAACTGACCTACTTAGTAAAGGGAGCCATCAACCTGCGCACTTGTTGTGCCTCACGTCACGTCGCCATAGGCCGGACATGCGATCGTGGGTACCTTGCTGCCATACCATGACCCAGTGACTCAGCTCAAATGGGTGGACAATTACCATCTGGTTATGACTAACCGTTCGCCATGGAAAGATCCACCATTTTTAATAGGTAAACCATCGGAAAACCTTGGGAAGATGGTGATTTATATATCGAACATCACCATTTTTAATAGGTAAACCTAGGTAAGCCATCTATTTCTATGGGCCATGGCTTCCATGGCGAACTGTTAGTCATAACCAGATGGTAATGAAAATTATAGATGATTTACGGTGCAATGTGTGGCCCTTGAGTGATGTTTGTTGGTTTAGATTCGCCCCAGTAACTATAGTTATAAATACCATAAACCATAGTTATTGGAGTTATAAACCATAGTTTATGGTACTACCCTCTGGTTATGAGTAACATAGCCATGGTATAGATGACCCATAGAAATAGATGGTTTACCAAACTAAAAAATGGTGGATCTTTCCATGGCGAACTGTTAAATAACCAGATGGTAATTCTCATTGGGTAACAAAATTGTGGTGGAAAATATGGAGATGTCAATGATAAAATTCCGCATTTGTGGGTAATTTTGTTGTTTTGCTGTGGAAAAATACTGCTAAAATACTGGTTGGTGGTTTGGAACATTTTTTATTTACCAGTTCATAGATGGGATAATCCCAACCCCATTGACTTTCATATTTTTCAGAGGGGTAGGGCTCAACCACCAACCAGAATATGTTGCTCTCGAATGAGCGACTAACTGTTGTTACTTGTGATGTGGCTATCCTGAATGCTACAAATCCCAGTTCTAAGGGGTCCACTGGTGCACGTTTTTTTTGCCACAAGGATTCACCTTTTGGCATATTTTAGCAACATTCAAGCGGTCGATTTGTTAACTCTGGAGATATATCATGGGAATATGTTCTAAAGATCTGGGCTTGGGAACTCTGGAGATATATCATGGGGATAATTTCTAAAGATCTGGGCAAATTTTCAGAAAGACCGCGCTGACCATCACTTGATGAACATATTTGAAGGTGAAAAAAGTAGGATTTCACCATGGATTTAGAACTGCAGTTTAATCTACAAAGTTTCAAACTGCACTGAAGTGGCCAAAGTGTTCAAACTTGCCCAAATCTTGATTCTTGCTGAAATCTCCATGTTGGCACAGCCTCAACAGCCTTGGTTGCCATTTTCATCCATTTTCCGCTTCGTTCGAGGTGAACAAGGTCACCTTGGTCCCCCGTGGCCAAGCGAAAGGCTTGACGTGGTTTACCCCTGGAGAGGATCAGAGTCTCATCTCTGCCGCCATGCTGAAGGCCGTCCCGTCGTTGCGTCGCTGGGATTCGACATGATTCGACTACCCGGCCTAGTAAACGGACTAACAGTTCTCTATTGAAAATTACAATTTATAGTGAGTTGTCCCATTAAAAAAGGTGATTTTCCATAGTTATGTTAGTTTACCGGAGGGTATGTGACCTGAAAATTGGAAAATGATCTGGAAACAGATGGTTCACATAAGTTTAAAATGATATGGGCACTGATAGTTGACTGTTAGAATAAGAATAAGAATCACAGTCATTTGATGACAATCCCAGGGGGCCGTCGGGAAAGTGGGATGTTAGCAACCAGCTAACATGATTATGACATGTGTAGTACATGACTGTATAATGTAATTATACGTATATGTACAAAGTGGGGCCCCCTAGATAGCTAAGTTGGTTTATAACTCCAGTAACTATGGTTTATGGTACTTATAACTATAGTTTCTGGGGCTTGTAAACCAACTTATAACTAGGGGGCCCAACATTGTATATGTATATTATATGTATGATATAATATGATGTTTGTGTAAATGGATCTATTTGGGGATGATTCGGGGTACCCCCATTGTAGGAAAATTGAGGCTTGAGTTGGCTGTGTTTCTGGAACTCATCGTGTTCCAAACATCAAGACATATCAAGAAAACCATATTCCATCATATTCCAAGCTGAACGTTCGAATGAAAGTAATACAAAGAACCCTCAATCAGCTCACCCCATCATCGAACAAGTTCCAAAAATCCTCGAAAAATCAGATGTTTCAAAAAAAAACACCCAAAAAAAAAATTGTTCGAGGGTTTTCGCATGTAACTTGACCCGAAAATGCCGAAGATCCTCAATTTACTGTACCCATCTTTTTCCCCAGGGTTTTCGTCATGGTTTTCATCCGGAAATGGCGAACATCCGTCATGGTGGTGAACTATCCACGGATCGTAAGTGGTAAAGGTTCACCCCAGTTTTTTGAGTGGACTAAGCTTACTTATCCCATAGAAAGAACCAGGGATATAACCTAGTAAGTGAGATGAGCCACCAAGTAGGGATTTTACATGATTTAAGTATATATATATATAACAAATAACGATAGGGATGTCACCAACAAACATAGGGATTTTACATGATTTGACATGATTCAACTAACAACGATAGGATTTGTTCCCCTTTTGTATGACCTCCAGGTCCCACGTTTCGGACTCTCCAGGCGCGCATCGCCGGGGCCCTGGGCGGCCGGGCAGCGGAGCAGCTGGTCTTCGGTTCAGGGCAGGTGACCACTGGGGCGGGTGGCGATCTGCAACAGGCCGGGAATCGGATGGGATGGACATGGACTGATGGATCGGATGATGGTTAATGATGATTATAATAATGGTTAATAATGGTTAATGATGATTAACAATTGTTAATGAAATATCATTGGATATCATGAAATATTCCATTAATGTCAACCCTGGATTAATAAACCCCGTTTACGGCTGTGTGTAATTGGGAGGGTACCATTTAAGTATTAGATGAAATGACTATTGGAGGAGTACCCCCCTAATTAATAAACCTAATAGACCATGATTTAGCAAAATCCGGGGTTGACATGAGCCACATTACTATGTTACCATTTTTGTCCTCTGTAGATCCCATGAATGTCCATGATGTCCAGGTTTACTGGTCACTATGTCACGGTGGGTGCCCAACAATGGCATTTTTACCATCCATGACTGGGATGGAGTTGGATGTGATCGGAGGAGTACCTCTGCTGTTTTTTCTCTATGTTGAATGGTGATTGATAGATAAATAAGTGGTAGAGAAAAATGTTAAGTGTTATATGTATAGTGAATCCATTACACACTGATTACATAATGAAGATTAACCACTGATTGATAGATATGGATAGTTAATCAGTGGTTACCCTCTGGTAAATTAACTCGTTGACCCTGAAAATCACCAATTTATAGTGGAAACTAGTCTTCCAACCCCGATGACTGCCAGGGTCTATGTTAATTTACTGGAGGGTAATCAGTGGTTAATTACTGGATGACAAATAAACAGTGGAATGATGTGGGATGGCATTGATTAGTGAATATGAACTGATTATGCTATATTAACAACCATCAACTTAGCTACTGAACGGGGGTCGCCACTTTGTATATGAATCAACCCAGTTTATCATATATATATATATATATGTATATGTATATATATATATGTGGCGCTAGATGAAGGATTAATAGATATTAATAGTCAATAATCAATTAATGGCTGGTTGGTGGTTTGGAACATGGCTTTCGTTTTTCCATTCAGTTGGGAATTTCATCATCCCAACTGACGAAGTCATATTTTTCAGAGGGGCTGGTTTACCACTAACCAGATGGTCATTAATAGTGATTACCCTTTGGTAAACTAACATAGCTATAGAAAACGGCCCATTTATAGTTGATTTACCCATTCAAAATTGTGATGTTCCCATAGTTATGTTAGTTTACCAGAGGGTATATTATATATATATATTTACATATTTATCCCAACTATATTGATCATATCATCTTATATCATCCATAGTGAATCAGTGGTTAATAAGTGGTTATTTGATGTGACTATATTGACATATATATATATACATATTAATAGTCAATAATCACTTCATGGTCATTAATAGTGATTACCCTCTGGTAAACTAATATAGCTATAGAAAATTGCCATTTATAGTTTATTTACCTATGAAACCTGGTGATTTTCCATATTTTTGTATGTTTACCAGAGGATATTCCATAGATTTTTCGAAATCCGGGCTTAATTATCTCCAAATGGCCGCAAGATTCAGGTTAGTGAATTATTATAATTCAACTAGATTAATGGTCACTAATAGTGATGAATAGTTTTCATGATCGATCACTAATCCCATCCCTCTAACAATCTAAGCACCCGCTGGCACCCGCTGAATAGTCCCCCTGGTTACAACTTTTGTTGGTTAAATATTCACAAACAACACCAAAGAACATATGAAACATATAAGGTTGGTAAGCCACCATCTAGGACAACATCAAATTATATGTTATCATATACAGTAATATTATATGGCCATTATAATTATTTTTGTCATATGCTTCATGGCCATTTTTTATGTCTCATAGCATGCGGTTTTTGTCCCTATGAAGCCACTATCTATCCAGTTTAGATCCTATTATTGTGGGTTAAGCCCTCCACAGATATCATGTCCCATATGTGTTTGTCCACTTCTTTGGTTATATCCCATTATCATGTTAGTAAAGCAATAATAAAGTTGTTTGCTTAATAAGTGGGTTGTATGAACCATCAAACTATGGTTGGATTATTATTGCTTTATCATTAATTATTCATAAGATTCATAAGTTATTGTCATCATATATCCATTATAAATCATATTGTTGCTTAGGTCCTCTATTTATAGATAAGACATCCCATTGTATCATTATTTTGCCCACAAACCACCATCTAAAATATAGGGACCCGACTTGTCACCGCAGGTAGAGCGAATGGCACGTTCCATGGTGACGCAGTTTGGCATGTCCGAGGCCGTTCGACAGTTGGTCGAATCGGACGGGAGTACCCGATTTGTGGAATGACAAGCCCAGTTATAACACTTACAACCATATCTGGTTGGTGGTTTGGAACATTTTTTTTTTCTCCATATATTGGGAATAATCATCCCAACTGACTTTCATATTTTTCAGAGGGGTAGGTCAACCACCAACCAGATATAAAAATGACTGGCCAAGGAAGAGTATGCATTTTTACCAGCAAACATGGTGTATTCAAGGGGATTCAATCGTATTCAAATCTGATAATCTGATGGTTACAGTCTGTGATGATCACTTGGGATAGTTGATGAGAACCTACCAGATTTGTGTATTACGGTAGTACCAACAAGAACAGGGAACCATGTCAGGATCTACAAATCAAACAATTCGGGCATTACCAGGTAGTCCGCAGTTTGGTGGCTAAGTTCGTTAAAAAACTACCTAAGTTACTAAGTCTAATTTAGATAAGATATGTCACTACTGATTGGTGATTTGGAACATCAATTTTATTTTTCCATCATATTGGGAATGTCATCATCCCAACTGACGAAGTCATATTTTTCAAGATGGTAGGTATACCACCAACCAGACTAGGTTTTATGGTAGATATGCTGAACTAGCAAAAAATGTTGCTGTGAAACCTAGGTGGAATTTTGAATGAAAAGCCCTGCAATACGCCTTGAATGTCACGGCCGTTTCGACATGCCTTGAATCAGATTGAATGACATTATGTGATTATATGTAGAAATATAGAACAAGGTGGGGCCCCATAAATAGCTAAGTTGATGAATTAAATTTCAATGACTACGCTTCAAAAAGGAGGTCTAGATTTTGGAGGTTAACTTGAAAGGGATGGTTGGATCTAAATATCGCCGGATTCTGAGTCTGTTGAAACATCACAGGGTTTTTCGGGGTGTGCACCAGAATAACGTGCGAAAATCTATGAAAATAGGTTTTTTTCGGATGCCCAGCTTTGTCTTATAAAGGGATACAACTAGCACAACTTCAAATTGGGCTGCTATGATTTCACACATCTTGTGAATTGTGGTTGTAGCCGATCCAGAATTGGTTGAAGGGAAAGCAACCCCTATCTGGTTGGTGGTTTGGAACATCAATTTTATTTGTTCACCCAGTTGGGAATTTCATAATCCCAACTGACGAAGTCATATTTTTCAGAGGAGTAGTTATACCACCAACCAGATGGTCATTAATAGTGATTAATTGATTAATAGTTAATTAATGGTCATTAATAGTGATTACCCTCTGGTAAACTAACAGTTCGCTATAGAAAATGGACCAGTCGAAATAGGTGATTTACCCATGAAACATGGTTGTTTCCATAGCAAACATGGTGATTCCCAGGATATTTGTAGTTAAAAAACCACCAAGCAGCTTTTTCCGTCGGGCAACTTTTCCGCGGTTTCCATCTATACAAACCAACATCCATGGGTATTGGTTCTATGGATTCACGCGCAAGCCCTCCTCTTTCACGTGAAATTTCAACATGAAACAGCTCTATTTCCCATGACGCCCCTATAGTTTACGGTAAAATTCCCATGCAACCCTGCGAAAGTGCGGGAGAAATAGGTTTTTTTTACATGTAGTTACCATGATGTTTACCCTCCGGTAATCTAACAGTTCGCTATTGAAAATGGCCCATAGAAATAGTTGATTTACCTATTAAAGATGGTGATTTTCCATATAAATCACCATTTTGCCATGGTTTTCCCATGGTTTCCCATGGTTTTCCCATTAAATTACCATGATGTTTATCAATCAAGATGAATCTCCCTCTCGCTTTCGGCACGCTTTGGAACCGAGCGCAGGTGGGCTCCATCGCCATCGACGATGGAGGCTTTATGGGGCCCAATTATTCCGAGGACAGGAAGTGCACGGAGACGTTCTTGGAAAGATGTATAAAGTGGCTAAGAATCCATCTAAATCCCTGAATATCCAATTTTTTAACCATGTAAATCCATCTAAATCCCCGAATTTCCCATTTTTTTAACTATGTAAATCCATCTAAATCCCCTAGAAAGAGGATGTATTGCGGGTAAAGCAACGTTATGTTTGCCCATTTGGGGATGGTGTAAAATAATCCCAAAAATGGGTGATGACTTGGGGGATGGGAAACATGGCATTGTTTTAGCCACATGATTGTGGCTAATACAAAGTGGGGCCCCCTAGATAGCTAAGTTGGTTTATAACTCCAATAACTACGGTTTATGGTACTTATAACTCGTTTCTGGTGCTTATACACCAACTCATGACTAGGGGGGCCCACATTGTAGGTATGTTTAGGTGGACAATGGCCATGGATTATTATGGAATATTAGCCATGATTATTGTGGACATGGATTATTCTAGATGGATTATTAGCCATGGATTATTGTGGACACTTATTTTACCATGTAAATCCATCTAAATCCCCTGGTAAACATACAAAAACTATGGAAAATCACCATCTTTTAGTTCGGTAAATCAAGTATTTCTATGGGCCATATTTTCTATAGCTATGTTAAATAACCAGAGGGTAAATCCCCTAAGTGGATTTATATAATAGGTCTGTTTTTTGTGTTTTTTTGCAGGTGATTTTTCGCTGATTTTACCGGCAAATCCACCATGACGAATCCAAGTTGATTGACGGAAACATTCTTCGAAGAAAGAGGATGATCTTGGGATTTGCATCCCACTTAATGTTACAAAGTGGGGCCCCCGTTCGATAGCTAAGTTGGTTTATAGCTCCAATAACTATGGTTTATGGTACGCAAATAACGAACTAGTTTCTGGGGCTTATAAACCAACTTATAACTAGGGGGCCCCACTTAATGTTAGTAATAAGCTTAGTACATGCCAGCTATATTGTAATTGGGAAATTATGGTCATGTGGGTTATAGGTACTACGATATGATATAAGTTGATATAACTGTATTTGGGGATGTAGTTTACCAGATGATTATTTTGTTTTTGGGGAAATGATGGTTATTTTGGAATCCCATCCTCCTAGTCCTAATCTTAGACATCCCATCAATGGGGACTGTTGTGGAAATCTTAGACATCCCATCAATGGAAATCTTAGACATCCCATGTTCTAACCTATCCTAATCTTATTTTGGATTTCCGCCCCATTTTTCGAATTGTCCAACTTGAACTGTTTAAGCTCATTTCGGAATGCTGAATATACGAAAAATCATCGACGATGGGGGAAATTTTCACATTGCCAGCTTTGATTCCCAGATCTTGGGGGTGATTCTGAAAGTATGATTGGAAATTACCCTCTGGTAAACATACAAAAAGCTATGGAAAATCACAATTTTTCATGGGAAAATTCACTATTTCTATGGTGATTTTCTATAGTTATGTTAAATTACCAGAGGGTAAAGCTGGCAATGGAAAAAAATCCCCCTTTTTCATCATGGGGCATCCGGGCATCCATTCATATTCCTTGATTTCAGCTTTGATTGCAGCAATTTTCATTGGAATATCCCATATGCTCCATGTATAGTATATTTACCATTATTTACCTACAAAACTGGGCCATAAAAATGGGGTAAATGATGGGATTCATATTCCAGCACCATGGAGCATATGGGTATGATCATGGGATTTTGGGGCATCCGATTTTCTGGTTCCGGTAGCCTGGTAGTCTTTGGCCAGCAAAAAATGGCGCAGATGAGTCAGCAGATGATCTTCCCAGCTAAATAACCTAGTTTGGATAGGGGGCAAAGGAGGGGGGTTCGAAGTTATAATCGATGGTTAATGGTTTTTAATGGCTGGTTCATGGATTTAAATAGGGTTAATGGTTAATGGTGAAATATCTAGTTGGTGGTTTGGAACATGAATTTTGTGACTTTCCATTCAGTTGGGAATTTCATCATCCCAAGTGACGATTCGTCCATCATTTTTCAGAGGGGTAGGGCTCAACGAGCAAGCAGAATGCCATATGACTTGAGGGATCGACTTCCTGCAAAAGAAGCCTGGCTACAGCGGGTTAATAAATCACTCGCCCGCGTGAAGAATCACAATCGTTTCCCTGGATAGCATATGATTTCCCCATGATATCACTATTACATCATCATTGTGACCACAGATATAGAAAAATTAGAAAAGCAATCTGTGCCCGTGTCAGTGGGAATTTACAGGTCTATACGGTCTATCTAACTTTGTGAGTTCGTATAACTCTATGTTACTCATATATGTATATAATTATATAATATATATATATAATTATATATTCACCATTCAAAACATACATAGTGTTACTTTTATTGATATTTTCAGTATTATTGTTTAGCATATTCTTGGTGGGAATTTTGAAGGCCTTTTTCCGGAGAAATTTGGGCCGTGGTTTTCGTGGGGAGGAGCATAAAAAGTATTAGATGTGATTTGGGATTAAACTTATTTGATTTGGGATTGAGGCGTGTTGCTTGCTTACTTGATAAATGGATGATTATTTGCACCCTTGTGGGGTGCTTGGCCTGGGTTAGGGACACACAAGAAAAAATCGAGCCGATAATCGGGACCCAGCGCAGGCATGCTGCGCAGAGTGCAGCTTGGAGGGTCGGGTAGTGCATTTCATGCTCCATCCTTGGCATTCATCGTTTCCCCAGCGTTGCGCGCCTCTTTTTTGTTCAGGACCTGAGCAAGAAGATCGACGAGGCGATTAAGAGCATCTCGGATGAGTGCTATCTGATGCTTGGCGCGTTACCGGTGTGCAGGGGTTGCTGGATCCGGGCCCACAGGGAATCTAATGCGTTTCATACAGGAAGTCGGAAAATGAGGAACGAACAAATAGACTATACTGGTTGGTGGTTCGGAACATGAACTTTATGACTTTCCATTCAGTTGGGAATTTCATCATCCCAACTGACGATTCGTAATATTTTTCAGAGGAGTAGGTATACCACCAACCAGTATAGAATCTAGAATGAATACCCCTAAATCGGTGAGTTGGGTTAGGTCAACGATTGGATAGATGGTTGAGATTGATCTATAGATTGGGACAACCGACAAGTTCTTAGGGATATAATATAATTGATGAGGATACGATGGGGACAAAATGAGATCTAATTCAACTGTGTATCAGCAATACTCAGTGAAAAACAATGCCACTTTGCCATGAAAAAGTGAGAAAAAATGTGGGTGAATCATGCTATCATTTTTTGATGGAGATATGATCAACATTGATCAACAATACCATATCCATCCATATCCCATATGCTCCATGTATGGAATATGTACCATCATTTACCCCATAAATGATTCAGTTTTGTAGGTAAATATACTATACATGATAAATATTTTACATTGATAAATATGGAATACTATACATGTAGGTAAATATGGAGCATGTATCATATCCTCAACCCCGATACCCCATAAATGGCTCAAATGTATGGCATATGGCCATTGGGGGTTGAGGAGAGGATTCCAATGAAAATTTCGGTTCCGGAAATGAATGATTTACTCTGAGATGATCCCAAAATGCTACGGTGGGTAGCCTATTTCCTAAAGCTACTTGGACTAGGCTTAATTACTTGTCTGGTAAAAATCATGGCAATATTCCTTTTGAAATGGGATATGACATGTTGTGTTACAATATTGGAACAACCACGTTTTACCGTTGTACCCATCAAAAAAATATCAAAAAGTACTGTAAATGGGGTTGGAACTTCCAAACATATTGGAAAATTATAGCACCCCCGCACAAATGAATTGATCATTTCTTAGTGGGATGATTTTACTTTTTCCTGGTTGGTGGTTTCAAACATGTTTTATGTTTCCATATATTGGGTATAAGGTGAACAACTGACTTTCATATTTTTCAGATGGCTTGAAACCACCAACCAGTTTCTTTTTTTTCGGTGGGGGTACTATAAGGTGTTGCTCTCTTTGCAGCCCACTTATGGCAAATCGTGGCCGTGCTCGCTAGTCCCAAAATCATTTGGAACATATTGGCTGTTTGTTGTCGGAATCGTGACACCCATTGACACCCAATAGGACTTTTCAATGATTTGTTTTCGGATTTATTTTTCAGAAAATAGAATTGTGTTGTCTCATTTTTTGAATAAAATGACCAGTTTCCAATAACTTCGTTGTTGGTAGCCGTGGCACAAGCTGAGTCCAACGGAATTAAACGGTGGAAAAGGTGCAGATGGCCCAGGAGATGGGGCTTTCCCAAGTGGAAAAAATCCCCCGCCATGGTTGTTTCAATAATGTGGCTAAAACAATGTGATTTTTACAACCCATTTTCCTGGGAATGGTAGTCACTTATACCACCCAAAAAAAATTGCTGTAATTTTTCTGGGGGATGGTAGACATGAAATTGTTTTACCCACACTAAACTGATACAACGGGATGATGTGGAGTAAAAAAAAAACATTCGTTCGGAAAACTCCCATTTTTGTTCAGTAACCTCCAGTACTCTAACCTGACAACGGACGAACATCTGTACGTTACTCTCTGGTAATTTGTTACGTAGCTATTGAAAATTGCCATTTATAGTTGATATACCTATTAAAAATGGTGATTTTCCATCGCTATGTTAGTTTACCAGAGGGTACTCTGTATTTTTGCTACACAATTGTTGCTACATGTTGCTACACAATTCTGAATTAGTTTCCACCTTTTTTAGTTGGTGAAACGCTGTTGAAGCTTTTATTGGGGTCATATGCGAAACCATAGTTAAGGTGGTTTCATTGGTTACAGTAACCAGCTAACTATCGTTGTCATTAAAAAACATGTGTTTGACTAGGTCAGTCTTAGATGGGCACTTTAATCCTTTAGTCCTTTGGTATCAACGGGAATATCCACTAACCAGCAAAGAATTTAATTGTTTGCAGGCTATCTAAGATTGGCAATGTTGATAGTTTCATATGGTTTCCCTAGAGTCGCCATTGAAATCCATGATGGCGAAACTATGTTAAAATCCACACCTTTGATGGTTACACTATGTTTCAAATCCACATGTTCGATGATTTCTCTTCCCCGTATTTTCATTGGGCATATAAATTCCAAAGGGTCATTTTACCTCTATAATTGGTACCCTCTGGGTATTTAACATAGCCATGGGAAATAGCCCATTTATAGATGATGTTCCCATTAAAACCTCCATTTATAAGGGATTTTCCATGGCTATGTTAAATGACCAGATGGTAATTGATGATTGGATGGCTACATGACGTCATGCGATTTTTGTCCCAGGAACGCCCTTACGATCCTGATGAAGATGCTTGGCATAGCCAGTGGAACGTCGTGGTTTTAGAAAAAAAGAAGCGACGTTGACGACGGACCGTTGATTCGGGGAATGCGGGATGTTGGTTGAGAAAACTCCAAAAGAAATGGTTTCTAGGGGACCTATCGAACTACTTAATGGGATTTAATTGTGTTTCGAACTGATAAATGATGGTTGATGAATGATTATAGTTAATTTTAGTACCCAATACAAAGTGGTGCCCGGGTGCCCGCAAAATGATAGCAACATTGGTTGCAGTAACTCCACTATGGTTTACGATACTTATAACATCTTACAATTGTAGTTCTTGGGTTTTTAAACCAGCTTATAACTTGGCCCCACATTGTAGGGATCTTTTTTTGGGACGCATTAAAAAGGATTTCGAATGGCCTTATGGATTAAGAACCATGGTTTCTTTTATGGTCTTGTGCGACATGCAGCCTGTGGGATGCCTGTGGGGGATCGGGACATCCGTCAGAAAGCATCTATCAGAAAGAGGGTTTTCTGTACATAGGACCATACAGCTATGGCCCGTTTTATACTATTTTATCAGTCAGTTATAGCCCATGACAGCCCATTAAGATGGAATGATAACCCCATGACCAGGACCATAAACATGACTGGTTTACAGGGCTTTGAGTGTAGAAAAAAGGGGGTCTTCAGGATTCGATATCTTGATCCATCTCCAACATCTTTGGGATGACTTCATCAAACATGGGATTTTAACCAGTAAAATGATAAGTTTACCATCAAAATCTCCATGATTACTGGGAAAATCACCATTTAAGATTTTTACCAAGATGACTTCATCAAACATGAGATTTCAACCAACAAACAAGATTTAATGAGCAGAATTGATTTTATGAAACCTCTGGTTTAAGTCAACTAACAAAAACCATAAAGTCCCATAAAATCTCATGAATTTCCATTAAATTCCATTACCCTCTGGTAATTTGTTACATAGCTATTGAAGCCATGGCCCCTTTAGTTCGTTGATTTACCCATGAACAATTATGATTTTCCATAGTTATGTAAACGTTTACCAGAGGGTAATGAGCAGAAGTCTCAATCATGGGTAGTACTTGCGTCCCATGGTTATCAATCACTGACCAAGCCAGTGTCATTATCTAGAATGTATCTAGATTATAATTGGGTAATCTTATTTCAATCCCATATAATCATTCTTCAAACATCCTTTATCAATGTTTATCTGGCTGGTGGTTTGGAACATGTGTTATTTTCCATATATTGGAAATAATAATCCCAACTGAATAATAGTTTTCAGAGGGGTTGAAACCACCAACCAGTTATCCAAGTATTAAAACAATATTTATCAGTGATATCCCCATATTTTCATATTACGGAGGTTTCCTCCAATAGCTGGATGATTTGGCGGTTTTCCTATTTTGGGAAAACACCGGAAGTGTCAAACTGTTTCATGGTTTCATCCATCGGCCCGCAGTCAGTACTCGTCGCTCAGGAATCGCGCCTGCCTGGACCGCGTGGCAGATGAGCTCTGCGAGTTTGAAACCATCACGGGTGATCGATTAAAGGCGCTCCCTAGAACCACTGAAAGCGCAAAAACCAACCGGTGGTCATGCAATAACTATGGTTATATTATGGTTACATTATAATTACATTGTGGTTAACTATGGTTATACTATGCTCATACTATCATTACCTATAGTTACATTATGGTTAACTATGGTTATACTATGCTCATACAATCAGTACCTATGGTTACATTATGGTTAGCTATGGTTATACTATGGTTATACTATGGTTACCTATGGTTACATTATGGTTACATTATGGTTACACTATGGTTACATTATGGTTACATTATGGTTACATTATGGTTAACTTTGGTTATACTATGGTTATACTATGGTTATACTATGGTTATACTATGGTTATACTATGGTTATACTATGGTTATATTATGGTTATACTACCTATGGTTACATTATGGTTAACTATGGTTATACTTTGGCTATGATATGGATCAAAAAGGGAATATATCGAACTACTTCATGGGATTTCATGGGGGGTTATAACTGATAAACGCATATAAATGATGGTTGATCAATTTTGATATATAGGATTGTATTGCACAAAATGTAGGGAATTATAGTACCCAATGCAAAATGGGGCCCCCAAAACATTTGCTAAGTTGGTTGACAAAACTCCAATAAATTTGCTTTATGATAGTTATAACATGTTATAAGTATATAGTTATTGGGGTTCATAAGCCCGCTTACTTACAAATGGAAATGGGGTGTCCCGCAACTATAGTCACCCCAAAAAGATAGAAAAGTGAAAACCGAATGGGAATAGAATGCGGATAGTTGATGTTAGTAATATGGTGAATAGACATTAATGGAATATGTGTTAGACATTAATGGAATATGGTCACCGACAGAATTATGGGAAAAAAAAACGTTCAACTTAGACAGGCGGCGCCTGCGTCCGATTTTTCCATAATTAGGTTTTTCCCCATAAGGGTTCAAAATATCCCGGAAGTGATCCGAACCTTTTGTTTTTCCATAATTCTTGGAGGTGGCCATTATTTCATATTATTTCCATAATTGATTTTTCCTGTAAAATCAGGGGGCTAGGGCAGATTGACCGGTTTTTCCATAATTATGTTTTTCCATAGTTATTTTTTCCATAATTACTTTTTCCATAATTAATGTTTGGGGCTCCACCTGTTGGACATGTCATGGATCCACAATTCAAACCCCTTTTTTTGGGGGTTATGGAAGTATGTATGCAAATGCAAGTATGTAGTATCAATGGAAGACTTAGGGGCATATACCAGATCTTTAGACACATATTTTCTATAATTCAATATTCCCCCTTAAAATGCATTCAAATTGCGAACATCACATGATATTATATATATCAATGGAAGACTTAGGGGCATATACCAGATCTTTAGACACATATTTTCTATAATTCAATATTCCCCCTTAAAATGCATTCAAATTGCGAATCGATGGACATACAGTCACCGACAGAATTATGGAAAAAAAATAATTATGGAAAAAATAATTATGGAAAAAAAAGGTTCGTAACTTTTCTATCATAGACAGGCGGCGCCTGTAAATTGAAACGGTTTTTTTTTTCCATAATTCTGTCGGTGACTGTATTTGTTGCAAAATCAAGAATTTAGTCCAGTGCATGTCTAATTCACGAGGGAAGCTGAGTTTTTGTATCATGACTGAACACATCGCCATATGTCATATGCCTATTTGTTTCATGCTTAAGTTCCCAGCTTTCTTACTGGAAACCCCGTTTTGGTTGGTTCATCCAAGGGTGTTGCCGATTACCCCCTGGTAATTTGTTACAGTTCGCTATTGAAAATTGCCCAGTCGAAATAGTGAGTTTTCCCATGAAAAATGCTGGATCTTTCCATCGTTTTTTGTTAACGTTTACACCAAGTGGGGATTGCACAACGAGGGGTTTCAGAGAGAAGACATCAAGACATCCGAGGTGAAGCAATGAAGGAATCTTAAAACTGCGGTTTACCCCAAGTATAATGATTATATCATCGTACATCTCATTTATACACTATTAATCACTATTGATTTACCAAGTTAGATCCCTTTTCTTGGTGGTAACATGTGGAAACGCATGCAGTTCACTATGTTCACCATGAACTCTGGTAGATTTCCACCACTTTTGGTGTTTTTTTTTCGCCATGATGCCATGGGCAAAGATCCTTAGGATTCCTCAGGGATGCTTAGGCGTTGTTAAATCCCAACGCCGGATATAACTCCAGATGGTATACTCTTAATATACTGTCAACAATGGTTAATAGATGGTTATTATATCTTTAATGATAGTAATCTTCACCATTTCATAGATACGTTATGATTTGTTGATAGAAAAAACACATGGGAAAGACACTGGAAAGGCCCCCCAACGATAGGTAAGTTGGGTTATAACCTGGCAACCAGGCTAACTTAGGCTGGATACACCAAACTAGTTAGATAAGGTTATACACCAGACAAACTTAACTATTGATATATTCGGGAAATCCCAATTTATATCCGTTTATAGACTATGTTCCCATATTTTCCCATCCTGCAATTTCTGATAGCCTCTGGTAAGCAAACAGTTTGCTATGGTTTACCGGACTTCTAAAATACCGGACTTGATTTTCCATAGATTTCCCATAGATTTTCTGACCTTTTTGTGATTTACCGAACTAAACAGACTTGTTTTTTCATGTCGCCGTCACTGCTTGTTTACCCAGGAAGTTGGTGAATGCTACCTTGTTTACCAACAGTAAGATTCCATGCCTTGCATGTGAAATGAGGAACAATGTCACATATTCCCATAGATTTTCCATTGATCTGCCAATTCTTCATAGATTTCCAGTCGAAACTTCCCCCATTTCCCAAAAAGATTTTCCGTAGATTTTCCAATTTTCCATCGATGTTCTATGGATTTTCCATGTGTTCATAGTTTTTCTATGGATTTTCCAATGTTCCATAGTTTTTCCGTAGAAAAAAAACGATTTCACCCGTCCCAATTCGTTGCACGTTGCAGGAGCTCGTGGCGGAGTATACAGAGATCCCCGAGAAGATGGCCGCGGTTGCCCGGGCAGAAGTCATGGGTTTTCCCAGTCATCATCCACTGGTTGGTGGTTTGGAACATGGCTTTTATGACTTTCCATATATTGGGAACAATAATCCCATTTGACTTTCATATTTTTCAGAGGGGTAGGTATCAGTCCATTTTTAGATTGAAAAATCTATGGAAAATCTATGTTTAAATGATGGTACCATCCATTTCCCATCGTCATCCAATCCCATATGGAAAATAGATGTTCAAAATGGATGGTTAGAATATTGAAAATAATGTGGTTAAAACAATGTCATAAACCACCCATTTGGGAATGGTTTCAATCCCACCTATAAAAATGGTGATGACTTGGGGATGGTTTATTATTGTTTTAACCACATATGGGAAATTAATTGGGAAATATCAATGGTTTAACTTTTTAAGTGTATGTTTTAATGATGGGGGTCCCCAGCCATCCATTATGTAGCTAGATGGTTTATGTCATGGAAAATCCCAAACGACAGATAAGCTAGTTGGGTTTCAACTAGTCAATGGGAAATTCAGGATCCTAAAATGGAGGTACGTTAGTACAACATTTTTGACCATATTTTGAGGGGATATTCCCAGAAATTTAGGCCTGAAAAATAGGCCTTATATATGGTAGGTACCTCCAATTTAGGTTCCTGAAATGGCCATTGAATGATGCTACCCCCAGTCATCATCCATTTTAGATGGGGATTTTCCATGAAATAAACCAGCGATAAAGGGGTACCCCCATGAAAACCATGAAAATATGGGGATATGAGTGGATATCCATTGCTTATACTGATTATTTTAACTGACGAATGATGATTGGTTGATTAATTACTATAGTTGTTTCATTCTTTTGGGGGGGTATACTACCCAATATATTGAGCATTGTCATAATCCATGATGAGAAATCCCGACAACATAAAGCCGCCAACATAAAAGGACGACGTTGCGGCGGCGGTCACTGTACTTGCGATCATCACTGATCAATCTGAATGAATTTGATCGTGACCTCACGTGTTGACGTAACTGGATGATGGCCATTGTAAATGAGGAATCATCCCCATGGTGGGCCAAAGATTCAGGTGAGTAAAAAGTCTTGTGATTTATCCAGATCACTGATGATCAATTTTGATGTGTTATTTGAAGGATGCGAAAGCTGATGAAATTAAGATCTACAGTGCTACAGTTGCTGGCTGGTGGTTTAGGACATTTTTTTCCCATTCAGTTGGGAATTTCATCATCCCAACTGACTTTCACTCCATCATTTTTCAGAGGGGTAGGGCTCAACCACCAAGCAGAACATGTTATTAACCATCATTAACCATCATCATTAACCATCATCATTATCCATCATCATTATCCATTATTAACAGTATATTAACCATTAGGGCTAGGGTTCAACCACCAGCCAGGTCGTTTTTTTTCAGATGTAGAGCATCGAGCATCACTGACCGTCATGACACACAGAAGATCCCACCAGGTGGTGCCGTTTCCAGATATTTTGGTTGGTTAGTTTAGAAAAGCCCCAAGATTTACCCTCTGGTAATTTAACCATTGGAAAACCATAGGAAAATGGTGATTTAATGGTGATTAATCCATAATTAGCCTCTGGTAAACTAACACAACTATGGAAAATCACCATGTTGAATGGGAAAATCCACTATAAATGGTCATTTTCAATAGCTATGTTAAATTACCAGAGGGTATACAATGATGGTTGAAACCCTATAAATAATGGGATGTTTCCCATCTATCAACTGGTGATTCGGATTTCGCTGGCCCATCCACAATATGTCATGATTATACAAGGTTTTGGGCCCACAAACCTTATGTTTATTGGTTTAGATTCACCCCATGAATACTAGTTCGATATATCTACCATAAACCATAGTGAAATTGAAGTTATTGGCACCAACTTAGCTAACGAACTGGGGCACCACATTGTAGATATACTGGTGAACATGAAAATAGCTGGGCTAAAATGGATGTTCATCCCGCTAAAAATGCTATTTATAGGTATGGTTCATACAAATGGTTTATACTATTGCAATATCCCCATGGTTTATTTATAAGATATAGCTACAACTTAGCTAACTATAGGAGGCACCGCCTTCCACAACAGTGCCGAGGTTTGAACACAGTGATCGGCATAGTTTTCGCCGGGTCGGGTCGAAAAATGATAAAAATGACCTGAAGGCCCCATGGGCTGTTGAAGGTCCGACACCCAACCCCTTGGATTATCTTGGATTTATGGAACAGCTTGGGATCACATTTGAAATCTGCTGGTGTAAAACCCTGAACTTTTGGTCTAACTGCTGGTTTTTCAGATCTTGAAGCACTGGTTGAAAAATAGGAGTGTGGTAAAATGCGAATGTTTGTTTGTTGTTTTTGCGAGCTGCTTTATTTTGCAAGCGTCAACCTAGCAGATGATCCCCGATAATCATCAGATTTTTCGTTCCCCGCCAGTCGTGTCCTGTGCGGCGGAGCGAAATTTTCAGGATGCTTGAAGGATGTGACCCTTCAGAGTATCCCGTCATAGTTTTTGGTACAGACTCTTGCTAGACCAGATATAATCTTGGCAACAGTCCGAGTATCGCGACAAGAAAAAGGAGGCTTCATTAATATGGCCCTTGTAAAGAAGTTATACCCTCTGGTTATTTAACATAGCCATGGAAGCCATGGCCCATTTATAGATGATTTTCCCAGCTAGAAACCTCCATTAATGGAAGGGATTTTCCATGGCAAACTGTTAGTCATAACCAGATCGTAAGTCAGTAAGTCACCCCATTGCCATAGAAATCACTGTTTGGGATTTCACTGTTGAGGATTTGTGGTGATGATGGTCCGGAAAAGTTGGTTCCAAGGGGCTACTGTTTCGGTCCAACAAACTGCCCCAAGCATCCCCAAACTTTCACAACGTATACTATGTTCGATCCAACAAAAAGGGCTCATCGTTTTTTGTCCAGGTTAGGGTCTCAAAGTTCCGGGTGACAAACGGGCATTTTGACTGACACAGGCAGTTTATGGATATCTAGCCTATATTTTTGTCAAACCTTTCCACAATTCACATAGAACCTGAAAATGGCAGTATTTTAATTGGACACACTCATCTTCCAAATCCCTTATTGGCAGGGTAGTTATGTTAATTTACAGTAGGGGTAGATACTTCTGCATAATTACGTACCTTTACAAAGAACCCTATCGGATAGGCAACGATACTGTGGATGGTTGCAAAATCCTGCACCACCAAAAGGATGGTTGAAACCCTACAAATAATGGGATTTTTCCCATCTATCAGCTGGTGCAGGATTTCGCAACCATCCACAGTATCACACCTAGACTTCTCTTCAGTGTCGAGATGTAAATTTGAAACGGGGAGAAGCCTGAAACTTTATATTTCAATGATGGTATATCATCGTTATGGAAGAACGAACGAGTCACATTAACGAAAGACAAAAATTAACCATATACCCTCTGGTTATTTAACATAGCCATGGAAAATTGCCCATAGAAATCGATGGTTTACCTATTAAAAATGGTGGATCTTTCCAGTTCGCAAACTGTTAGTCATAGCCAGGTGGTACTGGTTATCCCACGACTAAGCTATATTAGTCTATTACAATGTGGAGCCCCCTAGTTATAAGTTGGTTTATAAGCCCCAGAAACTATAGTTATAAGTACCATAAAAAAAAGTTATTGGAGTTATAAACCAACTTAGCTATCTAGGGGGCCCCATTTTGTAGATTCGATTTGTTTGATTGGTGCTTTCAATTATGTCGAAACCTTGTTGATTCGCGTGCCGTTCGGATGATGTTCTCCAAAGCCTACGATTTTTCGACTTGGGGATGCGGTAAGCTCTGATTTTTCTGGTTATATAAGGGTATTTTCATAGGGATTATATCTGAACTCAGAGGGCTGAAAAAACATGATCATACCTCTCTTTCAAGTGCAGCCCAGCGATTTTTTGGTTTATAAACATCATGCACTCATATTCACTCATTAACTATATCTACCAATATCTATCATAAACCATAGAATTCACAGTCAAGATAATATAGTTCACTCCCAAGTAGCTTAGGTGCCATCTACCTCTGGAAGATTTGCACACGGAGAAGCTGCTCCTGTAAGCTGTGTTCGCGAACTCAGCTGGGATATCCGGAGGAAGAAACCGTCGAATTTACATGAGCCAAGTAGAGATTTGGAATTGGGATATGGTCTTACTTGTGCTTAGTAGGGAATTTTCGCGAATGATCCACTGGCTAACTATCAATAATAATCCCAGCAACCCCCAGCAACCCATCCATTGCCTACGTTTAGCACCAGTAAGTAGTTGGTTTGTAAACCCCAATATAGTTATATGATGTTATATGGGTATCATACTTGGTGGCTCATCTCACTTAGGAAGTGGCTTCCAACCCTGGTTCTTCTATCAGATATATAAGTAGGGGCAATGTCCACTAGTGGCCTGAGCCACCAAGTAAACCATGTAGTTCTTGGAGTTACCCTCTGGTAAACTAACAGTTTGCTATTGAACATGGCCATAGAAATAGTGTGTTTTCCCATTAAAATTGTGATTTTCCATAGTTATGTTAGTTTACCAGAGGGTATTGGCACCAACTTAGCTACAGTTTATGATAAATATCTTGTATTCCATAGTGTTTTCTGCCACAGATCCCACCCGATCCTACAAAAATCTGGCCATTGGTGAACATTTTAACCCATGGCCAGCAGTGCCAACTCGTCCAAGTTTCAGACATGCTGAGTTCACCATTGAGTGCGAGCTATAACCGTTGGACATGGGAAACAGTATTCACAGAATCCAAGAAATTCAGTGAAGCAAATCCCTCAAAAACATGGGTCCACAAATCCTGTCACAGGGATTTTCCATAGGGGATTTAGTGCCTATGTAAGCGTTGGAAATGTTGAAAAACATAGTGATTTACCAGTGGTATTGCGTTGGAAAAAGCGTTTCCAATAGTGCAAATCCCCGTGTTTTTTCCTTCCCCAAAATGGCGCGCTAAGAACAGATCCCCATTTTATGGTGCCCATGGTGCCCGGTGCCCTCACATGGCGGGGCCTTGCCGAACAGAAGTAGGTATATAACCACAGAATTACCCTCTGGTAAACACACAAAAAACTATGGAAAATCACCATCTTTAAGTTCGGTAAAGCAACTTTAAATCAACTATTTCTATCTGCCATTTTCAATAGCAAACTCTTGCAAATTACCAGAGGGTATGTTGTAGGAGTTGCATCCCATCTTATAGGCTGGTTGGTGGTTTCAAACATTTGTTATTTTCCATTTCATATATGGGATAATCCCAACCCCAGTGACGAACTCCATGATTTTTCACCACCAACCAGTAGGGGTTACTTCACCATGGTAAAGCCTATCCCAAGAGATCCGAGAGATCCGACATGATCCGACCATCCCAGGCCGCAACGGCTATCGCAGCCTCGATTTGTTGGGCTGCGGTGGCTACGGTGACCCAGCTGCGTTTTTTCAGCTGTTTCTGTGGCGACAAAACGTGTGGAGAAGTTGAAGCTTCAAAGATGGGAGAATTTGAAATGACAGCAACCCCAAAAAAAGATGCCGAACAGTGTTTCCAGGATGTTATAGATTATAGTTATTGCATATTTCCAGGTTTCTCACATTTCAACATTTGTTTGAGGGTTATTATAGATGAAAGTATGGTAATAATTAACTATATATAGATGCAATACCATGAGATGAAACATCACTTCAATAACTAGGGATCATAGTAATCATAACTACCGTTTTTCTCGCCGTTGTACCCATAAGAATGGTATGTTATTCCATAGTTGCTTTGTACTTTCACTACCATTTGTTTGGGGTATTTGGAGGGTGTAGGTACAGTGTAGGTATATGAAATTATGTTGTTTAGCGTTGAAATCAAGTTCTTACTATGGTGAATACTTCTGAAATCTATTGGCATGTTCTGAGACTATTCCTGTTACCTGTGAAATAATAACGTTGGCACCCGGTTTGAAAACCTTGGATTTTTACGTGTTTTGCAACTCGGGCCGCACATCTAGATGAGATTTGCCCAAGTGATAGCCAATACAATTCTTACTGGTGCTTAGCAGGGAATGGATGGGAATGGGGGTTGCTGGGATTCTTATTGATAGCTAGCCAGTGGATCATTCCCTCAAATTCCCTACTAAGCACAAGTAAGAATTTAGCCATGAAGTGATAGATTTCATGAACAACTCCTAAAATCAATGGGAATTTCAAGATCCTAAAATGGAGCTACTGTGCCTGAAAAATAGGCCTTAAAAAAATATGGTAGGTACCTCCAATCAATCGGTTTCCTGAGTCATGGCCTTGACAAAAAACCGCTCAAGGCTCTTATCTCCGTTCATCCAGCTGATGAATCATCGTTTTCCCTATCAAAACAGCCATGATATGTGGAAACATACATATCCTTCTGCCCCAAAACCAAGCTGATGATCATTTTCCCTATATTTGATATATTAACGAGAAGAATGTTCATCAGGCGAACACACCTTTTCTGATTTGTTTCAGCGGTCCAGGTGCTTTTTGGAGGTCGGTGAGTCTGGTGAAACACCAAATCGGTGATTTGTTTGTACAAGGGGCTCCCGAACGATAGGATTCAGGTTGTATACCATAACACCACATAACTATAAGAGGAATTGTTGCTGGATATCTCGAACTAATATGAACTACTTGGTGGTTCATCCCACTTAGTAAGTGGGTTATAACGCCAGTTATAAGTGGACTAACCCTACTTATCACATCTACAACCAGGGTTAGACGGGTTGAGGAACCAGTTTGAAACCACAAAGCAATTTAAAACTGAGGGGCCCTTCCTATTGATCTCTGCAGTGCCCATGTATTTTGCGCTCATCTTGGCCGTTGAAATCTGCATCTCATTTCAGGTAAAATCACCATGTTTGGGGTTAAAGTCCCTACGTTTGCTCTCTACACCTTCCATTTCAGCTTGGTTTTTCATGGTCAACCATGTTTCTCAGTGGTTTTAATGGCATAAAGTCACCTAAAATCCATTTCAGCTTGGTTTTTCGTTGTAAAACCCCTGTTTTTCAGTTGTTTTCATGGCATAAAGTCACCGAAAATCCCCCTTCCGTCTAAACAGAGCACAGCCCCGAGGCTCGGTGTACTTGGTGGAACGGATGCCCAACTTGGATCGCTTCGTCTCGAAGAAGTTTCTTGGATGTCTTGGTGGAACGGGTTATTAATATGGGATATATATATATAATATATTCAATATAGTGGTGGATAATCAATGGTTAAATATATATAGTGGGAATATAT